TAAATTTATTCGTCGAAATGACCGACAAAGAGCAAAGTGACTCGAAGAGAAAAGTTGAGCTGCCTGGGCAAACGAGCGGCATTCTGAAACGAGCGGCAGTAGGCGAGGTCGTCGCACGGGCTGACCGCGAATCCGGGAGGTGGTTTACCCGAGAGAGCGAGCGCAAGGCACAGCGACGGCAGCTGCGCGCGCGGTCCAAAATAGCTAAACCCCATACCGCGCGCGAGCGAGCTCAAACACGACTCTTTCCTTTTTCTCTTGTCCTCTGCCCCCTCCCCCCCCCCCCCGTGTACGGTAGGTGTGCACGCGCGCGCCTTCTCCTTTTTCGTCGAGGAGGTGACTCTCCCTCATATTTAGTAATGACGACCAACTTTCGTTTTCGTATGGAAAGAAGGGCTGACACTCTTGTAATCGCCGTTAAGCGACGCCGAACGGATCCGTTTTTAGCGCCGTGTTGCTGGCTTAATTACCGGGGTTTTGCCACGCGCTCGAGGGGGGAGGGGGCACGCACGTTTTCGTCATTCATACATTATCGCGGCGCGCCCTCGCCGGCCGAGCTCGGCAGGTGTGTGTGTGTGTGTTCTCGGCAATAGCTCGGCGGCAATCCGGGTTCGCGGGGCAACGATCCGCGCTCCCGCGGGAGCGCATCGTCGCCGGCAAGCTGGCGCGCAACAAGTGCTCGGGCCGCGTCCCGCGTCGTTGCTCGTCGTCGTTCGATATAAACAAGCGTATAATTAGCGAAAATCCGCGCGGGGCTGGTTTGGCAACCTGTTGGCCGAAAAGCCCTCGGGGAGCACGCGACTCGCCGGCCGATATCGAGCGCACCAACTTCTCGGCCGCGGCTAATAATAAAGGCCTCGGAAAACTGCATCCGAAATACACTCGGGCGGCGCGGCTTCTATTTTCGAAAAAAACACATCCTCGCCGCGGGCACGCTACACGGCAGCGAGAGAGAGAGAGAGAGAGAGACAGCGGCTCTTCTATTCTAGGTCCACCTCGTTAAACGCTCTCGCGGCCGCCTGTGTTTTTATTCTTTCTGGCTGCGCCCCTGCTATTTTTACCGCGCGCTGCATCGTCGCGCCGCGCCGCGAGTCTATCTCGTTATCTCGCTCCTCGGCTCTCGTTCTGCGTCTGCGACGGCAAGCTTTCCCTCGCGCGGCAGCTCTCTGCCGTCGCTCCCCTCCGCGACTGGCTCTTCCTCGTCCGACGGCATCCGTTTCGCACTTTTGCAGGCGTCATCTGTCGTCGAACCTTTGCAGTGCTAACGGTGCTGAACGACAATGTGACGTGCCACGGTCGCGTTTACGAAACGTTTTCCCATTTTAACGTCAGGGGATGCTTCGGATGTGGAATAGACAGTCATGAATAACCGAATAAAAAACTTTTTAAAAACAATTTTGTTTTAATACGATTTCTTCTTCAGATAAGCAATTTTGAAAATAGTCTTAGGATCAAAAAACAAGCAGCATTGCATTATTTGCAGGAAAGTATTAAACGTCGCGCATGAAGAATTAATTTCACGATGTCACGCGTGTCGATCAGTCAGTGTTTTCATTAAACAAGGAGTCACTGAAAGTAAAATTGTCATTGTCGTGAACATCCCCACACATATGTCGATCGCCAAAACACAAGTACTTTTGAATCATCTCAATAAAGTCAGCCAGTTCTATGTTTTCACAGCTCTCAAAACTCTTTTTTTCCGCTCGGCCCAGACCAAACCCAAGCGAGAAAGAACTCTTTCCATCATCGGAATCCGTCCCTCCTATACAATGTACATATCCACCGTAAACAGTGTCGGTAGAAAGCCCTACCCTTGTCTGATTTTCCAGGGTGGCGGCAGTCGGATAATAAGTTAAAGGGAGGATGGAACTAGGCGTTTCCGGCTACTTTTCAACTCTACGCGTGGCTTCACCTTTCTACATCCCCCCACACACACTCAAGGTGTGCGTTTTCCCTTTCAGCCGGCGACACACGTATGTGCTTGACTTGTTAAACCCTATAATGCGCACACGCGCGTATCGTCTTTTGTGCGTTTTTGTGATTTTCAAATGCCCATAGCCTCACCGAAGTGCGGTATGCTGCTGTTAAATCAGGATTTATGTTCGGCTGGGGAATATGTCGTAAACTGCTAAATTTGAAGAGAAGTTGTATAAACGTTTTATTGCTCGTTAATTATGTGACATTTGTAAACTATACGTGCCTACGTTGCGCCATGAATTTCAAATTGGGAAATAGAGAAGAGGGTGTTTTTCTTTTTTCTTTTTCACAGGTACAGCGGCTTTTATTAAAGTGACATTATAGCAAATAATAACATGCATGACTTGAATAGCAACTATGAATACTTTGAAATAATGCGAGAATCACTTATACTGAACTAAACGGCAAGTGTCACTTTACATTTTTCCATTATACGCCTTTGAAATCTTTCACTCTATTAAAACTTCCAACGGAAAAAAAACGGAAATTTTTTTCTCTTCTACAACCACAGTAAATGAAAGTTTGTGGTATTTTTTGTCCAACACACAATTCTACGCTGAAACATCTTCCGTAAACCTTTTTTCCACTTCTCTCTCACTCTTTTTGTCGATGTTTCCTTCCGATCTATACGCTCTCCGGCACGTGACCAAGCCACGCGATAAACACTCATCCGAACGAGGGAGTAGACGAAGAAGCTGCATGCTTTTTTTCATGGCTATTTTAAAATGCATCTCTTCGCGTTTTGCTCAGCTGCTGATGCTGCTGTAGATTGTAAATGCCCCTAAAGTTCATCTTTGATACACTGCTTTTTTGTCGAAATAGCCAGATAAAGATATTAATTTTTAACGAATAGTCGACGATTTAAATTAAATTCATTCGCAATAGTTGTCGGATGCCGATTGAAAGATTACTCCGAAATCGCATGCAAATTAAATGAACTAATATAAGATCGAATTATTTCTATACAGGTTTCATTAATGAAAAAAACATGTTTTTTTTATCTACAAAGCTATTTACGCATCGAGTTATTTAGTAGCTCCTCTCAAAAGAAATGAAAAAACTCACCCTCCCACGTGGAGGGATGCTGATAGCGTGGGATCCACGAAGAAAACCAGTCCCAGTGGTGAGGTTCCAAAAATGAAATTCGACAATCGCCCACAAAAACAACTCGTCAAAAGTAATTATGATTCTTTCTTTTTTTCGGTGATTAAAAATTGATCGTGGCGCAGGATAAATAGCCGCACTGAGATGTTTGGCATAGTAGCCAAGCACGTGAATCTTGAAAACGTTGCGCCGGGTGGCCAAAGCAAAAGGTGGCCACACGGCGGGCACTTGCGTCAGCAACTCTCTCGAGTGAGAGCAGCGCTTTATTTTCGGCAAGCGAAGAAGAAGAAAGGCGTCGGCGTTGGCACACGCGCTTATACTTCGTCGAGTGGAAAGCTTTCGGGACACCTGTTTCCCGATGAGCTTTCGTCGATGGCGAACGTTACTCAATCGCCTCGACGCCTGACGACAGTTAGCAAATACTTTTGCCGGTGCGCCTCGAATAGCATTTCTCATTGGGAGTATCTCTCCGTGAGCTTGAAAATGTTGACGGCGAATCGAAATTTCACCATCGCTGCCAATCAGACGATACAGCTACGAGTAAAAGGGTGAATTTATAGCCGAGCTATTCGACTGACCGACTAATTAATTATAGCCGCCGTCGATCGATCTTCGGCTTATTGGCTTGGGCGTGCATTTTCGACAGCTCGCGCCCGCGATCGGCGAAATAAGCCGTCCCTCACTCGCGAGCTTTGGAAGCCCGGCATCCTCGGGGAGGACTCCGGTAGCGCGCAGACACCGGCGCGGCGCGCGGTATATCTCGAGCAAAGCAGGTTGCACGCCGGGCGTCTGGTGCTTTCGCTGGCGCTGGCCGGACGCCAGCGGACAAGTCACCGATTTAGAGCGCGGCGCGCGGCTTCGGCGCTGACTAAGCCCTCGAGGCATTCATTCAGCGCTCGATCTTTCGCGGAGCGATCTTCGGCTTTCGCGGAAGTCGGCTCGCGAGCTCGTCGCCGCGGAGCGCCAGCGGCGACGACACCCGATGCGCTTCGCCCGAGCTCCCCCGCACGGCCCCACGTCCTCCCGATCTTGTGTCTCGCGTCGCGTCGAGAGCCACGCGCGCACGTCCGCGAAACGGATGATTCATGTTTTTCATTTGCGTTGCTCTTGTTTTTTTTCGCGCCACCTCCGTTATTTTCGGCGCGTCGCGAAAGCGAGCCCCGAAAATAAAGACGCAGACGCGCGGCTTCAATGAAAATCCGAGTATCCTGCGCACCGGCAGCGCGCGAAGGAGCGCATTACCCGCGCCGAAAATAGATCGGCGCGCGTATCCGAGCGAAGGGGTCCACGCCCACGCGAATCGCGCGCGGCGCCGATCGTTAATTTTGGCCGAGGTGAGCGTGCGCCCGCGACTCGACCAGGCGAGCGGGCGATCCTCGGCTACCTGTTGCGCTGCGCGGGCGCGCGCGCGACCGGGACCGGGTCTTCGCCGAAAATAGCGCGCTGCGAGGCTGGACGACGGATTCTCCGCGAATCCAGTTGGATTGCGCGCGCGATCGGACGCTGCGCAGCTCGCGACGGCATCGGGCCGATCGGCACGTCGGCGCGTCGGCGCGTCGGCGGCAGTCAGCGGGCTCGTGTTTATTTCGCTGGATAAACAAGGCGCGCACGTGCGCTCGACCGCGCGTCGCCAATTCGGCGAGGCCCGAGGTCGATCGGCGCGGGGCCTCGAAAATCAATAAGCCAGAGAATAAGAGAGGAGCAGCACACGGGGGGCCGTAGTCGTAGCGGGGTGGTGGTGGCGGTGGTGGTGGTGGTGTCGCTGCCGCTGGCACTGCCGCCGGTGGTGGCGGCGGTGGCGCAGCTGCGCGGCTACTGAAAAATCTCTCCGCGTGTGCAGCCTCGCGATGAAAGAGAGGGAGAGCGAGCTATATGTAGCCCGAGGGCTCGGGCGCCGACGGCACATTGCGCCTGCGACCGCGCACACGCGAGCATCGGCGCGCCCGTTCACGTGCGCGCGCGCGCGGTCAAGTGTCGAGTCAGTTGATTTCTGGTGCGGGCTATGAGGAGCGCGTGGTGAGGGCGGACTTCACCGCAGCGCGCGCAAGCATGCCCAGGGCTTTTCTCATCGCCAGGAGGCGATACGGCGCCGACGCTGCCGCCGAGGAGCTCGAGGACGTTGCCAGGGGTAAGTGCTGACCGCCTTCGCGCGGATCTTCCCTTCTTGCCCGTGGGACGTGTCGCCAGCGCGACCCGGCCGACTCTCGGTCGATCAAGCCGCGCAGCTAATTTCGACAAATCGCGCGATTCGCTGGGTAAATAACGTGCGTCGAACCGCCGGATTACGCCTACCGAGTGTCTTACGTAATGACGAAAATATAAATCGCTATCAGGAATCGACGATCGACGCGGGCATCGCGCGCTCAAACCAATTTTCGCGCTGATGAAACTCGCACGTATATATACATCCCATCTAAATTTACACGCTTTCGACTTTTCCATCGGTATTACAAGGGTCGTCGACCTCCATTTCGAAAAGTGCATCTCAATATATATATATATATATGCGTGCGAAGAGAACAAGAGATAGAGGACAGAAGAAAGAAAACACGATATAGTACGAGGCAAGGAAATCGGAAGAGTAAAGTGCGTGCCTGAGCGATAAATTTTTTTGGTCGTGACCGGCCGCCGTCTTTTCGGGAGCGCGGAGGTAACGCGAAGGTCTTTTTTTGCGCAACGTGGCTCTTTGCGACCAAATCGCGGCCGCGCGAGGAGGCGCGTCGTCGTCGAGGAGCGAAAGCCACGCGCACTCCCAGTGGATACGGCTCGAACGAGCGTCGCACCGCTCGTCGCGGTCGGACAAACGATATCGACGATAAATAAAGCGAACGCGCGACGAGCGTGCCAGAGCACCGTCGCGTTGGCGCTCGGTGCCAGTCAACCCCTCGCTCGGGCGCGCGCCTCCTTAAAGTTCTATTTCCGTTCTCGCCGAATAAGGAACAGCCGGGCCGCGCTCCGCCGCTCGCCAGTCGATATCGACGCCTCGTCGGCCGCCGGGGACGCTCTTTCGCGGCGAGCCGACGTCGTCGACGCGCGGAGTCGCGCGAGCGAGCAACAGGCGACGACTTTGACGCAGGCGCGACTCGCGGCCTCTTCCAAATCGCTGGAGCACTGCCAGCCGAGCGTCCGAGTTTAGACCGTCGGCGACGCAGCCGCGCGACCAAGCGACGACGGGAGAAAGAAACGGCAGGCCCACCACTCGCGACCACCTGGCGCCGAGCGGGCGGCCCCGCAGGAGCAGAGCTGAGCGCGCGCCTCCCACTTGCAGAGTACAGTCCCGAGCGCGGGGTGCGCCTCGCGGACTACGGCGGCGGCCAGCAGCCGACGTCGGACGGCGCGAGCGACTGCAGCGTGGGCAGCGACAGCTCGAGCGAGTGCCCCGACGAGCTGTACAACCTGACGAAGCTCGCGGAGGTGAGCCTGGCCGCGGCGGCGGGCACGCTCGTCCACCCGGCGCAGCGCTGCGACTCGGAGGCCGAGAGGACGCGGGCCTTCTTCGAGAGGATCGAGGCCGAGCGCGAGAGCCTGGTCGAGCTCAAGTCGCGCGGCCCGGGCGAGCGCGCGGACGGGCCGGCGGAGGGCGGCGCGTGCCCGGCCGAGTTCAAGGTGAGTGTCGACGCGCGAGCGCGCTCGCGACCCCGGGACTGACGGCCCACGCTTGCGCAGGCCGAGGAGCAGCGGCGCGAGCGCTCGGCCGCGCCGGCCGGCGACGCGCGCTGCGCCAGCCCGGCGGCCGCCCAGCAGGGCGACGAGGAGCACGAGTGCCCGGACTGCGGCAAGAAGTACTCGACCTCGTCGAACCTCGCGCGCCACCGCCAGACGCACCGCTCGCTGGGCGACAAGAAGGCCCGGCGGTGCCCCCACTGCGACAAGGTCTACGTCAGCATACCGGCCTTCAGCATGCACGTGCGCACCCACAACCAGGGCTGCAAGTGCCACTACTGCGGCAAGTGCTTCTCCAGGCCGTGGCTGCTCCAAGGGCACATTCGCACGCACACCGGTGAGTGCGCTCGGCGCTGACGCTGTCCGCGCGTCGCCGGCCGCCCGACTGAGCCCCGTGCTTTTGTTTCGCAGGCGAGAAGCCATTCAAGTGCACGATCTGCAACAAGGCCTTCGCCGACAAGTCCAACCTGCGGGCGCACATCCAGACGCACTCGAACACCAAGCCGCACGTGTGCCAGCGCTGCGGCAAGGCTTTCGCGCTCAAGTCCTACCTGTACAAGCACGAGGAGTCGTCGTGCATGCGAGCGCACCACTTGCAGCAGAGGTCGTCGAGCGCGACCGCGAGGGAGGCCTCCAAGAGCCCGTCGTCCACGCCCACCTCCGTCATCGTGCCGCCCAGAAGCTCGGCTTTCGCCACGGTCGTCAAGCACACCGGTCCCGAGGCGACCGCTCACCTGCCCGGCAAAGACCTACTGTCGCGGATGGTTATCAGAACCTCGGTCATCTCGCCGAATCCGGAACATTTGGCGAGGTTCGCCGAGAAGAAAGCTAGCCAGCAGAACCTTTTGGATCTCAATGATCCCAGTCGAGTTTCGGCCTTCTCGAGGCCGCAATCGATCACTTTCAATTTGGCTATCGCTTGAGGATCCTCTCGCTTTCTCGAGTGCGCCGCCAGAATTGCGCTTGAAACTTGCGATTGATTGCTTGCGTTTTCGCGACGAGTCATATTCCAGCTTTCGTATCCTAATAGGGACCACTTAGACGACACAATTTGTTGTGTTTTAACGATGTAAAAGTGACTTTCCGCCAACAAACAGACAATGAAACTGTTTCGCGCGAAAAAATGAATGAAAATCAAGTGATGTTTGTTTGAAGCGTCGTCGAGTCAAATCTTGCATTCTGTAAATATAAATTTTAAGAGCAAGCCTTTATCTTCTTTTCTCTCGTTTTCTTTTTTAATCTAAGTGTATGGTTAATTTTAATTGTACTTTGCCAAAGGTGCTCATTTTTCTTCGCAGTGCCATATCTAAGTAGCGAGTAGAAGATTGAATATATATATAGCGGTACGAGCTTACGTTTCTTACTTTTCTGTTCTTTTCTTTTTTTTTTATTGCCCACGTTATGGCAGCTTGAGATGTATAAATACAATGCGAATATAATTCTAGTTTGTGAGTTTTCACCACTTGCACGCTCGTCATAAACGCGGAATGCAAATTTTCCGTGAGAAAAACAACTGCAATAAATTTTAGGTTGCTCTGTATTTCTTTTCTTTTCATTTATAATCTCGTTTCTTTTCTTTTATTTTTTTTTATGGGATCGCTCTTGTAGGCGATAGAGTGTATGTGCTAGTCAAACTCATCTTGCGATCTTTCGATGCCCAAATCGTAAAATTTGACTTTGACTTTAGGCGTCGGCTTACGTCGAAATTCAACGAATGCAGTGTACATACGGAAAAAAATTGTTGACGTTATTTTGTGCTCGATTGAACATTATATACACACATGCACACCATCGAACTGACAAAGAAAACATACGATAGGAAGCATAGCGGGACAATGTAAAGATTACCCGCAAGATCAAGATGATGTTATTTTTGATATTTAAAATTAAAATGTCCTAGAAACTTAATCGACGGATCAGATGTGTATGACCTAGTCAAATATCGAACAATAAAACCAATTTTCGTTTTGTTTTACTTTTCCTCACAAGTTTCAACTGAAAAAACATGCTTGCAAAAATGTAAACTTATTTGTAGTTTTGCTTTTTTCTACGACGACCGCTCAAATTGCTTGATTCGATTGTGACAGCTACAACTTGTAACTGTACTCAATACAGCGTAGAATGCTCAACATTGTCGATTGTCCTCTGAAATTATAATCAACCATTTTTTGCTATACCTACGCTAAAGATAAAAAGAGAAAGTCTGCTTGATTAGATTTAGCCATACCAAAAAATTTACTTCAGTCTGTTATATATATTTTTTGATAATATAAAATTATAAGAAAATTATCATTGTATATATGGCATTCCCTTACGGTACTATGATGTAATTATAAAGCGAGTCGTTTAATTATTACATTTGTATCCTAAACTATGACTACATCCTACACAGAGAGTGCCTTAAACTTTTTACCAACTTTTCTATGACTTGTTAGAAAAACTTATCTGCGATTGTTAAATAAAGAAGTTATATATCCGAAATTTGTTTTGTTTCAAGTAATATATAGTAGTAATTAACCTTACACTTGTATACCGTTAACTATGAAAATTCTTGTTAATATCAATGACTTTCTGTCAGAATTATTATGCATTAAAAGAGTTGGCATAGCAGTTTCCATCAAGACATCTTGTTCACTTCGTTTTGCTGATCTCTAACTTGAGTTCTACGTGCAGTTGTTCTATAAATAGTTTCACTATGTGTACTTACGTGACACCATTGCTTACTTTTCTAGCTGTTATTTCAACAAATCTAAGGCACATTTCTCCAAAGTTTATTCAAACTTTGTAATCTGTATCTTGTAATGTATATCTTGATATTTTGCTTTCCAAAACAGACGATCTAACTACCATACGAGCGAATTATGTATATTGCCTTGAAACGTATAGGTACATTTATTCATATGCTTGCAAATATTAGGTCGTGCATCCGAAACGAAAGCTTTATGAATACGATATAGAAGTGCTGAATAAAGAAGATAATAATAATAGTGCATAAGAAAAGTATAACGATGATAAATAATTTTAATAATTAAGAAGATGAATATTATCGTGATCAAGAAATAAAAGTTAACGATGAAACACATGATTAAGCAGTGAAACTCTTGGAAGTCACGCGTATGACATAACACCACCAAAATTTAGGGCAACTTTTCGAAGAGCCGAGTCTATCGACACTAGTTCTTTTAAGAAGGCGATGTGCGTTATTAATCCATTACCGCTCACAGGACGGTTTTTCAAGAGCAGAGTTCGCATTATTACCACTTAATGAATTTGAACAGAAAACATTATTTTTTATTATAATTATTGTTATTCAGAAACTATTATTCCCTTATCTTTAAGGGCGCTCTTTTCAATGGTGCTTAAAAAATTTGTTGCAAAATATAGTTTTTATCCAAAAAATTCTTTATATATATACATATGTTTATACATGTTTCATCGTCGACTTATGTATATTTCTTGATCACGATAATATTCATCTTCGTCATTATCAATAATTTTTTTATTACCGTTATACGCTTCTTATGCACTATCCTTATTATAGTCTTAATTCACTACTTCTATATCGTATTCATAAAGCTCTTTGTTTTTATTCTCCATCGTAATAAATAGCCATTTATAAAATAAGCTTTTTTCGGAAAATTAACGAAAACATATTTTGGATTCCCAAATAAATATAGATTTTGAAGAAGAAATAATAGAAAATTAAGATTTCAAGCATAAATTGTACATTAGCTAACTAGTGTGAGGTTTACACACAAGCGAAGAGAGGAATTATACCAAGCTGGATTCGTGACAATTGTGAATTTGACCGAATTGTCGCTATGCGTATTTTATTTGCAGAATGCAGATTAACGCTGAAATAGTGGTCGAAATAGCTTCTAATTACATGAGATTCTCGCGTTCAACGTACACTAAAACAACTTACAGACATTTACAAAAAAACCTCTTTCTTCACTTATCAATTTACATATAGCGCAATCCATACTGATCCTATAGCATGAAAAAATCAATCAACAAATAGGGTCGTCTGCGTATGGTAAATATTAACTTCAACTCGTAGCTTTCCGTCAACAACTACTACATTTAGAACTCACGAAAAAATGCCAAATTTAACTAAAGGAACAAAGAAGCAGCGATGGATTCATGGATGCGTAACCGCAACTGAATAATTTCTCGTCTGCAATGACGAAATAATCGCAAGATCGATTTCGCATCTACAACAAAGGAGAAAAATAAGCTCGGCTGAATGATCGGCGTTGTGCGCGGCATTGGTCAAAAAAGAGCTTGGCTGGCACACGTAATGACGCAACTCGGATATAGACTTCACATAGGCGGCGGAGAAAGAAGATACTCGGCTATGGCTTATTAATGAATTGGGTCAATCGGATGAAGCGAACCTTGGGTTCGATAGGCTCCGCTTCACGTGACCTGCATCTCCCATTTTTTTCTTCGATTTTTTTTTCTAGGGTGTGCTCTTCCCTCTCCCTCCCTCTCTATCTCTCTCTTTTGCTTACTCAGGATGGGCTGTTGAGTGCGCGCTTGACCGCATCGAAATGGCTCTTCGATACCTACCCGTGTACGCGATATACTCTAAGACCGAAGTTCCCGTCGAGCTCGCGTCGTCTTTTCGATCGCTTACGAAATGTTTCCGTTGACGCCGAATAAACGATTCCCCGGTAGCCGACGCCCGATCGAGCGACGAGCCTTGCGCTACGTTCGCGCCAAAAATACACTGACGCGACGTCGAATAAGCTTCCGCACCGTGGCCCTAGGACCATTATCTTGAACGCACTATACGCCCAGCGCAAGGTCGCGGACATTTTCGCTGCTCCCCGTCGCCGATTCCATAAAGTTTCGCGCTCCGCGAGACAACGGTAGTAGTGGGAGGAGCAGCGGCGGCAGCGTCGCTAAGAAGAAGCGCCGCGAACGACGCCGAGAGCGTCAGTAGGCGAACGAAAGCCAACGGCACCGGCAGTTCCGTTCCGTTGCTGCTGTCCACTGCACCTTATCGCGCTTTCGGAGCGCTTTATCGCACAAAATGCGTATCTCGGCGCTCGTCTTGCTTCTGTGTCTGGCTGTTGCTGTACGCGCTCACCGATATCATGTGAGTTTTTAGGCGCTGATTTGCTTTTATTTCGACGCAAACTGGTCTTTATCGAACCGAGAGAGATGTGGGGAACACAATATAATTTGCTTCGATGATTTTATATCGCTTTTACCGCGATTCTTTCGTCATTTTGCAACTCGTTCCATGATCATTCTCGTGAATTAAAAACGTGAGATGCAACCATCAGCGCGTTCGTTGGAATTAACAGTCGCGTAGAATGATTCTCTCGAGTTGAATAATTGTGGAATTATAAATCATTCGCCTCGTTAAATATGCACACCGTGCATACGTTCGAATCGAAACTTCGACATTTAAACTTATCCACAGATTGTTTTTGAAATTGCTGAATTGTCATAAATTTTTTAAATACGAAATACTTCATCTCACTGTCATTGCAATTTTACGTTCCTAACTAATCATTGAATTTCCTTTAATAAAATCTATCGAACAAGTTTCAATTTATACTGTAACCATCCTAAACGTTCACAAGACTGTATGTTCAAGCACTGCACATGAATTTCTTGCTGACGGCGTAAAAAGTGACGAACAGCAAAAGAATTCGTTTAATAACTGGAATGACGTACACTGAATTCTCCTCAACGTTGAAAAAAAAATTGAACTTTATCTTGGTGAACAGAAGCTTGACTCGAATCATCATTAATAAATAATAAACAAACAGTTAATCGTACGTCGTATAACAATTTTTAAGGATAAAACACCAAAATACGAGTTCAGAGTTCAAGTGGGATAAAAGCGTTGTGTATGATAGACGACCTCTTTTTCTATGTGCGTACATCAAGTGGCGTACACGTGGTATATGTAGTAGGGTTTTTCATTACGCGTTGGTTTATAAGAGTAACCCGCATTTTATTTCACAATTGTATTTCGACAGAAGCTTATGAAAAAATTGTTCAGCCAAGCATAAAGTGTAATTATCAAAACGACGATGCTCATGAGATCCAAGTCGCTGATTCTTCAGACGAATTCAAATGTCTTAACTGTTTATCCTTGGTGTAGCAGAGCAGTATTTCCTCTCGTCGCGTTGACAGTCGAGTATTGAGTAATCCAACTCGTGTCAAGTTGAAGCGGAGCGCAAAACGATAAAAAAAGGAATTGCAATCAGCTTCGTATCTCCCAGCATCATCATTTTTGTTTTTAGGAAAAAACACGATTTGATCGTTCGATAGATTACGAGAATGAGAAAAACGCAAGGATCCACGTGCTGAACAAGAAGCCACGAATTTTCACAGATTTGGAAACGGTAAGAGGGCAGTTGAAGTCGTAACGACGATCGACTTTTATAAACGTACGTATATCAAAATTTTTCAGCATTACACAGCTTACAAAGACGCTTCCCAGAATGCCTGTTATCTCGAGAGTACACGAGACAACAGACTCGACGAGCTAAACTTCTGGACGGATGTGATTCGGAGCAACAAAAAAACACTTTACGCCTCGAATCACTCGCTCACTAAGATTGAGGTAACAATGCTAGCCGCCAACTCTTTACTTTCACTTTCTTATAGGCTCTTTATCTTTCTATTCGCAATGTAAATTCGAGCAGCGATTCTCTAAATGTAACTTTTATTTTCATTATGAACTATTCATTCAGAAAAAAGTACATTAACAGTAACAATTCAATAGTTAATTCGTCCTTGCAAACGATAAACAATCTTTATTGATTCTTTAATAATGTTCTCGAGGTCTTTCAACTATACGTTTTCCTTTATGTTATAAAATTAAAATAACAATAAATTACTAGTATACGCATATATCTTTTACATTCACCGAAATCACTGCAGAAAAAAGTACTGTCATCAAGATGCATTGTTTCGTCGAGCGCGTAATGGTCTAAACAGTTATAATTCACGTTCTTCAATATATTATGATATGCAGGTGTGTGTAATGTATCGCCGATTGTTTTCAAGTCTATTATTTAATGCAAACAATATAAATGAAGTTTTATCGAATTATAAAGAGAGTTTTCGATGCCATGAAAATTGTCGTTCGTCAATAAACTGACATTTGTTATGGCCGTTAGATTTCATCAATTTATACAGCGCTATTTTCTCAATCGTTTACTTATTAAAAAGAGAAAAAAGATACGAAAGAATCTGTGAAATTCGTCAGGCATGGCGTCTAGCAGGAGGAAGAATCGTAGAATTCTGCAAAGGCATGAGAATAATACAACTGACCGAAACCAAGCCCGATCCATCCATAATCGAGGATCCATTTTTCAACAAGTTGCCCGAGGATGAAAACGACATCGTTCAGAAGCGCATTGCCGATGTCGTATTGCATCCATTGAAAGCGCGCGCCAAGAGGCAAGCAATTTTGGAAGAACGCGAAAAATTGAATAGAGAGCTGGCGATGACGGAGCGCAGGAAGCGCGAGACGAGAGGCCGATTTCGCGGACAAACGCAATCGCAATACATGAACGTTGGTGCCGATGGTCAAAAAGAGGGTCGAGCTGAGGCTGAGGCTACGCAGCACGCGTCGCGCGCCGTCGTCAGTAAGTACATCGCTCGACGGTTCGCTTTACGCTATAATGCGCATTTTCGTGCTGACGAACATTTCTTTCGTCAGCATCGTTCGCAATCCGATAGTCAGCGGACACTTCGTAATTGTTAAACGCGTGAACGTTTTTTTTTATAGGTGGTAGCAGCGGAATGGGCCAAGCACAAAGTATGTCAACCGGATCCGACGGTTGCGACGGTTGTCCTGTATTGAACATCCCGTCTAGCGTATTTCAAGGTGTGAGAGAAAACTAAAAACAATTGCCTGATTTTTCTTTTTTAATATTAAATAACACGTTGCGCTTGACTTTTATCACAATCAAAACTAATTTGTCGTGCGTGCAATCCAGCTGACATGTCATACGTAATGATGCACGCTACTAATGTTTCAGAATGATGCCTTTTACGATGAATCTTTAACATGTCCAATGTATAAAAATAAAACGAACGATAAACAAAACAAATATTTGCGCATTATTTTATTAAACCCCAACGACTAAATAAATTTATATTTGTAAGTATCACGATGAGCCTTTTGCAATCACACTTTAACAGAAAATTCTTACTACTTGCTGCACTGAATAACAAACTGTAGGAAATAAAGACATTACATGAACAAGCGGTACACTTACCCTGGAGGTACAACAGGAACGCAAGTTCCCGGTGGTACTTATCTTCCAGGAACACAACCTGGGCAAGTTTATCCAGGTGGACGGGGAGTTATTCCCGGGTCAGTTCCTGATACTTCTGTGTTGGGAAGATTTTATCCTCCAGGAGCAGCCATTATGATACCGGGCGGACAAATGCCAGGTGTAACTAATCCTCCGATCGTAGAAGGTGGAGATATAAATATATGTATATCATTTCAAAATTTTTAAAATATAACAAAATCTAATTAAAATTTTGTTAAAGGAGGAAATGTTCCTGGAACTCAGACTGGTTCACAAGTGATTGGATCTCTGCCAACGCAGAGGCCAGGAGGCCCAACAGTCGTACAGATGTCTGGTGGACAACCTGGCGTTCAAATACCCAGTGGACAACCTGGCATTCAAATACTTGATGGACAGCCTGGCTTACACATACTAGGTGGACAACCAGGAACGCAAATACCTGGTGGGACATATCCAAATGTAGTTATTCCTGGTGGTCCAACTGGAGGAGGTGGTGGAACACAAATAAAACCGTATCCACCGGGTACTAAAATTCCCAGCATACAAATGCCAATCGCTAGTGGAACATATTTTCCTGGTAAATATTAGCTATGTATGTGATAAGGAAGTTTTTTTTAACTTACTTTATAATTATCTGTTATAAATTTAGGATATACATATCCTAGTGGAACATATCCTGGCGCTCAAATTCCTTCTGGTAAGTTTCCATTGGATAGATATTAAAGCAAAAATTATTTTAATGATAATAAAACATATGAAATTAACTGATGAGATATTTTTACTATTTCCTCGTGAAAAAGTATATTATTCTCCAGGTACGCAAGTAATTAGCCATCCGAGTATGGTATATCCTACAGATAACACGCAAAAATCAACAGGTTATCCATACCAACCATATAGACCAATAACACAAGTACCTGGAAGTGATGCACAGGTGATTGGTGATGGTTCAACGGGCCTGCAAATACCTAACATGCCAGGTTATCCATCTGGTGCACAAACAAATGGCCCTGATACGCAAATTTATCAGCCTGTAATACAGGTACCTGGAGGTAGTTCACAAATCGTTGGAGGTACTGTGACAGGCACTTATGTGCCGGGTACACAAGTTGGAGGTGGTAGTCAACAAGTAACAGGCGTCCATCCTCCTGGTACACAAGTAGGAAGCGGTGACCAACAAGTAACTGGGGCTTATGTTCCTGGTGTGCAAGTTGTTGGAAATGTCGCTACAGGCATCCAAGTACCAAGCGGATTGAATTATTCGCCAGGTTCACAAATTTATCAGCCTAGAAAACAAACTATTGGTAATATACTAGGTGGAGTATATCAACCTGGTATTAATGTAGGAGGAGGTACTGTCACAGGAACCCAAGTATATCAACCTGGTCAGCAAATGACTGGAGGTATTTATCCGAGTGGACACTTTGTCTATCCGCCGGGTACTCAAGCAAATCCTAAAGAAGCCATACCTGGAATTCAGTTCATTCCTGGTATGCAAATACCAGGTGGCGTAGTATTTCCAGGAGAAAATCAAGTACCTGGAACGTATCTATCTGGTATGAATTAAAAAAATCTCATCTTCATCTTTAAAACGGCATCCGATTGAAAATGCTTTGAATCATAATTTCATTCGTAATAAAAAATTATAGGTGGTACTAATGGCAGCGGTACAGCAGATGATGGAAGAACTACTACAACAAAACCTCCTACTCGAGGTGATATACCAGGTACAACAATTTATCCTGGAGGATCAACGGATACATCAGGAGTAAGCGTACCACCTTTAGTAGTACCAGGTAACAATCTTTTAAGCGTCGAAAATTTTCGAAATTTGTTAATACTATTTGTTTTCGTAACTACAATTACTATAATCCTCAGGTGGCTTATATCCGCCAGGCAATGCTGGTCAGACACTTTATCCTGGAGTAATACCGGGACAATATCCGGGTATAACTGGTGGACAACAACATTCTGGAACAGCATTACTTCCTGGTCAAGTTCCTGGTAAAGTCATGATTCCAGGAGGACCTGGAGTTATCGTTGGTACTCCAGGACAGACAAATGTAGTGCCTGGTCAAGGTATAATTCTAGGTGGACCTGGAGTTATCGTTGGTACTCCAAGACAGACTAGCGTAGTGCCTGATCAAGCCATGATTTCAGGAGGACCTGGAGTTATCGTTGGTACTTCAGGACAGACTGGTATAGTACCTGGTCAAGGTGTGATTCTGGGAGGACCTGGAGTTATCGTTGGTACTCCAGGACAGCCTGGTATAATGCCTGGTCAAGGTATGGTTCCAGGAGGATCTGGAGTTATCGTTGGTACTCCAGGACAGAATGGTATAATGCCTGGTCAAGGTATGGTTCCAGGAGGACCTGGAGTTGTCATTGGTACTCCAGGACAGACTGGCATAGTACCTGGTCAAGGTGTGATTCTGGGAGGACCTGGAGTTATCGTTGGTACTCCAGGACAGCCTGGTATAATGCCTGGTCAAGGTATGGTTCCAGGAGGATCTGGAGTTATCGTTGGTACTCCAGGACAGAATGGTATAATGCCTGGTCAAGGTATGGTTCCAGGAGGACCTGGAGTTGTCATTGGTACTTCAGGACAGACTGGCGTAATGCCTGGTCAACCAGGAATTGTCATAGCTGGAGATGACAATGCCGATTCTCAAGCGATCAGTTCTGTAAAGCAAGGTGAAGGTGATACAATGGCAAGTGCCACGGCTGAAGGACGACATGGACAAGGTAGCGCTAAGTCACACGTCAGCGGAACATATACCGGATCTGGTGCATTTTCCGCTGAAGCCGGCACAAGTGATAACAACAAGAGCGCTCAGACGCAAGTAAGTTTAACGTAAGTCGTGCGAATCTTGTGGAAGATGTCAATGACTATTCGTTTGTTTGCCAGGTAAGCGGTGGCAAAGAGGGTGCCAAGAGCAGTGCTCAAGGCAGCGGTGGTCTTGGTAAAAGTCAAGTTCAAGTCGAGTTGGACTCTGACTCAGGAGCAACATCAACCAATGCACAAAGCAGTGGTTGGAACCATGGCACAAATTCCCAGGTTCAAGCCAGTGGTAGTGGTGGTATGGCCGATGCGCAAGCAAACGGTGAAGGTCAAACCTCCAGCCAAGCTCAAATTGGCTTTCAGCCATACATCAACCGCAATGAAAAATTTGAGAAATTGAAGAATCCTTTTCGAGGCGGTGGCTCCGCCATGGCTCAAAGTGGCACTTACAGAGGCCAATCACAGTCTCAATTGCAGGGTTCCTTTCACTATGGCATTAGCTACACTGGTGCTGCTCAGGCTAATTCAGGTTCTGGTTCTACGGCCTTGAGGAAGCCCTTTAACTTTACTAACGATCCGAGTCTTTTCAAGCCATTTAAATTCGATAAACCCGAAAGCACAAGCGCAACTGTGCCGAAAGATCGATTAGAAGGTGCAAGCTCGACAAGGCAAACAGTTATAGCTATCACTTCGAGACATAATCAGGCGGACAAGAAAAGTAAAGTGGAACCTACGAGCAAGTATATAAGCGATGATGAAGAGTACGAAGAAGAATACGACGATGATGATTACGGCGATGCAGTCTCGTCTACGACTCCAAGACATACGACTTATCCATCCAGTATGCCTATGAGCAGACAAACGATGAGAGTTATCACCGACGGGGAGTACGAAGTAAGTGTGAAGCAACAAGAAACTACCGAATCGGCTGAACGTTCATTACCTGGTTACATCGCAGCCAGCAATCAAGGTAAAGTTGTATCAATGGCTGGGAAGAAAACTATCGCTCAAGGCGATGGAAAGTCTCAAAGCCAAACCGTACACATAGTCCCAGCAAATCGAACAACCGCAACACCAAAAATCGAGATCAAGAATCCTTCTACCGATACGAGGTCATTACATTCGGATCGCATGGGAGGAATTTATTACGGTAATGTGAAAACTTCAGCCGATGAGCCGTCGTCGCCAAAAACGAGCTTCGTTTCAGTGACGAACAGCGTTGCTGGCAAAATGAACGAACAGAATCCCGCGAAGAAGTACGAGCACAGGTATTACACCAAGAGTTCAACTTGCGGATATTTTACGTTCTCGTGTAACGTTGTTTATGGATCAAACGGACGCAGGAAGATTTGCAAACCGAAGCTACCGACTTACTCAGATGGCACGTCCAAGTGTTGATATTATTTTTACATTCTCTTGACCATACGCATTTTTATTATGTCTCGTAGATTTTTTCAAGTTAGCTTTCCAATGATTCTATTTTTATCAGACGTATTAGTACAATATCATTAGAAATATATTCATTAGTGATATGTAAGTTTGTAAGTAGCATTTTTTAATTTTGGAAAGTTATAAGAAATGACTATTGAATTGAATGATCTTTCAAAGTTTTAATATGTCTAGTTTTTTTATTTATAAATGATGAATATTGCATTATTAGTTTGACAATACACTGTCATTTGATAAAGACTGTATCAAAACTAAATAAAAAATACAAATGACAAATTGCTGTATAGCTTTGAAAATAATAATCGCAAAATTATACAATTTATATAGTCTGTGCATTCCAGAATGTAGTATTTATATATAAATAAAGCTTTTTATATAATTATTTAAAAATAAAAAAAAATTAATAAATTAGGGATTATTATTTCTCTCAGTTTTCTACTTAAATGTACGAAAGACCAAACAGTGAGCTTGCAATGAAGAGACAAACATTTTATGACACTGTATACGTCCTTACAAAGATTCCAACGATAAAAGCGACAAAATATCATGAAACGTGACTTAAGGTACTCGAAGATTTGCGTATACAGTTTGACGCATTATTGCTTGAAACTTGACATGTAAATTCAGATACAAGATTTTGAATCATATATTCGTTCTTGACATTTTTTCGTACATGACATCAGAAAAGGTATTATTTTTTTAAATTAGTTTCATCTTATATTATTTTCTTTTATCACGCATCAGTCGTTTGGTAATTCTGAGGTATTACTTATAATATTCATACGTGAGTCTTATTTGACATAAATGCACTGATTTGTTTGCAAATATGTACACACATGAAGTATTTATATACATAAATACTACATCAATTATGAAAAATTAATGTTTATTGATCAAGAAAACTAGAACGTCATGAGCATTTAAAATTGGAAATAAAAGCCATAGGCTCTTGAGCATTTACAAATTGTTATTAAAATAATAAAAGTACTAGTTAATTATATCACATAGTAGACAAAAAACTTATTGATTATTTCAACATTGACTAGTTTTCTCAGCTAATAAAGTAATAAAAAGAATTATCATTAAATAGTAATGAACACGTTGAGAAAATGCGAGACAAGCGATAGTCCTATATACACTAAGCGAGTATATTGTAAGCGTCACAGACAAATTGCAAATAAGTATCAACTAAATATGGTTGTTACAATATTATATTGAATGCTAACAAGTGCAATAGAGAAATAAGATTCAATTTGAATTATCTCAGTTTTGCTTTGAGCTAACGCATCAGCGAAATAGTCATATCGAGTTTTTCCTTTTGTAAGGAGACTATTTTTACAAATTTACAGAAACAGGTATGAGGAAGAGTGTCGTAGCGCTGTTTGTCGCTTTGATCGTTAAAAAACAATCATTACATTTTTATACACTTATATAGATCTCTGTTACACTTTTTCTTAAATATGGAAGTTTAATATATAGATAATATCCTTTATGACGTGCAGGTACTGGGCAATTTATCTGGGTTCTCCGAGAAAATACATTTCTAATATGTGTGAATGCTTAATATCTTTCATCGAGGCACAGTCTCATCTGAAGTTTCTTTTTATGAATTCTTACCGTTAGCATCGCCGTTCCCTTCATTATCGTTATCGTTGACGTTATCTTCGTTGCTAGTTTTATCATCCATAATCTCGGCGACTACGTCTGGTGCTCGGCTTTCGAAAATACTTTGAGGCAAAAAAAAATCAATTGTCATTTTGTTAATTTGAATGAACATTTTTTAAATTCCACTTTAAAAAAATGTCTCACCTATTCCTATAATGCTCCAGTTGCGCATTGGTGTTCTCTAACTGCTCAGTCAGATCTTCATTATTTCTCTGCAACCTTCTAATGGTATTATTCGCCGCATCAACTTCATCTTGGACTAAAGCCAATTCTTTCTTCAGTTCGTCGACTCTTACGCGAATTCTTTTAACTTCAGCCTCGTACTGTTCAGAACGACGCATAGCATGAGTAAGTTCCGTAGTCTTCTCCGCCAACATTTTCTTAACTTTCGCATGCGAATGTTTCAAGTCTGCGAGTTCTTTATTTCGATCGAGTAATTCCTGTTGTAGTTGTTTCGAATCTATATCACAACTGGATACCGGACGAGCTCGGCGCGTTTCTGCTCGATCTTGTAAATCACGCATTTCACTTCGAAGCTGTTTGTTCTCGCGCTCAAGAGAAATTTTTTCGGTTTCGAGGCGCTCGCGTTTGCCCCATTCTGCTGCGTTTTCTGCTTGAAGTTTCTCCAACTAAAATTTAAAATTGATACATCATTTTAAGAAAATAACGAAATATTAATAGATATTCATACAGTGAAATATTACCTCGGCTCGTAGTTCTGATAGTCGCCGATCCATGCCTTCTCGGTTGCTAGCTTCGTCAATGAGATCAGCTTGCGCTGCACTAAGTTCTCCTTGAAATCTACCTTTCAATTCTAAAAGCTCTTTGATTGCTTCTGTTCGACTGTCTTGTAACTCCTCACATCTTTCTCTGAGCTGAACTACTTCGTTTCTTAATTTTTCTATCCCTCTGTGCAATGAAGATTTTTCCCTAAGAAAACAAGTATTTTACATAAATAATTGAGCTTATAACACTCAATTACACTGATACAGAAATAAAAAGACATACTCTCTTTCAGCACTTATTGTCTTTGTGGCCTCTTCTAATCTTAAATTAAGCATAGACATTTTTTGCACTAAAATTTCTTCATTGGCTGACTCTATTTTAGAATGTCTTTTTTCTTGAGGTGTAGGTGATGAATCTTTGTCCAACGAATGCTTTGGTACAGCTCCTTGCATGATATAGTCATCAATGTCTTTGTCTGAAGAGCTTCTAGTATCTGAATCTTTGGGAGGGCTCTTACATATAATAAACTCTTTTTTTGAAGAAGAAGGAGTACTTTTTTCTGATTTTTCAACATTACTATCAAGTAGCTCATCAAAATTCAAACCACTTTTGCATTGAAAATCTGTTTCTAAAGATGAGATCAGTTGCTGGTCAATATGTCCAGCATGGTTTAGAAATATACTACGCAATTTCTCTAGTTCTCTTTTCAGATATGCATTCTGTGTGCCAAGTTCTTTAGACTCATGTTTATATACGCTAAGTTCTTTTATTGACATTTCTAATTTTGATTTCAGTGTTTTAATATCTTTTTTGGCTTTGTTCCTTTCATCTCGAACTTCACACCACTTTTCTCTCCAATTTGCAGTACAGTCAGACCACCATCGCATGGTCTTTTCCATCTGTGCTGCTCTTGCTTTGGTTTCTTCAAGCTCTCTGTAGAGCAGTGTCTAAAATAGTTATGATAAAATAAATATATATTTTGATGTTCTAAGCATTATATAAAGAAAGTTAACTACATATTTCTTTTTAATTGACAGAACTATGAAATATGTCTAACCTCTTTGCTTTCCCATTCACTGTCAGCATATCGAGGTGAACTTGGTAAGCTAGCATCATGTTCCCTTAGATGCCTCCTCGAGGAAGTGCCACTTGCTGAGGATGATTGTGCCATGTTACATATGACCTACTACATAAATGAATTTTAATTTGATATTATGTCTGATTAACCATTTTCTATGTTTCTATATAAAAAAGTGATGTTTTGATTATATTTATATTTATTAAAATGAAACTCACAATTTATAGATGTCAATCCATTTATCTCATCGCGTATCCAAATACACTTTCCAATAAACGTCAAAGGGTTTAAAGTGTTTAGCCATTGACATTTTTGCAGACACTAATGTATGAATCACAATTGAAATCGATCATATCCGGACATTCGAATAAAAAGGGGTGGTAGTGACAAAAGCACTTGTCGGCGCTGAATTAACATAATATTGCGATCAACAATTTTATACGGCTAAACTTAATAATCTAACTGATAGATTTCCAAAATTATCAAAACAAGACTTAATATTTTTATTTAGTCATCTCTCTGGAAATGTAATCTTATAATCTAGCTTCACTTTCAGGATAAATATGGCAGCGCGAGCGCGAAAAATTTGAATGGAAAAACAAGATAATACATTCGAGAGCATATATAAAGAGAAATAAAACACTTGCACTATGATTATGTTCACTTTGAATGAGAACATTTTTCCATTTACAGTAGGTATCATTCATCTTTCACGAAACTTTATTTTCTATGCGTTATATAGCATATTTTATAAATTATGCACGCTGCTATAAAATGCCGAGGCTAAATCTACGCAAAAACGCTAATACTGTTTAATAATTAATATAAAAGTATTAAATTACAATATTTAAGAGGATAGAGAGAAACAAACTTTTTCATTTTATTAACATTAACTTTATTATTTTTTTTTTCATAACTCATATTATTTTACAAAAAAAACTTGTATATCAATTCACAATAAATAGTTCTATAAGAAACTCGCATTGTATTTTATAATTTACATATTTTAACATTCCTTACGTACATTATTTATTGATAGGTATAATTACAAATAAATATATTTAATCAGTTGTAACTCTCAACTTGCACTCTATGATATGAAAACTCAACCCAGCTTTCACTTAACATTGATCCTACAAAAATACTATTGCAAAAATACTAAAAAGCCAAAAAGAATAATTCAATCAGTACATTAGATATATCGTTATGCAATGTTGTCTATTATGAAATATTGCGTATTGGTACACAAACTTGAAAATTCTATTAGAGACTGGCAAATGAAATATTAGTCCTAGTACTGATTTTAAATAACGTATTATATTCGTGTATCACAGCTGAAAACTATAAAATATGCTTACGTCAGTGCCGTATATTCATAAAGTGGGTAAATTCTATTCTTTACAAAATTATATTCAACTATAATAAATATATATAATAAATATTGTAATTTATATTTGTAGCCTCAAGTATCCATCAGAATATTTTTTTCTAAATAATTAGACACTTAAGAATGACAAATAATTATCTGTTTGAATTGCCGTATATAATAAAATTTACCCGCTTTTAACTTAGACAACTAAATTTTTAAATAAATATGAGAATTTTGATATTGATGCAGTACTCAAAATTTTTGTTATATCTTACTACAAAGCTTCAGTTTCAAAAAATAATAAAAAAGTATTGATATCAACATAGTTAGAAGTGACATTGCAATTAGTTATTAAGGGTCGCGGCAGCGACCCTGCGGTATGAAGGTACATATAACAATAACGTCGGATTATCTCCGTTTGAAAAAAAATGTAAACATAAAAAAAAATATCATTTAGACAACAAAAATATTTGTTTAACGCTGAGTTACAGACTTATTATTATTATTATTAATATAATATATTGCAGACTTCTTAAAAATATAATTTATTCATCATTATAAATTATCAAGTAAACTAATAAGGCAAATCGAGTTCTTTCGCAGATAGAACATCTTCGATTTATATATGTATACAGATGATATAGTTTACTAATAAACTATAAAATAGAAATTACATTCAAAGAAATTATAGAATGTTACGTGAAAACCAATAAATTTTTTCATTAAACTTATGAAATATTGATTTCCAAAAACTCTTCATTTTAATATGCATTGTTCAATGAACTGGTATAGCAATGACTAACAAGTTAGAGCAAAGAATTAATTTTCACACCTTATCACTGAATACTTATACGATGTCATCTAATTTTTGCCGAAATTTAATCTGAACCGTATATTCTACTTCTCAACTAATGTACATTAATAATTTATCTGCCAGAGAATTTTATATTAACGTAGACTCGATGCGACTCTCCGTCAATATCTGGCAGTGCTGTTCTAGGCGCTTTATGGTTTCTAAATTTTGAGAATTTTCCACGAACAGTTCCTTGGTCAACAAGTCACCTTTCATCAATTTTTCATTCTATAATAAAATAACAAAAACTGTTCCAAATGAAATTCTTAGTAAAACAAAATGAGTAAAATAAAAAAATAATTTACCAGCTCCTTATTAATTTTTATTTGCTGATTGAGCTTATCCTCTGTAGACTTGATGATACAGTGAAGATTATTAGTTTCAGCTACGTGTTGTTTCCACATTGCTACAAATAATTCAACATTTAAATATTTAGTTAAGAAACGTTGCTATTCAAATAAAAAATGAATATACCATGCATAGCTCGTTGACCCTCTTTTTGTTGAGCTTGAGAAACAAACTGCATGTACTTTAACCTATGCTCCTGTGCGTGCAATTTCGCATATAAATTCGAAAAGATATTCTGTTCTTCGGTACCAGCCATTGGGTACATATGATAAGCATTCATGACTTTGATGTTTTGAAGTTTAATTATCTCCTGCTTGAGTTTTTCCTTTTGCTTCAACATATTTTTGTACTCCACATCACCATCTAATTTATTCTGATGGCGACGATGACGCTTGTTACCTTTTCCCTCGCCTTTTCCGTGAACTTTTTTCTGATCCTGTTGCTGATGCTGCAGGTGCCTCTTGTCACAGCAGTTTGAAGTAATTTGTGTCACCGGTTTATGGCACTGAATACAAATGAATCACGGAAAAAATAATTGCTTTCTACGTAACATTTATTATTACTTACCTGATCACATTGCTGTGTATAATTTTTAGCTTCCGGATGAACAGTAAAATCGACCTTATCCGATCCACCCTCGCCAGATCCACTGGATGAACACAAAACGTTGTATAATTCCGGATACTTATTCGGAGGATCATCTTTATCTGGGAATTGCACTGATATATCAGCAAGCGACAATTTCTTTCCATTCTCTAATTTTTCTTTAAGCTCTTCAATTTCTTTCGTTTTCCTTTCCATCTCCTCTTGAGCCTCTAACTTCCATCGTTCGAATTCTTCTTCAAGATTATTATACTGCGATTCAAGCCCGGATGTTTCCTCAATAGGCGACAGTCGACCGCCATGTTTATCATTGGTATTAAACTGCTCCTCGTATTCGGCCATTTTCTCGATTAGTTCGGTAAATTTTTCGTCGCTGATCTTTTGTTCTTGCTCGAACAACTGTCGCTCTTCGTCGAGCTTTGACGCCCAATAGTCCTCGCATTGCTCATACTCCGATCTAAGCAATTCTAAACTCTTTTCTAGGTCATTACACCTGTGTTGGCAGAAAAAAAATGTACGCGTTAGGGATAATCGACGTATATTTGAAAAAGTGTAAGGTGAATTAAATCATATGCACGTGAATTATGTTACTTTGAAGTTTGAAGCTTAGAGTTAGAAAGTTTTGCTTAGCTATTATTTTTCAACATACATACCTTTCAAGTAATAATTTTCTCTCTATAGCAAATCGAGAATCTTCAGATTTCAATGAATCCCTGCTCTGGAAGTTTAATTTTTTCGAATCTAAATTATTTATAATACCCTTTTTGTTGTTGTTTTTCATTTCTTTGCGCGGTGTATAATCTCGGAAACCTGTAAGTTTATTCTTCATTGCCTTAATACAATAATCATCGATGTTATCATCAAGCAAATCATGAATCGTATCGTCGCTGCTCGATATCCTTTTGTAGTGTTTGACTCTGTCAGTCTTAGTGAAGACTGAATCTCGATAAGTTTCCGTTGGTTGTAAAACACATCTTGATTCTGCTTCTATTAACAGTTAAATTCAATTAAACCTATTCACATATAAAAAAAAATCTATGTACAAAAAATAAAAGCCTACCCAATTCATTGGCCAAATTCCTTAATTGCTTTTTTTTCTTGTTGGGAGCAGGCAACGGCGTATTCACCGGTACACTCGACTGATAAAGTTCCAATTCACTAATGAGACAAGATACTTCATTCCGGAGAATGGAACATTCGGCGCAGAATTTAGCACTGGTCAGGAAGTTCCGGAATTCTTGTATTATCTCAGTCAACTTGTTGATGCTGTTACCGTTGCTACTATCCTCGAAATTTATTCTATTTCTCATCATATCACTTGTTTTATTGATTTTAGATTGATCGGCAGGAAGTTTTGATTGCTGTTTATCCTCGTCCTCGGTATCGCTGACTTCGGTTGTAGGCATACTTACGACACCTGCGGAAAAACATCGAACTTTTGTTTGGATTGATACAAACTCAATGTTTTCGCCGATCTAATTTGATGTGTTTATTCGTCTTTTTGATTAATTTAAACATTATTACCTTGTATTTAATGCAAATTGATTTTTATAAGTAATAGTTATACGATAATTATACGATATGTAAATAATATGTAATGATACAAGTTTTTACGACTCAACTGCTAAAGTAGATAGAATAAAAGTGAATAAAATTTCAGATATGATAATATTATAAATAAAGTAAAAAAAGAATCACCATCATTCTCATCTGATATGGTAGATCTGACATCAACACTCGAGACGACACTTTTGGCATCATTATCACGATGTTTGAGCATCTCAAGCTCGGATGTGAGCTCGTCGTTGTGGTCCCTCAATATTTTCATTTCCTCGTGTAAACGTTTAATATGTGCCATGAAGTCGCTGACTTGTTCATTTTCTTTTGTCTCGATACTTTCCACCTAAAACACACATAAAAAACAATTGACAACAGCTACGATCACACATGTAGGCGCGCGAGATGCGCATTAAGGCAGTGCAATTCACGAAAATAGAACGTTGCGTGTGGGGATAGGGTTATAGTTTATTCCGGTCTCCCGTAGTCGTCGAGAAAATTTTGTTTTGCTCTCTCAGTCAAATGAAGAATGATACGCTGTAGGATAGCCCACGCAGATTATAAATTCGAAAGTACGATTCGCTTATCAAGGATTTCAAGTGGGATTTCAAGTGGGTTGGGTGATGATTTTGGAATTCGTTATATCAGGAATTATAGCTCAAGAATTCACAACGACGAAGTTTTGCTTGCGATTTAAAGCTTATCGATTGGTTATAACGGATATGTTTAAGAAAGAAAAATAAAAATAATTCCTGTACGCGTGGTGAGTTTGCATTTTTTCCGTTACAATTATCATTATTTATTACGCTCATTGAATTATTACGTTCTCATTGAATCGTTACGCTCATCGAATCATTATTAACTGACAGTCACACGAATAATAAATCTTAAAAATCTCACCTGAGCATGAGCAGCAGCAAGCTCTTGAATTTGTATCGATAACTGACTATTGCAAGCCTCAAGTTTCACGATCTCATCATTCTGGTTTCTATTTTCCTGCTCAAGTTGCTTCAACTCCTCAAGAACGGAACTCAACTCATTTCTAATTCTTAGCTCCTCCTGTTGCGCCAATTGTAACTGATCTTCCAACGATTTAAGACTACTCGAATTTTTCTCTCGTTCACTATGCAATTGATTGGACAGTTCTTTCAAAGCTTCAACATGTTTGGCTTCTAATTGACAAATTTGTTCTTGATAATTTTTCTCCAAGCGAGTCTGATGCTCATCGACGTCTGAAGCCAATAGATTCGCTCGATCGTTCGCCTCGATTATGTCAGTGCGTAGTTTGTCTCGCTCGCAGCTGAGATGCTCCAATGACGAACTACCAAGTGGGTGGAATACAAAATTACGTTTTATTTTTTTTTACGTAATTATGCTAATTCAGTATCTCGATAAAAAAAATTCTAGCTCGAGTGTTTTTTCACGTAATAAAATTAATTGTTTTAAATATTGACTTACTTTAAATTTCGTACTTCCTCTTGATAAAGACTTAATGCTCCCTTTAATAAGCGTATGAACTCCACTGAATCCCCCTTAGCAGACATATCACGATGAAGCTTAAGCTCGGACGATAAGGCATTTAATAAGTCGGTAAGACTAATCATTGCTGAATCAAATCCTAATGTGTTCAGTAGTGAATTAGCTTCCCATACACCAGCCAACTCCCACAGTTCAACAATCACATTTCTTAATACTTGTCTACTAAAATAATTTATGATCAATACTGTTGTCAATAAAATTAAATGTTCAGTATCTTACCCAGCATGATAATGTACAAAATCTTTATTGCAATTTGACTTTGTAGCATCTCTCATTAGATGGGTCGACCAATTGGTGTTTGATTGTTCTTGAAGTTTGTTATTATTGTAACTTTGAAAAAAATGTGAAAACTCCTCGAGGTTGATTAAGCCGTCACAGTCTATATCGAGTTTTTCAAAAATAAGCTCGATTGCCTGAGAGTATTAATATATATATATATATATATATATAAATTATTTACCAACAATACCAAAGTTATTGTATTAACTCACTTGTTTAGGAAGTGTAGGTCCTTTACTACAAAAACTATTTACATCATCACACAGTAGCGAGTTCTGATTGCTCCATGTTTCTTGCCATCTTCGACGGCCAAACGTGTTATCTGACAAAGATTTAATTATAAGTGCCCTAATAGCAAAGATTCTGTATCGAAATAATATTATCTACTCACCATTTTGCTGTTCTCCACTATTCATGGTCCCAATTGGTTTCTTATTCATTTTTCTTTCAGATAAAATCAATGATTCACCATTGATGTCCATCTCAGGACTATCTGGCCCCTCTTGATATTTGCCCAGTAGTTGAAGGAACTTATTACGAAACTCATAGAATGATATAAACTTCTGGGTGGTATCAATATTAAGCAGCTCAAGTATAGCATCTCTGTGATTGACATCAAGTTCAAGTTTTTTACAGAGAACAAGCAGGCCATTTTTATCCAGTTGGCTTCGTCCTTCTGCTAGGCAGCTTTTGAACACTGCAAGTAATTGCTGCTCGTAAGGATCGGTAGGCTCTTCCTCCATCTCATGCCTCTTGCTTACGTCTGATAATTGTCCAATGTGTAATTGGTTCAATACCTAAACCAAGTAAGTCACAGTAAAAATCTTAAAAAAATTAAATGACTCTGCAGTCTTTAAATTGAAAAAAATACTAAAAAATTTTAATATCAAAAAGCACAATGATTTGTCAATTGAATTATTATGGCTTATTTCACTAAAACGAAATGGCCGGTAAGGTTATTCATTTGAATATTCACACGTACGTTGGCATAAATCAATATCCTTGAGCAAGAATAATGCTTGTATCATCGATCAAAATCATTAAAGGTTAAAACCAACAGATTTGCGTAAATGATATTGACGAAGTACCTCTACAAATACACACTAAATTGTCGTGCACAGAGCTGATCTTTCAGTAATCAATTGATTGTAAGATAACATATCAAGAATATGCACAGTTAACAAACTTACTAAGAGCAGTAACAGCCTCTAGCTAATACGAAAGACAAACTCTTTCTGAATACTATGAAAATCAGGTAAATAATTACACAGTACGCACAAAGTCGCTACACACACACATTCATTGAACGTGAACGCGTGTTCTAAAAACCGCCAAACGAGGAAAACAAACAGTAAGAATGAGTCGACGCAAACGTGTATATGGAATAAGTTGTATATATATCGAACGTCGTCGTGCAGCGTGTATGGCAGAGACCAAACAATAGACCACGCTGCAATTCCAAAGCGTATATCTATATATAATTATTTTTACCCTGAGAATGCTCGACAGAGAAGCTTACTCGACAATGACATGCGTCGAATAAACGTAAGATAAATGGAATGATGCGATCAGCTGATCGAAACATAGTCTCCTTGATCGTGCCTTACACACGGTTAGGTTTTTAGATGCCTTATATAGTAGACGCAGTGTAATGTATGCATACGTATGTCCGCACACACGTACACGTGCGCGCGCGTATACTTGTCCTTGTCAATTTGATTATATCGACACATTACTTACACGATCCTACGACCACTCTTTCCATTATACTCGTTACAGCAATAGCTCCAGTATGTATGTGCACGTGTACAGTAATACGGTGCGTGTCTTCGAGGGGTATATTTTTTATCGAAACGTGGGAGGTTGACTACGCACAGATTTCTCTTTTTTCCTCTCTCTCTCCCTCTCTCTCCCTCTCTCTTCTCTCTTCTCTCTGCTCTCTTTCTCTCTCTTCTCTCCTCTCTCTCTCTATTTCCCCCTCCCTTTCTCTCTCTCTCCCTCGGGAAAAGAGATCTAAAACAACGATGATTTTAGCTATTTGGGTTTTATAGTATTTATTTTAGGAAAAGGTGATTTTTAATTTGGATTTGGTAATACTTTGTGTGACGACGAATTGGCTTCTAAAAAGTTTGCCGTATACCGGTCAATCTACTTATATTGATTAGAAGTTTAATTGAATAAGATCAATTTAAAATTTTAAAGTTTAACATCATAGATAATATCATAGAGCTAAAAACATCCGTAAGTCGTTAAAATTGTTTTGATTTAAAAGGTATCTGTTGTAAGCAACGTATATTGTATAGTTTGTTGTTTGTTAATTATTAATTGTTAATTAATCAATATGTCTTTGAGCTAAATGTTAGACATGTTGCGAATTGATTACATTGTTATTTTACAACACGTTGAATTTGTATCAGCTTTATCAAAAAATAAAAATTTAATACACATCCTCCTCCCTAGTTTTCTTAAATCGTCGTTCTACTGAATTGATTTTGCTATGAATGGCAACTAAAGGAAAAAGTTTAATTATTTATTATTGTCAGCTGTCAATCAACTTGCACCATAAACTGCGATAAGAACTGCTTACACAATCCATGTGTTTAAATTTAAACGTTTAATATGACGTCACCCATAAGAAATACATTGTCACCAATTTTAAGCACTTCTAAACGTTTAAATTTAATGACAATGTATTTCTTATGAGCGACGTCACATTTGCACACTTAAAACCTTTAAAGTTAATACATAAGATTTTAAGGTTTTGCCCTGAGTAATTGTCATAATGTATATTAATTTTATGCTAGATATATAACATTTTCTTAAGGGAATTATGGCCAACACTAACATTCTCATTTAGTCATGACGAAATTATCTCAGACCCATATAACAAAAGCGTAAGTATAAACGAATTCTCGTGCGTCATATATTTCTTGGCCTCAAATAATGTAATTCCGGAAAATATCGATAATCGCATTAAAAAACGCACAAAAATCGAGATACAAAATTTGTGTATAAAATTATTCAAAAAAAAAAAAAACGAGTAACAAGTATTCCGTGAAATGTCAAACAAGAAACATCCTACATTTCGGACACGAATATAAAACCATTATATCGAAAGGGTTTGGACGATTATCAAATCAATTGCGATATTCAGTTTAGGAAATCTTCAGCTTTAGTTAGGGAATACCGCGGCTCACGAGTCACAGATGTACTCGTATATACCTAATCTATGGCTGACGTAGATACAAACGACGGTCAAGGAAAACTACAAGAACATTCGACTACAACGATGTCCTATTAATTACAATTTCAAAATATATAACGATGTAAAAGACGTTACGCGTGCAAAGTTTCAGGCTCAACTGAGCAGAAAAAAAAATTCATCCTCGCGCTATTTCATTCGCAAAAACGAGCGGTTCGTCCGCGCAACGACGCTCTCGAAATGAAGATGAGCGGCATACGTGACCACAGGTACTGGGCGTCTGACGACGAATGCGCGCGTGTAGGGCGTTCTAAAAATACACGTCACGCGCCTACACACAGCAACTACTCCATCGAAACATTGAACTCTCCAGCCGCAATTTAGCGCGGCGCTTAAATGTACTGCGCGTAACTTTTTTCGAAGCTGCGCGCGCGTGTGGGTCGCGTAATGACATAGCACCGATCGGCGTGCGGTAACGACGGAAGTAATCAATTGTTTGCAATCGCTGTTGATTCTTAATGATCAAGCGCTTTACAATTGTGCCTGGAAATGTGCGACAAGTCGGCCGACGGAAGATGCACGTTATGGCAATTTTTTTTTTTTTTCGACGACACTGCATTCGCGACGACTTGGCCGCTGTTCGCGCTCTTAATCGGGGCTACGGCATCGCCCGATTTGCCGCTGATGTTGATCGTCAGGCGACGTCGTTTTTGGCATTCGCGAGATTCGTTGCACGTAAAAACCCAGCGCGCCAGTACGTAATATCCGCGAATCAACGAGGAAGCCAAAAAAGAAAAGTCGCGTGCGCGGATTCGAAGTGCAACGACGGCATTGGGCAAGCAAGGGGCACGCAATGAAGTATAGAAAACCGAAGAATACCGCTGACACGATCTTTTGGTGAGTCGGTGGGACAGCAGCCGCATGTAGACGAGAGAGCGCGTATAAAAAGGGTGAATTAACGCCTGAGTCGGTGCTAGTGTAGCATGCGTCGGCGTAAGAGGAGGCGGCCCATTTGCCCGCTTCCAACTGAGATTCACGTAGACAGCTGTTGATTGTGTGCAACAGTGAAGTCATCAACAGAGGCAATGGATTCGGGCTGTCTTTATTTATTTGTTCTCCTTTGTACTGGTTACGCTCATGCCGCACCTCATGATAATCGAGCTGATGATGGATGGATTAATTTCAAAGTAAGAAATGGAATGATCGTTTCTTTCTTTTTATATAAGGGTAAATTAATATTTAAGTTCGAAGATCATTCTTTTTATTTCTCAACGATTGTTTCATTTTATTCTTCTTTTTGTGTGTTATTGAAGAACAGTTTTTAACTTGAATTATAAAATCATCTCTTTCGGGCAGATATATTTTATAGAACGAAAATCGGAAAATAAAAATTATTAATGTTATTTTGAGTAGATAACAATATATAATGATGATTGATTGATTGATCAATGCATAGTATATTATAAAGTAATTTTTAGTTTGCTGAACAGAAATATTTATTTTCATATCTCTATGGCTACCTTTGAAAAAGTTTGTTTTTCACATTTGCTACTAAGAATTTAATAAAACAAAAACAAAAAATTTACAAGCTAAAATCATTGACAAGAAAAGTTTCGAGATAAAATTCGTTATCCCTTTGTTCACCGTTGAATGCCTATTTTCGTTGCAAATTGGAATTCAATCGAATTTCACGTGAACCCGTTACCGTTCTTTCGCAGCACAAGTGTGTCATCGTGCTACGCGCTGGATTGTCGAATCGTATGCCGTGAACCAACGAACTAATGCATTAAAAGCGAACATGATGTGGTTCAAGGTAAAATGCATATCAGCCCGTGTGCAGGCACGATTGAGAGCTCAGTTTTTATGCACGATCCAGAAAACTTTACTGCCTGTCCCATTTCTACGTTGGCCACATTGCAATTAAATCAGTCTTAAACTTTACGCTTCTATTCTTTTTAACGATCGGCCATCCCTTGACAATTGCAATCTTGCTGTTTCAGTATCAATACAAGAAGTTCTACAGCAACGAAGTGGAGGAGAAATTCCGTAAGAACGTGTTCCACGAGAATCAACAAAAGATAGCGGAGCACAATGAGAAGTACGAAGCTGGAATTCACTCGTACAAATTGAAGATTAATCAATACGGCGACATGGTGAGTATTGTAATCATGAATCTCATGCCAATACACGGTGGCGTCTTTTGCGTAAGCCCTCGTCTCACCTGATAATTGTCTGCGCGCACAGCTGTTCGAAGAGTACAAAAACTACATGCATCCCCAAAACAACACTCTGACGAGATTGCGCAGGATACCGCGCGGAGGCGTGTTCGCGATGGCGAACGCGAGCGTCGAATTGCCGGATTTCGTTGATTGGCGGAAGCAGGGCGCAGTGACACCGGTACAAGACCAAGGTCTCACGTGCGGCTCATGCTGGGCCTTCTCCGCCGTAAGCACACGCACGCTCTTCCTCTCCTCCGCTCGCTTCGAACTCGCGTGGCAACCAACAATTCTCAAGCGCGTACCGAACGCAATTCTGACAAAACGAGCTATTATGCTATTTTGAACTGAACGGTGGTCGTTCACTGTAACTTATATGTCTTAGGAAATTGTATGAAACGAGGCACGAGTGGCTCTTTATTGCGCAAATGACAACTTTAACGAGTGTAACGAAAAACAGAAGACTAGCGTGACATCACTCAGTTTTTCTACTCGCGACGTGTCATCTATTTTTGGACACTGGCGTGCTTTCTCCCCCCCCCCCCCTCTCTTTCTCTCTTTGTTTTATTTTACAGATAGGTGCGTTAGAAGGCCAGTACTTTAAGAAGACCGGCATTCTGCGACTACTGAGCGCGCAAAGTCTGATCGACTGCACGACGGACTATGGAAATCTTGGTTGTGGCGGCGGTAGCGCAGCTCTGTCTTTTCAGTTCGTCGTCGATCACAAGGGTCTCGAATCCGAAGAAGAATATCCGTACGTAGGTCGCGCGAAAGACTGTCCTTACGATCTTGACGACGAGGACGAAGAATTGGAGGCGAGTTTCGTGTATGTGCCCACGGCCGATGAAGCTGCGCTTAAAGTTGCTGTTTCGAGTGTTGGACCACTTTCCGTGGCTATTGACGCTTCGCACGATACGTTCAGGTTTTACTCGGAAGGTGAGCATTTTACTCGCGATACTTTAAACTTTTTATGAGAGGCTTTGCAAAATACATCCAGTTCATAGTTTCATACAATTTTTTTTATAATGATATGTACTTTTATCAAGCCCTAATGCAGTCAAAGCCTTTATTTGATCGTGTGATTCAAATGTCAACCTGTATCTCTGAATTCGTTCAAACTCTGAGACTTTTCATTCATTTAGTAAACATTTAAAGCTAATATTGAACCCTCTAATAAATTAAACATGAAAATGGAGAGTGGAAGTTTGGCTTGAAAGTCTCTTAATTACCTAATAAATGACGCTAAAATAATCTAAAAAGAGAATCGAATTTTCTTGGATCAATTGTAAATTGTATTTCTTTATGCTTATAATGTAATTGTAAGCAATTATAAAAATCAAATGGTAAACAAGCGCGTAGTAAGATTAATGTGTCTGTTTTAGATATGTTTGAAGGACTGTAATTTATGTCATATCTGTATATTCATAACGTATGTACGAATCAGTGACACCCTATTATTTCATTTGCTTTTCAAAATATTATTTTATCAAAATTAATTTTCCGAAATTCTAAGTTGAACCGTATTTGATATTTACTATATACTGTAAATCACTGTCACTCTTAAGACATCATAAAAAACTTTATAAATTTTTTGGATCATAATGATGAAAATATAATTCATTGCGTCGGAGAAGTATGACCACATAAACAAAATAAGTGAGTCTAGCTATTAGTCATAAAAGCTTGCGTGAACCAGGGTCAATCGAAGCAGTATAAAGCTTTTTACTGAGTATAGGCATAGTACCGACGCGATGTCTACTTTACCGATTCCTTTTCTCATTACTTTATACATCGTCGTTCAATTCTTTCTGCGTTGAATCTTGGAAAATATTATCGAACTGCTGACAAAATGCGGTATCGATTGTTTTTAGGAGTTTACTATCAGTCGGAATGTGACAGAAGCGACCTGGATCACGCAGTTCTGGTAATCGGTTACGGCACAGATTCCAAAAATCGAGACTACTGGCTGGTCAAGAATAGTTGGGGTAAGAGTTGGGGCCAAGATGGATATTTCAAAATCGCTCGGAATCGACAGAACCATTGTGGCATTGCTACTACTGCAATTTATCCAATCGTGTGAGAAAAAAGACTTTCTCAACCGGTACCATGGAAGGCGATGAATGCAGCGCAGGAACGTTTGCAGCTAAACGATGCTCGATAATTCCACGCCAAATTTTCTGTATATTGTAGAATAGGCATTTCTTTCTGTATATAGAGGTCAGCGATAGTTGTTAGCGTAATGATTTTTGAGACTAAAATTCTGTCTTGACTTTTATATTAAGTTTTATGTGTACAAAACTCGTCGGACAAAAGTATTTACAACAAAAGCAAATTAAGCTAAAAAACTACTGCTGTGTTATAATTATAGAAAGTCACAGCTTGTTTCGTAAAATCTGTTCTGCATTTCGAATCTCATATTTAAAAATATTTAAATATACCTACAGCATTATACGTATGTTTTGCGTAAATATATAGATTTTTTATTAATTTAAAAATTAATAAAAAAATTAAATTTGAAGAATTGCATTTATTCAACACGACAAAAGGAACATTAAGACGCGCAGAGAATGTGAGTCATATTCAGTGTTTAATTCGAAGCAATACCTAGTCTTGATTCACAGTAAACTTCATTATCTAACAACAGCTGTACATCCTCAGCATTTTTTCCATTCTTTTATTATTGTATTTAGTCAACACTTGTTTAACATTCCATTCGATTTATTCCTGCGCATCGAGTCAGAGGTATCACGATGATGAATACAAATCGAATGATTAACTTATTTATTTTGAGTGACACGTTATAATCCTTTGTGACTCAAATCGTCGAACAAAGATTAACTAATAAATGGTCAATTTTACTAATTTTTTTGACAGTCGATGAAATTCCCCTATAGTCGATCAATTTTGAGAGCGTTTATATTATTAGATAATTTTCTTTGAATTTTGTAAACATTTTGTTGACGTTTTATTTAGTTTTCAATTATATATGCATAAAAAAGCATATAAATCAATTTTTATTTGCGATATATAAGCAGAAAGAAATAGATAGTTTATACATATAGTTTATACATGTTTTAAATGTCTCATAGCTTTCTTCGGAATAGACTTGAAAGTCATTGCAACTAATGATGAACCAGAAATTGCTTCTAATACTTCGGCAGTATGAAAAAAATACTAGAGAAAATACTACCGTTATTATTGTTTGAGATTTAACAAGGAAAAGGCAAAACAAATCTTGGATCTCTAAAGGTATAATAATTTTATGCAAAACTAAAAAATAGTTACACGAAATATAGAGAAGAAATCCAAATAATTTGAGGTCCAAACAAGAATACAAAAAATATTAAACAATACACAAAAGGTGATAAGGGATGCAAAAATCAAAACCGAAATTATATGTTTCAATAGCACTAGTACGAATAGTAAAAATGAGTGGAAAAATATCAACAACGAATTAAGTAGGAAACGTATCGATCAAGTTATGACGTAATTAATTAAATATAATGGCACTAAGTACAAAAATTTTGTTAAAATTGCCGGCGTATTCCATAGATTTTTAGTGAAGTTGCTATAAAATTGGTAAGTAAATAGTAAACATATATTAGAGCTATCTATAAGATAACAATTTTTATCTATACTAATAAAATACAGATACTAATAAAATATATAGGATCATACAAATTCTTAAAAATAAAGCAGGAGGTATTAATGGTATTGACGTATTACTGATTTAAATGTCTTGCTATCTGCTTCTAAATTGATAAGATAATTCTTCGTACCGTATTATCACTATAATTAGTATTCTAAATTACTGATATACTATTTTGATCATGTGCTGTTATTTATTTGGAGTAGAAAGTCAATTGCCAATGAAATTTCTCATGTTACTTTATCATTTTAATAATTACCAACTCCACAATTCATTATATTATAAAAATGAAACATTTCCATGAAAGAATAGCTTTTATTCTCACTTGTAAAGCTCAATCATTATTCTATTTATCGAGTATATATAGTCAAATAAGCATATATTCCAATCATTCAGTTAATGCAACGAATCCAATAATTCATTAGAATATCAAAAATTATAATAGATATATAGCATTACATCATATGAAGCTCGCTATCGACATTTAAAAAATTTTAATTTAATTTTATTATTTTCTTTTAATTAATTTAAATGCACAAACTAAATTGCATCCTTGTAAAGATACTCGAACACATTACCTAAAATATTTGATGCCTAATTCAGCACAAATGAGTTCAACTAATGGCTGTGGATTGTGTTTGATGATAGACGAGCATTTAATACACGTTTTACATATTAAGAGCTGACCTCTCTCTCTCCCTCTTTTTCTCTGATCTCTTTTGCTAGATAGCTATCGGATAGATATTCGAGTCATATGACTTGCCGACTATAATAGCGGTATTGAGTTAATCAGTCATTGCATCATACGTGGAATTATGTCTATCTGTATGCGACTGTACTATCATCGTCGGACTTGCACGTGTCGATCGATATTACCGGCGGGCCGATCAAATCTAATTTCTGATTATCTACGCAAGTTGATGTTTCGTCTAAACGCATATTTGTCGTTGAAATATTTATTGCAATACCTATTTAACATTTAATGCAATCATGGATTTTTCATTCAATTTGTTGCTATGGCGTGATATATTATTATGTACCTTCGCTGCTCATATAATATTACAATGTGATTACTTGTTTATAATCTAGGGACATCAAACGCACTTTGCGCGCTTTCATCTTCTTTTTCATTTCTCATCATATTTATTAACATATTCAATGCAAATCACTTTTTTCAAAGGTGGATTTTTCAATTTTTTTTTTTTTTTTTTGCAAAACACATATTACAATGGAAAGCAATGTATACTAGTAAAACAATTCAGCGTATTCCATATCAATGATTGATTATATCGAAAACTATCTCTATAGTTCTTTTAAACTATACAGGTAAAAATACTATTAAACGTTTATTCTACTCTTTAGATAAAGATTGTAACATTACAACAATTTTCCAATCTTATCTTCAAAGCATAATAATCTCTTGCTTTTACCAAACGATTTGCTCCCTATTAGTTTCAAAAAATGAGTGTAAAAACAATAGAAAATCGCAGCCTACTTTTTTAAATTTTCATTATCTTCCAAATTATTCGTATCTATTAAGATAAATTAAATTTTTATTACTAAAATCTCAACTGGAAACCATATTGGCATGCTTACTAGCCGTCATAAAAGTATATCACATGACTATATCTCAAATAATCAGATCACGAATAAAATGCTTCAATATGGTATCCATCACTCTTTTATAAGAGGAAAATAAATTATTGATCATAAAATTAGATAGAGCGTCAAATATAATTATAGATTCTTATTTTACGTTTACATATTGAGTATATAAGAGTATCGGAACATCGTAAATATAAAGTAAAATTGATAATTAAAAGATAATCTCATAGTTAATAACTCAATTTGGAACTATGGCCTTCTGACGTCAAATTCCATGTAAAGGACAGATTTGATCGCTGTCAACAACATACATAGATATACTAATATATTTACGCCTAATCTTTGATCATTTTAATCAGAAATAATCGTAAATATGGCACGTTACCGGATACCGGTGCTTCAAATAACTAAGTGACCCGTTACATACTATTCGGAATATGATAAGACAACAATGAGAGAGTAAGGATATGATGAATACGACTCATGTGACGACGTATAACAACAAAAGAATGAGCTTGCAAGGCTTCCTCTATTCGTCTTTTATTATAATTATCCCCTGTTTATTCATTATGCTATATGAAATTTCGCAAAAACATTTGAATTTGGTTATGTGTACACATTAATTAAATAATTTGATTGTGATTGCATATTAATTCAAGTATAAAAAACCTCACAGGTGACTGAAATAGAATTATCGTATTGTAAAATTAGGGTGTGGGGAGTTGAATACTAGGTATGAAAAATCCCCTATATTCCAGGCTGAAGGTATAATGTTTTTACAGGAATTTGTTAGAACATTTCTATAAATTTGATTAAAATATAGCGATATAAAAATCCAAAAAATTATTTGATAATTAAAAAGCTGCAATTAATTCCGCTGCTGCAATAACTTCATCCAAAACAATGTCTCTTTAGTGCATCTTGGAAATCCTGAAATGACACACTACAATAGTATTTATTTATAGACCATTGATGATGCAACGTAGAGAAACATAGTAAACATTTTTTTCATTAAACTGAGCTTTACGTTTTCAAATAGAAACTTAAAGTTTCAAGAATTTCGAGTTATTTTACAATTTTTCTCTATTGTTATATGTATTATAATATACGTAGACTATATTCAGCTTCCACGTGTGAAATAGTTGATTAGTTTTGAATGTCTTGATATTTTTGAATGTCAACCAGTAAGGGGTGCGTGTAAATTGTCTGCAAAATGAGCAGCAGTATACATTGAAAAATCGTCTTTATAAATTTTATGCATCAATCGGTGCTTGAATTCTCATAGATTGTGCTTCGCGAGTTCGAGTTCATTTTGATGAGTAAAATGAATAATAAATGAATATGACGAGTACTCAGTGACTAGTTGATATAAAAATGAGTAGCATGAATTGAAACAAGCTAAGCAATCTACACTTCTGAAACAAAAAATATACAAATTCCATAAATACAAGTCTGATTGAACGATGTTTAAAAATAAATCTGAGTATTAACCCATTAACGCCGAAAAAGCCAAAAATTTTAACTTAACTTTGCGTTTATTTTTGAAGTACTTAAACATCAAGAATATGTCTAAAAATGACTTACTTTATGTTTTTGGGATCGCTCTACAAGATTCTAAAGTCAAAATGATGATTAGATTCTAAGAAAAAAAAATATGGCGACTTTTTTCGAAAAAAGCACTGAAAAATTTGTCGAAAAAAATTTAAAAATCAAATTGTCTATCAATAAGGTATGTTTTTATTCAACAGAAATGAGCACAAGTTTGCACAAACATCTCAAACTTTCGAAATATGACCTATAAAAATTAAAAATTCCAGAATGTACGCCATAATGGCGGCGAAGTAAAAATTTCTTTTTTAACTTTAGAAGCGTTTTTCTCGAAAACTAAAGACTTTAGCGAAAAATTTCTAGGAACAAAAAAGTCTTGAAATCAGTCAAGGAACACTATAAAATTTTTTTAAAATTTTTAAAGACATTTTTGGAAAATTAGATGTTCTGGATTTTCGAAAAAGTCGAAAATTGTCTCAAAAAAATCTGAAAAAATTTGAGAGTATTTTTTGGCCAATTTTAAGACTTTTTTGTTCCTAGAAATTTTTCGCTCAAGTCTTTAGTTTTCGAGAAAAAAGCTTCTGAAGTTAAAAAAGAAATTCCTACTTCGCCGCCATTATAAGACGTACATTTTGAAATTTTTAATTATTATAGGTCATATTTGGAAAGTTTGAAATGTTTGCGCAAACTTGTGCTCATTTTTGTTAAATAAAAACATGCTATTCTGATAGAAAATTTGATTTTTTAATTTTTCTCGACAAATTTTTCAGTGCTTTTTTCGAAAAAAGTCGCCATATTTTTTTTCTTGGAATCTAATCATCGTTTTGACTTTAAAATCTTGTAGAGCGACCCCAAAAACATAAAGTAAATCATTTTTATACATATTCTTGATGTTTAAGTACTTCAAAAATAAACGCAAAGTAAAGTTAAGATTTTTGGCTTTTTCGGCGTTAATGGGTTAAACGACAACACGTTCTCCTTCTATAGAAAACACATCTCTCTTAGAAATCACAAAATCGCTTGTTAGACAACCATCAGCGAGACGCTATTCTCGTGTAACTAGATGATAAGAAATTTCTTTATAAAAGATTAGGTTCCGTGACACTTCGATTCAGTTTACGCTTCAATAACGAAACCTAACGTTCGGTTCTTTCTTACATTTGACTATACTACTTTACTTTCTTTCTTTTGTAATTTTTGAAAAGATTATAACTCTTGTATTATCCTCGATCATGAAGACTTTAGTAGTGTTACTTGTAGCGTTCATAGCCGTCGCTCAAGCCGTGTCAATTTATAATTCTGCGGCACGGGAATGGAATACTTTTAAGGTATGATAGTTCACTAGAAATATTCAACGCATTATTAATATTTCTATTTAAAGGCCGAACATGGAAAGAGCTACACGAATGAAATCGAAGAAAAATCGCGATTGAAAATCTTCATGGAACATAAGCAAAAAATTGCCGAGCACAACGCAATGTTCGAGCAAGGATTAGTCACCTACAAACTAGGACTTAACAAATACTCCGACATGGTAAGAGTGATGGAACATGCAATGCTACATTAACAAAGAATTTAGAAATATGGATCAACCAATGTCATTCGTTTGACAGATACATCATGAATTCGTGCGCACAATGAACGGCTTCAACAAGTCGAGATCAGGAATACCTGACAGTTCCAAAAAGATGAAAGCAGTGCGATTCGCGTCGCCAGCACACGTGCAACTGCCTGCGAGTGTAGACTGGAGAAAGGAAGGTGCCGTCACCAATGTCAAGGATCAAGGGTTCTGCGGTTCATGCTGGTCATTTTCAGCAGTAAATAACGAACAGTTGATAGAATCCGATTTTCGCGCAAATTTCGATCACTACAATCATAATATTTTTAGACGGGTGCACTGGAAGGCCAACACTTCCGCAAGACCGGTAAATTGGTATCCTTGAGCGAGCAAAATCTTCTCGACTGCTCGGGTAGTTACGGTAACTATGGTTGCGACGGTGGTATCATGCAATATGCCTTCAACTACATCAAGGACAATAAAGGTATCGATACCGAGAAGACATACCCTTACGAAGCTAGTGAAGAATATTGCCGTTACGACCCACGCAACAGCGGCGCCGAGGATGTCGGTTTCGTGGACATTCGCACTGGGGACGAACAACAGCTCATGGAGGCTGTTGCCACTATTGGCCCGATTGCCGTCGCTATGGATGCATCTCACTTGAGCTTCCAAAACTACAGATCTGGTAAGCTGTGACAGGTTCTCGCATTGAAAATTACAAGTAGCCGAAGTTGTAAATAATGTTTATCCACAGGGATCTATTACGAGCCAAAATGCAAGAACAAAAACGATGACCTTGATCATGGGGTCCTCATAGTTGGCTATGGTACTACTGAAAACGGAATAAACTACTGGCTGGTAAAGAACAGTTGGGGAGATAGTTGGGGCGAGAATGGTTACTTTAAGATACCGCGTAACAAGAATAACCATTGCGGTATCGCTACTGATGCCAGTTATCCTCTTGTTTAGCAACGGGTAATCCAGTCATATAAGATCGCGCGATGCTTATTTCACTTGGTGTTATTAAAATGAAATTTGAATGTAAAGAATGGTATTGTTGTGATATTCAAGCAGTTAAGTGTTATATATTTAAGTCGACTATTTCCTTTTTGGAATTGAGTAAGAATTCAAATACGTTTATTGTAAATCACTTTTGCGTGTATTTGTGGAGACTCAACTGTTAATCACCCTAAGCACGCTGTTCGTTTGTTCGCGCGATATTTTTGAAATTACTAACATAGTGAAATAAATATTAGTGTAATAAATATTAGTGTAAAATATTCGTGTCTCTTGTCATTTATCTACCATCCTCCGATTGCATTCGCAAATCTTTTATATAGGAACATATATTCTTGTCATATTTGGTTATGTACTTATAAGCTTGTGAGTGTAATGTGCCAGATAAAATAGACTTTTGAGCGAATATGTTTGATAAATTCAAACGACGATTTTTAGACAATCACAATATCGTATAAAAATTGATTACAATTTTATAATCTCGCGCAAATCAAATTATTTTATAGAAATATTCACGTCATCACGATTGAAAGCATAAAAACCACATTATTTATAACTTTTTTATGGAAGTCCAAATAATCACTTGACGAAATATTGACGAATAAAGATTTTCATATTTTATTTCATTCTTCGTTCCTGAATAACAATTTTGAAATGGATATGTTTATATCGGTAGTTAGTTGAAAATAAATTGATTCACTTAGGAATACTAGACGAACTCAGATGCGCGTTGATTGCTCTTATACGAGTTTTTTAAAAGTTTTCGGTATTTGGAAGATAATGATTTCGTAAATATTTGAATATAATGGGAATAAATTTGACTATATTTAGAAATAAATTATAAGCTAGAGGTTAAGGGTATATTAATTTTTTTTTCGTAGCGCTATAAAAAAATCTCCTGATTAACCGATTTACTTCCACTTATATCAAAATATCTGTAGTATATTTAGTCAACATTTATTGAACGTTTTTTCCGATTTATTCCCGCACATGATATGACAGGTATCACGCTTATGAGTATAAATAGAATGATCAATTTATTTATTTTAAGTGATACATCACAATATGCTTTATGACACTAGTCGTCGCACAAGAATTAATGAATTAATCGTAAATGGTCCTAATTTCTTTGACAACCGATGAAATTGTCCGGCGTGGGGACAATTTTGCACGTTTCTATTATACACACAAATTATTGTGCAGAATCATTTACAATGTACCGTAAAACCATGCACAGTTGTTAGTACACTAGTTGTCCAATGTAAAATATAAAATTGTAAAATGAGGGTATAGGAAGCAGAATACAATCTTCTTGTAGGTATTTATTAGATAATTTCTACGATTTCAGTTGAAATTTAGCATATATATATAATCATTAAAATTATTTGATAATTAGCGAGTCGCAATCAATTTCCAAGATTATCGGGGAAGTGCAATTACTTCATCCAAAACATGTCTGTTTTGTATATAATAGAACGCGCGGATTTATACGCTTAATACTACTCACTGATTACATGATGTAGAATAACAAAATAAACATTTTTCGTATAATACCTAGCTTACAGAAATGTTTCGAAAAGAATTTACAGTTATTTTCCAATTTTTTGCTATTCTTACATGTACTATTATTTACGTCGACCGTATTCAGCTTCCACATGTACAATAGTTGATTAGTTCCTTAACAATCTCAGTTCCTCTTTCAAAATTAAATATGAATAGATTTTTTCAACGAAGTAGAAGTCGTGATATTTATGAATGTCGATCCGGAAGGGGCGCGCGAAAATTGTTTGCAGAATAAGTAGTAATACGCGTTGAAAAATAGTTTGTATAAATTTAATGTAACGGTTAGTGTATCGGTTGACAATGTCTCGTGAGTTCGAGCTTATTTTATATAATGGAATAAATAATAAGTCAATGCGACGAGTATTAAATGACAAATAAATGTAAAATCGAGTGCAGAGTAGGATGAATCAAACTTTGAAGCCTATACATCTGCAAATAAAATTATTAAAACTCCATATACATGACTCCACTTGAACGATCCATTTTCAGTTGAAACTGAACGTGGCTATTGAGCGATAAAAATTACGCGTTGTCCTCTCTTAGAAACCACGTGACCACCCGAAATTCCTCGATAGAAAACTAGATGCAAGGCGTAATAATCAAGTCACAAGATGATAAGAAGTCTCTCTATAAAAGAGTAGGCAATACGGCACTTTGCATTAGTTTGAACTTGAGTACCGAAACGTAACATTCGGTACTTTCTTACATTTGACTATATTACTATAATTTCTTTCTTTTATAATTTTTGAAGAGATTATAACTCTTTTGTAGTATCCTCGATCATGAGGACATTGGTATTGTTACTTGTGGCTTTAATAGCCGTCGCTCAAGCCGTGTCAATTTATGATTCTGCAGCTCGGGAATGGAATACTTTTAAGGTATGATAGTTCACTAGAAATATTCAACGCATTATTAATATTTCTATTTAAAGGCCGAACATGGAAAGAGCTACACGAATGAAATCGAAGAAGAATTGCGATTGAAAATCTTCATGGAAAATAAGCAAAAAATTGCTGAGCACAACGCAATGTTCGAGCAAGGATTAGTCACCTACAAACTAGGATTTAACGAATACTCCGACATGGTAAGTGATGGACCATGCAAAGGCTACATTAACAAACAATTCGGAAATATGGATCAATGAATGTCATTCGTTTGACAGACACATCATGAATTCGTGCGCACAATGAACGGCTTCAACAAGTCGAGATCAGGAATACCTGACAGTTCCAAAAAGATGAAAGCAGCGCGATTCGCGTCGCCAGCACACGTGCAACTGCCTGCGAGTGTAGACTGGAGAAAGAAAGGTGCCGTCACCGATGTCAAGAATCAAGGGTCCTGCGGTTCATGTTGGGCATTCTCAGCAGTAAATAAACAATTGTTGGCAAGGTTTGATTTTCGCGCAATGTTCGACTACTACAATCGTAGTATTTTTAGACGGGTGCACTAGAAGGACAAAACTTTCGCCAGACCGGCAAATTAGTATCCTTGAGCGAGCAAAATCTTCTCGACTGCTCTGATGATTACGGTAACGACGGTTGCTCCGGTGGTCTCGTGGACAGTTCCTTCAACTACATCAAGGACAATAAAGGTATCGATACCGAGAAGACATACCCATACAAAGCACGTCAAGGCCAGTGCCATTATGACCCACACAACAGGGGCGCCGAGGATGTTGGTTACGTGCACATTCGCTCTGGGGACGAACAACAGCTCACGGAAGCTGTTGCCACTATTGGCCCGATTGCCGTCGCTATGGATGCATCACACTTTAGCTTCCAAAACTACAGATCTGGTAAGCTGTGACAGGTTCTCGCATTGAAAATTACAAGTACCCGAAGTTGTAAATAATCTTTATCCACAGGGATCTATTACGAGCCAAAATGCAAAAACCAAAACGATTACCTTGATCATGCGGTCCTCATAGTTGGCTATGGTACCACTGAAAACGGAATAAATTACTGGCTGGTAAAGAACAGTTGGGGACATAGTTGGGGAGAGAATGGTTACTTTAAGATACCGCGTAACAAGAATAACCATTGCGGTATCGCTACTGATGCCCTTTATCCTCTTGTTTAGCAACGGTTAATCCAGTCATATAAGATCGCGCGATGCTTATTTCAGCTGGTGTTATTAAAATGAAATTTAAATGTAAAGAATGGTATTTTTGCGATATTCAAGTAGTTAAGTGTTATATATTTAAGTCGACTATTTCCTTTTTGGAATTGAGTAAGAATTCAAATACGTTTATTGTAAATCACTTTTGCGTGTATTTGTGGAGACTCAACTGTTAATCATTCTAAGCACGCTGTCCGTTTGCTCGCGCGATAACTGAAATTACCAACATAGTGAAATAAATATTAGCGTAAAATATTCGTGTCTCTTGTCATTCATCTACCATCATCCGATTGCATTCCTAAATATTTTATATAGGAACATATATTCTTGTCATATTTGGTTTTGTACTTTTAATCTTGTGAGTGTAATGTGCCAGATAAAATAGACTTTTGAGCGAATATGTTTGATAAATTCAAACGACAATTTTTAAACAATCACAATATCGTATAAAAATTGATTACAATTTGTTAATCTTGCGCAAATCATCTTATCTTATAGAAATATTCACGTCATCACGATTGAAAGCTTAAAAACCACATTATTTCTAACTTTTTTATGGAAGTCCAAATAATCACTTGACGAGATATTGTTAAGATCTCCATATTTAATTTCAGTCTTCGTTCGCAAATGATAATTTTGAAATGGGTACGTTTATATCGCTCATTACGAATAAATTGATTCACTTTGGAATACTAGAGTGACTCGGCCGCGCTTTGCACGATATAACGCTCTTATACGAGGGTTTTCGAAAATTTTTAGACTTTGGAAGATAATAATAATTTTATAAATATCTGAATATATTGGGAGTAAATTTCACTATATTTATAAAGATATTACAAGTTTGAGGTTAATAGGATATTAATTTTTGTTAGAAGTGCCATTAAAAGTCTTCTGATTAACCTGTAACGGAGAATCAGCGACCGTTCCCGTCTGGGTAGTTCGTGGCCGTCCGCACAAATTATTTATTCGGAGATTCGGGAAGCAAAAGACGTTCCCACGACTGAATAACGCGTCGAGCATAAACACGTTAAACGCACAGATTCGAAGTCGGGATGAGGAGTGATACAACGGTGAATAAACACAACATTGGATTAGCACATTAATCCTTTACTTGTCAACAATAGATTTCAAGACGGCGATCTTACGCCTATACACTACGAGCGGCACAATAAGAAACCCGAACGCGAAGGTGAATCGGTGGCTGGTCAGCTTGCCGATTCCCTGTCTAAAACTAAATGTTACAACAAATGCCCGACAAAACACTTTCCGCCGTTAATCTATCAACGGAGTAGCCTGCAGATCTGTCGTGCTACCACCCATAAGCTGGCGCCCAAACATGCAAGAAACAGAGAGAAACAAGAGAAAAACACGGCTCCGACCTCGACTTTCAGCCTCTCTGACGGCTAGAGCGCTCTGCAGTGTGACGTCACTGGTGTGCTCCTCGCTGACCGTCTCGCTGGTGTTTGTTGTCGTTGTTTTCCTCTTTCTCGTCCTCTCGTTCGCTCCACAATCTTGCTGCTTTATTCTGTTGCTCGCTTGTAGATTGTTGTTGCTGTTGTCTCCGACACCTCTCGGTTGCTTGGTGCTGCAGCAACGTCGAAACTGTTCGCGCGCGCACCCGCGCACCTCGCCGGTTACCCACACGCACCGGTGCCGGGTACCCTTCGGGACACGGCTGGGCGCGACCCAGTCTCACACTCAAATACTCGTCCGCGCACCGAGCGTGTCTCCGAAAACGAAAAAAACGTCGACGAGTTCGCGGGGCCAACTCCGGAAAAACCGTGACCTTCGGTTCAATCCGCGCGCGCGTCTTCCTCTGCCCAAAGCCTAGCAGAGACTCTCCCGAATTTCCCGCGATTTAAGCGCTCTCTCTTTCTTTTCTTATTCTGCGCCATCTCTGTCGCTCCAGCCGTCAACTCAGTCCTTGTACAGCACCTCATAAACAGAAACCAAGCATGAGTGTGCGTACCACACGCACACACTCTCAGCTTGGCGCGGCGCACGGACATTTGCGAAAGCCAGACGGACGAAATCGGCCTAACCGAGATTCTCTGTAATAAACCAATCAACTTCTACTTATAAAAAAATATTTATTGTATGTTTAGTCAAGATTTGTTCGACATTCCTTTCGATTTATTCACGCGCATGATGTTAAAGGTATCACACTGATAGGTATAAATCGAATGATCAACTTATTTCAAGTTGTCGCACAAAGATTGACGAATTAATCGTAAATGTTCCTAATTTCTTTGGCAGCCGATGGAATTGTCCGACAAGCGGTTTTAATATACATATTTGATTGTACACAAAAAGTATTATGCACAATAACATAGCATAATAATTGATACACGCTGATTCGCGTTATATTACCGTGCACAATAGTTTACATGTACAATAAAACCATGATCAATTGTCTATACGCCAGTTGTCCGAGGGACAAATCGGTTATGAGAGGGTTTGTTAGTTCCGCGCATATTAATATGTAATTTTCTTCGAAAAATTGCAGACATATTCCCAGTACATTCTTGAGGTTTTATTTTGTTCTCAAACATATGTATTTACAAAAGCATGTAAATCAATTTCTGCTTACGCATTATGAACAAGAAGAAATAGATAATATGGATGTGCGCGCGCGCGCGCGTGTGTGTGTGTGTAGCGCATTGATGTTTGAAATGTGTCTTAACCTTCTTCGGAATAGATCCAAACGTCGTTGTAATTATTAATAAAGCAGTAATTTTTTGTACCTATTCCATACAGTTCCGTGTGATGAAACAGATTTCATCGCAGTCAACAATAGGTAAAGACATACTAATCTATTTTCACCCAATTTTTGGTCACCTTAATACAAAATAATCGTGTACATGATGGGTTGCCGCATACAGGTATTTCGACATAAATGACCGTTATATACTACTCACAATATGATAAGACATCGTCGAGAGTATAGAGATATGACGAGTACGACTCATGTGACAACGTCCAGTAACAAAAGAACCAGTATGCAAAACTTTATGGTTTGATTGTTTATTATAATTAGCCCCTGTTTATTCATTATACTTTATGAAATGCGTCAAAAATATTAGAATTTTGGTTACTTGTACAAATTAATCATATAATTTGATTGTGATAGCATATTTATTCTCGTATAAAGAACCTCAGGCATGCTTCAAATAAGATTATCGCATGGTAAAATGAGGGTATGGGAAGTAGAATACTGTGTTTATGAGATCCCCACATTCCAGGCTACAGGTACAATCTTCTTATAGGCATTTATTAGATAATTTCTACGATTTCAGTTGAAGTTTAACATATATATATAATCATTAAAATTATTTGATAGCGAGTCGCAATCAATTTCCAAGATTATCGGGGAAGTGCAATTACTTCATCCAAAACATGTCTGTTTTGTATATAATAGAACGCGCGGATTTATACGCTTAATACTACTCACTGATTACATGATGTAGAATAACAAAATAAACATTTTTCGTATAATACCTAGCTTACAGAAATGTTTCGAAAAGAATTTACAGTTATTTTCCAATTTTTTGCTATTCTTACATGTACTATTATTTACGTAGACCGTATTCAGCTTCCACATGTACAATAGTTGATTAGTTCCTTAACAATCTCAGTTCCTCTTTCAAAATTAAATATGAATAGATTTTCTCAACGAAGTAGAAGTCGTGATATTTATGAATGTCGATGCGGAAGGGGCGCGTGCAAATTATTTGTAGAATGAGTAGTAATACGCGTTGAAAAATAGTTTGTATAAATTTAATGTAACGGTCAGTGTATCGATTGATAATGTCTCGTGAGTTCGAGTTTATTTTATATAATGGAATAAATAATAAGTCAATGCGACGAGTATTAAGTGACAAATAAATGTAAAATCGAGTGCAGCATAGGATGAATCAAACTGTGAAGCCTATACATCTGCAAATAAAATTATTAAAACTCCATATACATGACTCCACTTGAACGATCCATTTTCAATTGAAACTGAACGTGGCTATTGAGCGTAAAAAATTACGCGTTGTCCTCTTTTAGAAAACACGTCACCACCCGAAATTCCTCGATAGAAAACTAGATGCAAGGCGTAATAATCAAGTCACAAGATGATAAGAAGTCTCTCTATAAAAGAGTAGGCAATGCGGCACTTTGCATTAGTATGAACTTGAGTACCGAAACGTAACATTCGGTACTTTCTTACATTTGACTATATTACTATAATTTTTTTCTTTTATAATTTTTGAAGAGATTATAACTCTTTTGTAGTATCCTCGATCATGAGGACATTGGTATTGTTACTTGTGGCTTTAATAGCCGTCGCTCAAGCCGTGTCAATTTATGATTCTACGGCTCGGGAATGGAATACTTTTAAGGTATGATAGTTCACTAGAAATATTCAACGCATTATTAATATTTCTATTTAAAGGCCGAACATGGAAAGAGCTACACGAATGAAATCCAAGAAAAATCGCGATTGAAAATCTTCATGGAACATAAGCAAAAAATTGCTGAGCACAACGCAATGTTCGAGCAAGGATTAGTCACCTACAAACTAGGACTTAACAAATACTCCGACATGGTAAAAGTGATGGAATATCCAAGGCTAAATTAACAAACAATTTGGAAATATGGATCAACCAATGTCATTCGTTTGACAGACACATCATGAATTCGTGCGCACAATGAACGGCTTCAACAAGTCGAGATCAGGAATACCTGACAGTTCCAAAACGATGAAAGCAGCGCGATTCGCGTCGCCAGCACACGTGCAACTGCCTGCGAGTGTAGACTGGAGAAAGGAAGGTGCCGTCACCGATGTCATGGATCAAGGGTTCTGCGGTTCATGCTGGGCATTCTCAGCAGTAAATAACCAATCGTTAGCAAGGTTCGATTTTCGCGCAAATTTCGATCACTACAATCATAATATTTTTAGACGGGTGCACTGGAAGGCCAACACTTCCGCAAGACCGGTAAATTGGTATCCTTGAGCGAGCAAAATCTTCTCGACTGCTCGGGTAGTTACGGTAACTATGGTTGCGTCGGTGGTTTCATGCAACATGCCTTCAACTACATCAAGGACAATAAAGGTATCGATACCGAGAAGACATACCCTTACGAAGCTAGTGAAAAATATTGCCGTTACGACCCACGCAACAGCGGCGCCGAGGATGTCGGTTTCGTGGGCATTCGCACTGGGGACGAACAACAGCTCATGGAGGCTGTTGCCACTATTGGCCCGATTGCCGTCGCTATGGATGCATCTCACTTTAGCTTCCAAAACTACAGATCTGGTGAGCTGTGACAGGTTCTCGCATTGAAAATTACAAGTAGCCGAAGTTGTAAATAATGTTTATCCACAGGGATCTATTACGAGCCAAAATGTCAGAACCAAGACCTTGATCATGCGGTCCTCATAGTTGGCTATGGTACCACTGAAAACGGAATAAATTACTGGCTGGTAAAGAACAGTTGGGGACATAGTTGGGGAGAGAATGGTTACTTTAAGATATCACGTAACAAGAATAACCATTGCGGTATCGCTACTGATGCCAGTTATCCTCTTGTTTAGCAACGGGTAATCCAGTCATATAAGATCGCGCGATGCTTATTTCACTTGGTGTTATTAAAATGAAATTTGAATGTAAAGAATGGTATTGTTGTGATATTCAAGCAGTTAAGTGGTATATATTTAAGTCGACTATTTCCTTTTTGGAATTGAGTAAGAATTCAAATACGTTTATTGTAAATCACTTTTGCGTGTATTTGTGGAGAATCAACTGTTAATCACCCTAAGCACGCTGTCAGTTTATTCGCGCGATATCTTTACAATTACCAACATAGTGAAATAAATATTAGTGTAATAAATATTAGTGTAAAATATTCGTGTCTCTTGTCATTTATCTAGCATCCTCCGATTACATTCCCAAATATTTTATATAGGAACATATATTCTTGTCATATTTGGTTATGTACTTTTAAGCTTGTGAGTGTAATGTGCCAGATAAAATAGACTTTTGAGCGAATATGTTTGATAAATTCAAACGACGATTTTTAGACAATCACAATATCGTATAAAAATTGATTACAATTTTTATAATCTCGCGCAAATCAAATTATTTTATAGAAATATTCACGTCATCACGATTGAAAGCATAAAAACCACATTATTTATAACTTTTTTATGGAAATCCAAATAATCACTTGACGAAATATTGTAAAGATCTTCATATTTTATTTCATTCTTCGTTCCTGAATAACAATTTTGAAATGGATATGTTTATATCGGTTGTTAGTTGAAAATAAATTGATTCACTTAGGAACACTAGACGAACTCAGAAGCGCTTTGCTTGCTCTTATACGAGTTTTCTTAAAGTTTCCGGTCTTTGTAAGATAATGATTTCGTAAATATTTGAATATAACGGGAGGAAAATTGACTATATTTAGAAAGATATTACAAGCTAGAGATTAATAGTTTATTAATTTTTTTTCGTAGCGCTATAAAAAATCTCCTGATTAACCGATTTACTTCCACTTATATCAAAATATCTGTAGTATATTTAGTCAACATTTATTGAACGTTTCTTCCGATTTATTCCCGCGCATGATGTGACAGGTATCACGCTTATAAGTATAAATTGAATGATTAATTTATTTATTTTGGGTGATACATCACAATGTTTTATGACTCAAGTAGTTGCACAAAAATTAACGAATTAATCGTAAATTTTGCTAATTTCTTTGACAACCAATGGAATTGCCCGGCGTGCGAACATTTTTACACGGTTTTATTAAATGCACAAATTATTGTGCACAATAAAATATCGTAAGAATTTATTTTTGCTTATTCGCGCTATATTATATACACAATAATTTATATGTATCTTAAAACTATGCACAATTGTCGGCATGCCAGTTGTTCGATGTAAAATGTAAAATTGTAAAATGGCGGTATGGGAAGTAGAATGCTGTGTTTAGGAGATCCCCACATTTCAGACTTAAGGTACAATCTTCTTAGAAGAATTCATTATAAATTTTCTAATAAATGTAGGATACGTAGTAGTATACGTTAAAAAATCATCTGTATACATTTTCTAGGTGAATAAATGTAATAAACAATATATATATATATATATATATATATATATATATATATATATATATATATATATATATATAAACAAGAGATAAATAACATCCATACATACAGCTTTACTTGAACTATCTATTTTCAGTTCAAAATAAACATGGCTAGTCCACGACAAACATTGCACGTTGTTCTTTTTTAGAAAACACATGATCACTTGAAATCCTTCGTTAGAAAACCTTTTGCGAGACGCATTTCTCATGTCTAAATTTGGATATAACCATTTTTAGACGATTATAATACTATATCGCAAATGATTATTATTTTACAAGTTTGCATCAAATGAATGATTTTCTAAGAAATAATCACGTCATTACAGTACATAATGTAACCATATCTCAGCTAATCATATCGCGAATAAAATTTTTCGACATGGTATACATTAATTTTTTATAATTTTTTTACGTTTTATAAGGGGATAAAGGAACTAGAAATGTGCCACGTGCGTGCAATTTAATGTTTCGCATACGATAATATGATCCGATATTAGTTGACCAATAATGTAAAAAACTTTTTGTTGCTGTAAATGCTCGATTTCCAACAGCTAATCGTAATTCGAATAATAAACTACTCAATTTCCTCTCCCACTTAAGTTCTAGTATAGTTTTAACTCTCTTTATGAATGGATCGAATGAATAAAATGGATGAAATAGATGAAATGGATGAAATGGATGAAATGGATGGAATAAATGTATAGATGGAATGGGTGGATGGATGAAATGAGTGAACAACTCTCTTTTACGTACGGATGGATAAGAGGATGTCTATGAATGCTGTTAAGCTTTGAAGAGAAAAATGTCGTAACAGTTATGCCACATATAACAACGAATTGACGAAGTCTGTACGCGCAGAAAAATGCTTAAAAGAAAAGAAAAAAACAATATAAACATAGATTGAAAAAATTTATTTTGTAAACGAAGCAAAGAAGCAAAATATCTTTTCAAAACAAATATACATCGTAGTAATTTTTTCAGTACTATTTCAGTTAATTCTGAACATGTAAACAACGATAATTCTCAAACTGCTGGAGATTATTTCATCATAAATATGCGAAATGGAGCAATACTCTCCATATCTATGATATTTCACAAGCTTAAACAAATATTTTACCCCAAGATTTGGAAGCAAAGTTGAAATAATTCTGCTTCATAATTTAAGAGCAAATATTAAAATAATTAAATAATATCAAATTGTCCGCCATGGAATTGTTAAAATTCCGTTCAGCAATATATTCGATTTAAGAATGGAAATCTTCATATAAACGATTTAAGGATGTTCGATGATTAATCGAAAGTTAAGAGAACTGCTCAGATTTTCGATAGGTTATAATTAAGGCAACAAACATTCACATACATTTTTTAAATATTTTTTCCGCTGAAATTTTAAAAATAATTGATCACAAAGTTCACCTCTTATACATGAGCTCTTATGGAGTGCGTTGTTAAAAAGTAATTCATTTGGAGTGCGAATTGACGAGCAATTGTAATAAAAAACATAAATAAATTGACAATAAATATTCAATAAACTAATCGCAAAACTTTGACGTACATTTCCAGTAAAAATCATAAGTAATCGATCAAATTATAAACAAAAACTTGAGCTTATCGGTTATGCGCTAAGATGCGCGGGTTGGGGAGCGGCGTACACGATGCAAAGAATTAATGGCTTTGCTCTAAAATATACATTCATGCACCCATTACTACAAACCAAATTCAGCAGCAGAGAAGATGCATCGGTCCACTTTGAAACATACGCAGACAAATGCGTAGACAAGGGATCAGTGAATTGCTTCATCGCATAGTCACAAATGAGAGTGAGTCACGTGTAGTGGCTGTACATCTGGTGGGAGAGCCCCACGCGAGCAAGTAAACACATAAAGAGATTGCCTCGTCCAACGTTCCATAGCAGTTGCAAGGGCGACTTCGAACGTTCACTGTTTTTTTTCTTACGTTTGTGTGTCTTGTTGGATTTACGTTAGGTAAGTTGAAACATCATTGCAATTATCCTTTCTCGTCTCATTTCTCACCCGTACATATACGTTTGTAATTGCATGTCAGATGATTTCCACCAAGTAAATTACGCGATTTAGGAAAGGTTATAAAAGTCGTCGCGACACTCTACAAAGAACAAGAGAATGAACTGAATTTCTTTATTCTTGTTAGGCTATGTAGTAGTGTCGACCTTACAAAGGGCCATCCGACTGCTGTAGTTCGTTGCCATAGTTTGAAACTTTTTTATATTCCTTTTTGCCTTTGGCGTCGTCTAACGCAATAATTACAACTTTACTTTGATATTTGGCAAGCGTCATATCTAATAAACTCGTTTCTTGCAAAAAATATCGATTGAACGGTCTGTTTTGACGAATATCAACATACAGAGGTGAAATTCTATGACTTGGTTTGTAATGTACATGTACGCTGTTATATATGTATGTATATTTGAAAATACCAGCGTCACGGGAACAAAGAGTCACCACAAAGAAAAATGTTGCGCTTGAGACGCACTTCTCACGGAAATGTTACTTGAGGATGCTAGATACTACAGAATATTTTAGCGTCGTATAACGTTCTTCTTTTGTACGTTATCGCAGATAGTTTATTTTCTTGCTTTATCTGCTGACTTTTTGCCACTATCGCTACGCCGTTTTATCTAGGTCGTTATGATTGAAACAATCTTTATTTTTTTCTTATTAAATTGTCGGTAGAATATTTTATTTTGACTTGCGACAATTTTCAAAACATTGTGATTATTGTCTGATCGAGTGTGTATTGAATATTTTGCGTGTCGAGTTTAGGGTTTATGTGGATTGAATTTAATTTGAAACATTTACGTTAACGTTCAATTTTGTTAAATTATCAAAGTAAAAAAAACTAAATACTGATCAATCTTGGAAATGTCTTATAGTGATTAGTTATACAATTTTTTCAATAAATGCAACTTGTTTATATAATTACGATTTAAACATTAATGATATAAGATTATATTTTTACTGTTAAAATTATTGGTCATATGAATTTTTGTATCCCAAAAAATAAAATTCTAGAATATTTCTTCAATAAAAAATTTTAATTAATGTTAAATGCTATTTATAATACTGCAATGAGTTTAAAGAATAAAATTTGTTTTAAATACGTAGTGAACATTTTTTTAAAGCAGTTTGTTATATATAAACAGGCAGTAATATAAAATAAAAGAATAAAATACATGAGCAATAAGTATTTTACAATTGCTTTTGGATAGTGGTTGATTGCTTGTATTGCTCATTTATAACTTTTTTAAACACTGATGATTAACACTAAAATAAGTTGCAAATGCCTATTGTATTGAAATATTTGATTTCCTTAAATAATATCTTTGTTCTGCTAAAAATGTAAAATAAAATAAAATAAAATAAAATCTGCAATGGATATCAACAACTTATTTTCAGATAAAATCTTTTATCATGAAGATATTAGTAGTTTTACTTGTGGCCTTGGTTGCTGTCACTCAGGCTGTATCTATCAATGATCTGATATCAGCAGAATGGACTAATTTCAAGGTAGTTAACATCATTTCTCATTTAATAATAGTTATAAAATATAATTTTCTTCACTTGTCAATTCATTTTTTTAAATATTTTTCAGGTACAACATAAAAAAATCTACCAAAATGAGATTGAAGAAAAGTTCAGAATGAAGATCTTCATGGAAAATAAACATCATATTGCAAAGCACAATTCCAAGTATGAGCAGGGTCTGATACCATTTAAATTGGGAATGAACAAATATGCTGATATGGTAAGACCTCGAATGATTCAAATAATTTTTAATAATTTCAATCAAATAATTAATGTTACTGATATAAAATTATTATTGAAGCTTCATCATGAATTTGTACATACCATGAATGGATTTAACAAGACTAAGCCAGGTATGCTCCAAAGTTATCAAAAACCAGTAGGAGCTAAATTCATTGCCCCAGCTCATGTTGAACTGCCAAAGAGTGTAGACTGGAGGCAAGAAAGAGCTGTTACAGAAGTTAAGGACCAAGGACACTGTGGTTCATGCTGGTCTTTTTCAGCAGTATGTACTTTAGATTTATCACTGCTTCTGTAGGTATTCACTTATAAAAAGTCTAAATTGCTTGATATTTGATTTTTACAGACTGGTGCACTGGAAGGACAGCACTTTAGACAAACAGGCAAATTGGTATCCTTGAGTGAACAGAATCTTATTGACTGTTCGGGTAAATACGGTAACAATGGTTGCAATGGTGGTCTCATGGATAATGCCTTCAGATATATCAAAGACAACAAGGGTATCGATACCGAGAACACTTACCCCTATGAGGCCGAGGATGACGTGTGTCGTTATAACCCAAGAAACAGCGGTGCCGATGACGTTGGTTTCGTCGATATTCCAGAGGGAGATGAAGAAAAACTCAAGGCAGCTGTTGCCACCATTGGTCCAATTTCTGTTGCCATTGATGCTTCTCACCAGAGCTTCCAACTCTATCAATCTGGTAAATTATACCGTACATTTTTACATGAAAATTTTGCTATACTTGATAAGGTATTACTTTAATTCAATTTTTTTTCTGGTCTAGGTGTATATTTAGAACCTGAATGTTCGTCGACTGAACTTGACCACGGAGTTCTTATAGTCGGCTATGGCACGGATGAAATTGGCCAGGACTATTGGCTCGTGAAGAATAGTTGGGGGCCAGGTTGGGGTGACAAAGGATATATCAAGATGGCTCGAAACAAGGAGAACCACTGTGGCATTGCTTCGTCGGCCAGTTATCCTCTCGTTTAAGGATACTTAAATCACATTATCGTCTCTTCATAATCGGCGTTGTAAATATGATTTTTTAAGTATTTCCAATGTTGTATCTCGTTTGCCTCGTTCGACTCTTTTTTTTTTACTAGCATTAAATACACATACATGACGTTAGCGTAGGGTAAATTGTTTTCCTTTAACGATATTTAAGCACTTTATTGTGATTTTTGTCTTTTTTATGAATGTGTAATGACATTTTAGGAAATATTAAGTTTTATCTCAATATGTGTTTGTTTACTATTCATTACCATGATACATCGTTATATCGACTCCTTTTTTTATATTTATGCAATCACAGAAAAAAAACACTTAATTTCTTTCTTTGTATTTTGAATATACTTATGTAATTCGAAATAAAAAATTGTAGATTTTTAAATTTGTCTATATTCTCTTATACCCTAATGAACTTATTAACAAATATACAATATACATCAGAAAAATAATTTCAAATACAAAATAATTTTATTTTAAAGATTGTGATGAGTAATTATTTACTTTCACTCTGTAAAAGCATTTACACTCGTTTTAAAATATCAGTAATTAAATCCAAGTTCTAAAGGTGTACAATAGCGCCATCATACGGGGAAACAAAATGATAGCTCAGCTTAGGAACGCTCTGACGGCATTACCGATTGAGTAAAAAAGTTTTTAAACAAATAATCTAATCAACTTGGAACTTTTTTAAGAATATTCATCGTACATAAACAAAGAGCCCTAAATAGCTATTTTTTTAATTGTCTTGGAAATTAAGATAAAAATTAAAACTTTACTTGCAGTTTTCATTTTTTATCTTGATTTCCAAGACAATTTTCAAAAAAGCGTCACTTTACGGCTTTTTATTCATAAAAGATGGATGTCCTGTAAAAGTTTAAAGTTAACTAATTTATTTGTTTAAGGACAAAACCTGGAAAAACTTTTATTTAATCGGTAATTTTATAAGCAGGTAACTAAATTTTTTCTAAGTTATTTGAAAAAGTAATTATACCATTCGATAGTTCGTTATGTAAACAATAAATTTTGTTAATAACATTTGTTTGTTCGTCTATAAATTATTATTTAAAAAACCTAATGAAGTTTTAAGTGTTGAACTCAGCATCTAAGTTTAACCGGGCTAGAATATTAAAAAAATTTATAAATAAGCCAATTGTTAGTTAATAAGATAAATTAACGGTATCCAGTAAAAATTGCAAGAAGATAAATTATTCATCGAATTAAAAATGCAAAATCGGTTTGGTCTATGATTAAAGGTTCACTGCCACTAGTTGAAGCAGTATGCGTGTATTCCTATTCTATGCGATAGATGGTATATTTGAATTTTAGCATATTGGCATTTCAGGATGAAACCTACAGCTATTTAAGGTAGAAGAAGCTATGCGGCAGAGGCTGAGGGAGTGAGCAGTGAGAAATAAATAGAGAGAAAAAGCGCGATGGTGATGGTCAATAAGATTAAGAGCAAATATACATTGCAGTAGCAATATTGAACCTACATAACTTGATAAGAAACAGATCAAGTAGGTAGGTTTTTTCTTCAATTACTATTCATTACGATGGAGCTTATTCATGGAGAGGACATGTCTACTGCAGTGGCTGATTAAAATGCTGGCCGCGAACCTTTAATTATGGTTTTATATTTTTTAATTAATTTTTAATTTATTAATAATTGATTTACTTGCAATTTTATACCGAATGCTGTTAGTTCGTTTCATTAAATAACAATTATTTTATGCTTATTTATCAATTTTTTAAATATTTTATTCAACCTGATTCAAACTTTGATGATGAGTCCAGTACCTAAAACTTAATTTATTTTTTAAAAGGTAATTTGTAGACAAACAAACGAATGTTATCGATAATATTTATTGCTTGAATAGCGAACTATCAAATAGTATAGTTATTTTTTTAAATAACTTAAAAAAATAATCTAGGTGTTAGTTCTTAAGACCTTCATTAGCCGCTATAGACGCTAATAGTCATAGCATAGTTGATAAAATTTGGCTAAGATTCGTTAGTTAAGTTTAGTACGTTGCGCACTATGCGTTACTTTAGAGCAAAAGTTTCTCCACTTGACGGTTGATATGTTTAATTTATATTGTTCGCAACTGGATAATTGATTGTTAATACCGAAACTTATGAATAAGTGAAAAACAACAACTTGTTCCCAAAAAATGGAAATGGTACAGTGACGTTGAATTTACGTGAGGGGCTCTTGTTGGATTGTGTTTATTTACTAGTAGAAGTGGTTCCGCAGATTGATATATTTTATTTGCTTACAAATGGCTATCGATGGAAATGATGTACGAAGGAATTTGTAATCTTTTGGCGTACAGTGAATATTTTAGAGATACTTGTGTAACCTCGGTTTTTTAAACTAAACGCTCCTAGTGTTTATCTACTTGTGACAAGTAGATACCACTTTGTTAGGTCCTTCAGGACTTTAAATTTTTTTAAGGAATAATTGTCATAATGTCGGAGTCCGATGAAGATCACGATAGAGATTACGACTCTAAGGGAGTAGATCTTGCCGGATTTATGTTTGGTAACATTGACGAGAATGGGCAACTCGAAAATGACATTCTTGACTCCGATGCCAAACAACATCTTTCATCACTAAACCAACTAGGTATTGGTTCCTTTCTGATGGAAATAATGTCAGAGGAAACAGATGACAAAAAAGAAAAAGATGAATCTGAGACTGAAGAAAATAGCAAGGAACCCATACAGAACGGAGATGTTAATGCGGAAGATATAAAAGATGTTGATTATCTTGGTAAGGACCCAGAGGCATTGGATTTTTCGGATATCAATGAATTAGCAGATGACTGTGTTGATTCTCTTCAAGGTATATAAATACATACCTATTGTAACTAGAATCAAAATATTGAACAAGAACTCTATTTACAAAAATGTCTTGATTTTAGGAATGTCCAATGGAACAAAGTCGGAAAAAGAGGCTGGCTATGACGCTGATGATGAAGATATAGAACATAAAGAAGACAAAGATTTAATGCCTCCACCTCCTGTACCAGAAGAAAAAGAACCATTGACTGCTGAGGAAGAAACATTAGTGATGCAAAGAAAACTTGAAACTCCTCTTGCTTCTGTGTTACCATCTAAATATATTAATGTTGATGTTACAGAACTTTTTCCACATTTTCGTCCACAAAAAGTTCTTCGATTTTCTAAATTGTTTGGTCCAGGTAAACCAAATAGTTTGCCACAGATATGGAGAGGTGTAAGGAAAAGACGTAAAAAGAAACAAATGCAGCAGGATACTATTAAAGATTCAGATTCTGGATCTGACAAAGAAAATAAAAAAAATAAATTTAGGGTAATTATATTTTCTATGTTTACAAGAACCAAAGAATTGATTTTTGGAAATTTTATTTTATGTATATTTTTAGGGGTGGACTATGAACTATGGACCAGATCCAACTCAAGATCAATTGGCTGAAGATGATGAGGATGCTTTATTAATGCCAGCAAAAGATGAAGAGCAAGAGAAGAATCCTGGCGAGACTGATGAAAATGATATGGGGCCAAAAGTTGCTGACTGGAGATTTGGGCCAGCTCAAATTTGGTATGACATTCTCGAAGTGCCAGAAACTGGAGAAGGCTTCAACTATGGTTTTAAGTTAGCAGAAGAAGTAGAAGAACAGACTGCAGTTAAAGATGAAAATGTTGATGAAGATGCTTTTCTTATGGTTTCTCAACTGCATTGGGAAGATGATGTGATCTGGAATGGTGATGATGTCAAACACAAGGTACGTTTCTTTTACAAAATGCATCTTTACCTCGAAAACTGAGTTTTCTACTAAATTCATTTTTTGTTTTTAATTTTAGACCAGAAATAAATTAAACTCGAGAAATAAAGCTGCTGGTTGGGTACCATCGAGCGATAATAGAACAGCACAAGCTTTCAGTCAGCCGGGAAAAGCGATACCTGGTCAAATCGCTCCGAATGTCAGATTGGCAACTTCACAAATTGCCGTACCAGCTCATATGCAGAATCAGAAACATAAAAAGTATATAATTTATTAATTTCTGATTTTTGAGAAAATTTCAGAAATATATAATTCATAATGTTTACAGTGTTAATGTTAATAAAGATCAAGCCAATGAATACACTGACGATACGTGGTATTCAATTTTCCCGGTTGAAAACGAAGAACTTGTCTACGGTTTATGGGAAGACGAGATTATTTGGGACGCTGAATCCATGAAAAAAATACCAAAACCGAAAATTCTGACTCTTGATCCGAACGACGAGAATATTATTCTTGGTATTCCCGATGACATCGATCCAGCTTTGATGCATAGAAGCAATGGGCCACAACCAAAAGTAAAAATTCCTCATCCTCATGTTAAGAAGAGCAAACTTCTACTAGGTAAAGCTGGAGTGATTAATGTTTTGGAGGAGGATGCACCACCACCACCACCAAAGTCACCGACTAATAGTGATCCCTTTAATATATCTAACGATATGTAAGTTTCTGTATTCGATTTTATTTAAATTAATTAATTGATCTGAAGCACAACCTAATAGTTTTATTTTTCTACAGTTATTATATGCCTAAATCATCAGAAACCACTATAAGACTGAAAGTTGGCGGTGGCAATCTCATACAGCATAGTACCCCGATAGTTGAGCTACGAACTCCATTTGTACCGACTTACATGGGACCGATGCGACTTAGAAACTTTCATCGACCACCTCTCAAGACATATTGTCGCGGTGCTTTGGCTCATTCAGGCCCACACAGCGTGATGCCTTTAACTAAGTTCATCAAGAAGCAAGCAAAAGTAAACTCGAACATTTTTTTTCGTTTCTTAAAAACGCTGTACTTGTTAAGTCGCTAATTATTTTAAATAATTGCAGCTACGAGAGCAAGAGCGAATAGCCTCAGGTGGTGGTGATGTGTTCTTCATGCGCACGCCAAACGACTTAACAGGTCGCGATGGTGAAATAGTGTTGATAGAGTTCTCTGAAGAACATCCACCACTTGTCAATCAAGTAGGCATGTGCTCAAAAATTAAAAACTACTACAAACGCAATGTTGGTAAAGATACTGGCCCACCCGAGTTCAAATACGGGGAAACAGCTTACGCACATACGAGTCCGTTCCTCGGTGTTCTTACGCCCGGTCAAACAATACAAGCCATAGAAAATAATATGTACAGAGCACCGATCTACGAGCACAAAGTCAACGATACCGATTTTCTTGTAATCAGAACACGAGATCAGTACTATATCAGAGAGGTCGACGCATTATTTTTAGCTGGACAGGAGTGTCCATTATATGAGGTTCCAGGACCCAACTCGAAGAGAGCCAACAACTTCGTTCGAGATTTCTTGCAAGTATTCATCTATCGACTCTTCTGGAAATCCAAGACTAATCCGAGAAAAATAATGATGGATGACATTAGGAAAGCTTTTCCTCTGCATAGCGAGAGTACTATTAGGAAGCGCTTGAAATTGTGCGCTGATTTTAAAAGGACAGGTGAGTTTAAATTACGAAATCAACGGAATTTTCACTTACTCACTCTTCAATGACTACTAGAAAATATAAAACTTATATTGATATTCGACTATGAAACGGATTTTTTTCATTCTTCCAGGAATGGATTCGAACTGGTGGGTTATCAAACCAGATTTTCGTTTACCAACCGAAGAGGAAATTCGTGCGATGGTGTCGCCCGAACAATGCTGTGCTTATTTTAGTATGATAGCCGCTGAACAAAGATTGAAAGATGCCGGTTATGGTGAGAAATTTTTGTTTACTCCTCAAGACGATGATGAAGAAATGCAGTTAAAAATGGAAGACGAAGTCAAAGTTGCTCCATGGAATACTACACGTGCCTACATACAAGCCATGAAGGGTAAATGCTTGTTACAACTGACTGGTCCAGCTGATCCGACAGGTTGCGGAGAAGGATTTTCGTATGTCAGAGTTCCTAACAAACCGACTATCAGCAAGGTAAACTTAATTACGTTTATATATATAAAAGAGCGTACTTAATTCCAATAGGATATTTACTAAAATTTACGTACATTTTCAGGAGGAACAAGAGGCTCAACCGAAGCGAATCGTCAATGGCACAGACGCTGATTTACGTCGTCTACCGCTTAACGCAGCCAGAGCATTGTTGCGTAAATTCAGAGTACCCGACGACGTAATCATGAAGCTCTCGCGATGGGAAGTTATCGACGTTGTGCGCACATTGTCAACTGAGAAAGCGAAGGCTGGAGAGGAGGGCATGACAAAGTTCTCCAGAGGCAATCGTTTCTCTATCGCTGAGCATCAAGAACGTTACAAAGAAGAGAGTCAGCGTATTTTTGATCTTCAAAATCGTGTGTTAGCGTCTAATGAAGTTCTCAGTACCGACGAAGGAGAAAGTTCAGATGAAGATAGTTCGGATATCGAGGAAATGGGAAAGAATATTGAGAACATGTTAAGCAATAAGAAGACTAGCACACAGTTGATTCTTGAAAGGGAAGAACAGCAGAGGCAGGAATTGAAGAGAATGATGATGAAAAATGATCATTCGGGTTTGTTTAATGTTTTTTTATATAATTATGTAAAAATTATCTTTATTCCTTGCTAAAAATTTTCTTTGTTTTTATATTATCACGTATATATTTCATATAATACTATAAATAAATTAAAAGAAATCAATATATTACCTACAGATACGCAAGATGATAAGAAGTTTAAAGACAAGAAGAAAGATATCGAAGATGAGAATTCAAGCTCAAATTTCAATACTCAACCAGGTCGAGTATTAAAAATTTACAGAACATATCGGAATGCCGACGGTTCAGTGTTCACACGTACAGAGATCGTACGCAAACCAGCGGTGATCGACACGTACTTAAAAGTTCGTAATTCCAAAGATGAGACTTTCATTAAGCAATTCACCAGCATCGATGACGTACAGAAGGAAGAGATGAAACGTGAGAAACGTCGCATTCAAGAGCAATTACGTCGTATCAGACGTAAACAAGAACGCGAAAAAATGCTCGCTGGTGGTGGGCGCAACTTCAGCCACTTGAATCTGTCCAATCATTCGCAAAATCTACTCGATCGCAGTGACGACATATCGCCAGTCAATTCATCCTATGATGGCAATCCTTCTCCAAGTAATTTTCCATTCCCAAATAACAAACCATCTCTCACTAACAATATAAAAGCTTTATCCACATCTGACTTTCCAATATCTTCGCCCTCTAAAAGTAAAAAACCCAAATTAAAATCAGATGTCAAGCTCAAATGTGGTGCCTGTGGCAACGTCGGACACATGAGGACCAACAAGTCATGTCCACTCTATCAAAACAGTTTAGGAGCACCATCGGTCACTCCTACTCCCATGCCCGTGGTTGAGGAACCAGAAATTGAGGTGGAGAAACCGAATTATACCGAAAATCAGGATCTCGTTAACGTCGATGGCACCAAAGTCAAACTCTTGGCGAAACTTATCAAGGTACAATATGTAAACTGTTTTATTATTAAAATTATTTTTAATTTAACAGTATTTTTTAAATAATATCTAGTTCAAATAATATCTAAAATTATTTGTAATTTAACAATATTTTTCAAATAATATCTAATCATTTTTTGAATTGATCAACGTTTAATTTTTCAGCATGTTGAAGAGATGAAGAACCGTACGAATATTCTGAAAATGCCAAAAGAGCAAACAACATCGACAAAACGTAAACGGCAGCATGGCGAAGATGATTTTGATTACGTTAAACGTTATCAAAGACCAGCTGGTGCGAATCGTCGACGAACGGATCCAGTTGTCGTTCTATCCTCGATCTTCGAAGATATTCTTAAAAATTTACGTACCCAAGAATTTGCACCTTTTCTGACACCTGTCAACTCGAAACTAGTACCAGATTATCACCGTATAGTTACACAGCCGATTGATTTGCAAACGATCAATGATAACCTTCGCCAAAAAAAGTACCAGTGCCGGAAGGAACTTTTAGCCGATATGAACCAGATAAAATTGAACAGTGCGTTATACAATGGTCCTGAACATCCACTCACGCACACCGCACAAAGAATGTTAGAATTGTTCGCCAAATTAGTAGCCGAGAAAGATGAGAAAATAATCAGGCTAGAAAAAGCTATAAATCCATTGTTGGATGATAATCATCAAGTCGCCTTTACATACATCCTCACGTCAATGATTGAAAATACTATTAAAATAATGCCTGAAGCTACACAGTTCTTGAAGCCAGTTAACAAAAAAATTTATAAAGATTATTACGACATCGTTAAAAATCCTATGGATGTTGAAACCATTCATAAGAAGAGCTCAGCACACAAATATCATTCTCGCACAGAAATCGTTAGAGATTTTCAACAGATCTATGAAAACAGTGTGATGTATAATGGTGATCTTTCACCTTTGACTTCCAAAGCTGATATTCTGCTAAAGACGGTCACTGATTATTTGAATAATGTATGTTTTAATAGTCGTGAAAATTTTTTAGTGGTTTTAAACGCGTAAACATTATTGTATACTTTTGTAATTGCTTTAGATATCCGAGCACTTGACGAGACTGGAGAATAAAATCATGGAAGCACAGCAGAAAGCTATTGAACAAGATGATTCGTGGATCCCCGAGGAGGAGAATTACATCATTCCCGAACCAGAATTCAGAAGCGTAAGTATTTGCGTTCATTATGTTGTATACCCTTTTAAGGTAAATTCTTATGTATTTTTGTATGATACAGACTCAAGCCACTTCTCCAGAAGAAGTTTTAAAAACAAATATGGACATCTCTGATATAGTAGACATTGAAGGTGTCGAAGTAGATGTTGGACTTGATAGACCGGCAGCCGTTCAAAAGAGCGATGTACTTGAAGAAGATTTGCAATGTTCGAGCGAAGACGAATTCGATGAAGTACCTTTTGGAGTAGACGATGCTTTCGAAGCGACGGAATTGAAACCTTTGATGCCAGTAGAAGTTTCAGCCGATGAATTGCTTGCCGATGATGGTAGTCAACAAGTTGCCGAGGCTATGATTCAACTCGGTAATGCTGGATCTTACGTGGAACCGCCATCGAATCATGCAGGTGAATATGTAGTTTTTTATTTATTATGTTATGTTTATTCATTCGATTTATATTTTCTGATATATTGATTTTAATTATCTTTTTTGCAGATGAAAGTCTCGACTCAAACTACGATCCATCGGATGCATTCTTCAACACAATACCGGCAAGAAAAGATGATGGTTATAAGATTCAAGATGATTTAGCTGTATCCGATAGTGATGAAGAAGATAAAAAATCGGGTATAAAAATTGAGATTGAAGCACATCCGATTCCAATCCAACAACAAACGGAAGATGATCTCGGAAACTTATGGTTTTAAGCTAGCTGTTAAATTGGTGGGTTTTAATAATGTTAACCCATATATTTAACGTATGGATTTTTAATAAATTGAAATTAATATATATTTTCGCGGATCAAGCTAGTTATTGAGCATTATGTATATAAACTTTGGTAATATATTTCAGAAACAATTTTTTTTATTAATATCATCACCTGTATGTAAATATGTAAATGTCTTAAATCACATTTTACTGCTTCAAAATTTATATGTAAGTTGCATCTAATCGTGTGACATGTAGTATTTATATGTATTTTGAAAAAAACGTTTATTGTGATAATCACTGGAACATTAGTGTTATGATTTGATCAATCATCGAGTGTGCAATAGACATTTAACAAAGAAATTGTAAATTATAGATCAAGTTAAACTTTATATTCTCCAAAATTTTTTATCTATTTTGGATTTAGTGTTTTTTACATAGAAAATCTCATTTTCTATGTCAACAAAAATTATACCGCGGCCAGTGTATTTAACGATGAATCATGATAATCATGATGTCCATAGCATTTTTGTAACCAATGATATGAATATCATAAATACAATTTTTGGCGTTTTTGTAGTTTTATGCTACATCAAGTTTATAAAGGCGTATTTGCCTTTTGTAAATCATTTACGCTGCGACAAATAAAATTCAATCTTTTTTTTTTAATTATTATATATATACAATTATTCAATGCCATAGCTTTCACACATAACTTTAGTAGTTATCGATAATTTCTATTGATAAATAAATAATGTACGTGATTCTTTCTTCATTTTCTAAAAGTGATTAACAAGAATATGATGCTAATTATTCGTTAATAATTGATAATATGTTAATAATTAATAGATGTCTACTTTGTTCGTGCTGCAAAATTTTATTTTTAGGCATTTTCTACTGTTAATTACCTCTATAAAGAATAAGAATATGCAACATAATGATAATAATTTTTTACTGTAATTTAGATTACTTTAACTTCATTCCATAAACGATAAACCAAACCTTACTTTCTCCTTCTACAAACACTTGGGTTCTCTACCAAAAAAATTACATAATTTATCACGCAATAAACAACATATCATTTTTTTATTATCTATGGTGTAAATCATATAAGTAAATTGTTTATTTGGAAAATGTGGAAGCTACGTGATTCATCACGTATGATACCGCGCGATATCACAAAGATAAGAGACTTCCCTACCTCTTTTGTTTCTACCAAAGATTCTGTGACTTCACGTGATTTTATATATATGATGATGACATTTCACGTGATGTCACTAAGGTAAATGGTTCGTATAAAAGAAGATATCCTTTCCCGCACTTGTATCATAATGTACTGTAATTTATTATAATATTTATTATATAAGGAATATAAATAATATGACATTCTTTCATTCGCTATTTATGAAAAACTACGTTTATAAATGTATTTAACGAAAGAATTCATGTTCGTATTTGTAACCAATTTTCTTTTTGGATCTTTATTTTTTACTACTTCTTTCGTAAAAAACAAGGTTTGCGTTTAAATAAATGCGAGGTGTATTAATTTACGTCCTGAATAAAGGTAAAATTCGTTGAAAACTATACAATAAATAATATTGGCTAAAATTTATTTCAAATATTGAAAGAATATCGTATGCAGGAGTCAGAGTTCGTAATTGCTTTCAACGTTATCATTATTCGTTATTTTATGATCGACGATTATGTTTTCCTATAGCATTATCATTTTAGATTTCTAGTGTAAAATAACAAAAGTAATCTTATTTCTCTTCTAATTTGAAATAATACAATGTAGTTGATATTCGTAGTTTCCAACGGTGAAAGTGCTTATTCTTATCTAAAATATCGACTGTGTTGTTTGTTGAAATAAAACATCGTTATTCTTTGAAAATTCATTTTTGACGAATAAATATTTTGTTTGAAAATGTTATCGACAGCGTTAAATGTTAAACACTTGTAAATTGTAATATAATTAATTTAACTTTAAAGATAATAGTTTATTAAGGCACTTACATTTCGCGCTAGCACATATCCTTTTATTATTTGGTTTCCGCGTGTAGACTTACTTTTCTTTGCCTAAACATGTGCCGCTCTTATCAGAATTATTGATTGTAGGATGAGGGTAAGCCCATCGCGGTACCACACCTTACCTTTACTACCCGTAATCGTCGTCGTAGATCGTAGAGCTCTTTCACGCTTAACTCGGCGATCCTCCACGGCGACCACCAGCGAATCATGAATAAAATGGTTTATGCATTCTTATTCATAAGGTTCTAAATTGACGTATAGCATGGGATAAAAAATTGACTAGTTACATTTTTATTTTACTTATTGCCGGTATTTTGACATCATTTGTTATAGTTTGATATTATTATCGTATCTGCTGGTGTGTCATTTTATACTAACAAGCTCTATAATGTTTGAGATCATAATCTATTTCAAAATAATAATTTTCTTTTTGTATGTTAAATCAATTCAACTAAGATTAGTGGAAAAAGTTCTTACTTCCTCCTTTTTCGTTCTCTAGCTCCATATCCCGGACACTATTAAAGTTTTTTGTTGCACCACTTCTCAGATCTGTAGCACAAATTGTCGCTTGCAAATACTGAATGAGGCTGAATAATAGCAAACACAAAATCGTCAAGTACTTCATTTTATTATTCCAAGTAGCAATGTATTCCAGAGTAATCCAAGAAGTTGACTGTGGATCAGCGTAGTTATATATACGCAATAATTATAATGTCTGGTCGCCACATAATTATCATAATGACATATTGCACTCTGACCTAAAGCTATATATGTACTTAAGACCTAGTTATTTATCGCATAATAATCTATAATTTTATATTTACGATAAATTAAGACTAATTTACTATGGCACGGACTCGACTGTACACGTACTTTTCTGATAGAATAGCAGTCTCCAAAATTTTCGCCAGCAAAACTCAGATTCTTCATTTTAGCCATTTTTTTTATTCTTATATAAACCAATTTTCAAGTTTAAAATCTTTTTTTTTCATTGCCAAAATCAATATTCTAACACAAGGGTAGCATAGAGAATTTTAAAGAGTTCATTGAAAATCGTTTCAGATATATCTTTATTGCAAAACTCCGCACGCTGTCAATGATAAATGCTATTGCTATAAATGTATGTTAATAAATTCTACAATTTTACACTCATTTTCAGCGGCAAAAAGATGCGTTCCAAAATAAGTTTTTTTCATATGCCATACTACTTTTTTAATAAATGATTGCTATTAAATAAAATGTCTTTTATAGCTCTTAAATACGCTGACTATATTCCAGGAATATCTGCAAAAATTATGCTCTACAGATCGAATGCCATAGTCCAGATTTTGATAAAAGTCAATAACACTGCAAGGAATACCGATAGTTCTTACAATGCTTGTATAAGTACTGAAAAATCTTGTGATCATAAAAGTACAAATGATATATAAGACTGTCTCTGGATATCCAATTGTTTGAATAAATAAAGAATAACAGCACTCAAATATCGTCCCAATGAACATTGATGTACTTTTTGTCGGTAACTTAAATGTGTTCAAAATCTCTTGTTTGACACTGTGTTCGATCGGTGTATGTAAATAAGAGAAGAAAGCCACTTTTGGACTTTTCATTAAACCTCTTAAAAAAAGTAACAGCCGAAAATTGCTGTAGTGAGAGCAAATGTAATGTAGTCGAATACATGTGCTCGAAATCTGTCATCGAGATGACAAGTATTAGTTAATAACAGGATTAATGAAAGAAATTGAGTACAAAAATTGAAAAATGTTCTTTAATTTCGTTATAGTTGATAAAAAATCTAGAGAACGGTTCTTACGTTATCCTTATAACATTTTTTATTTTTATTTAACGTTGAATAGGCCGAAGAAAATATGGAATAATCTTAATATTTCTTTTATTGGTTATTTACAAGTATGCCTTTGAATTCCAGTCAAAATTTTGTTGTAACGCGGTGTCAGTGGCAAGCCCCACGATAACTCTAAACGCATTCTACGACAGAACGAATACGATCCCGTGCATAATTTTTTCCGCGTAAGAATGAGACTAACAAAATGATAAATTTTATAAATTTTCATGGCATGCATTATTCAGGAAATTACGAAAATATGCTGAAAATATCGTCGACTTACTGAGTGATGGCAACATTTTTTCGAGACAGATTATACCCGTCGAAGTTCGAGTGAATAGATGAGAGAGCTATTAAAATTAGGCTAAGATAAATTTCACCGACGTGGAAATTGAAATAGCGGTCTGCAGTGTGACAAGTGTGGTAAGTATGAGACGCTTATTAGTTCCATGATTCGATATTGTCTGATCCGAACCAGAGGGAAAGCTAAAATTCATCAAATTAGAAAACGACCGACTGGGTCTCTATTAACTCAAGCTCAAGTGCTTCGATTGTGCAAAGTTTGTGCGATCAAGTTTTCATTCGATACTCAAGATTATTGGCAGACTTGAGAATAATAATAATAATAATAATAACAAAATAAGAAGATTATTAAGTAACAAATAAATAACGCAAAATTAACAAAATAATATGCACGTTGAGAGTCGTGAATGAAAAGAGCAGGAACGGAATCCGAATTGATTTAATTTATGTACGCCTTCATAACATAACATTTCACAAACTTTTAATAACAAGGTTGAAAAAGTGGTGTCAAATTGCGGGACCGAATTTCGCGTTAATGAAAAATAAGTATCCAGTGTGTAACGCGAGATGGCCGTGCGATAAGTTCAGTGAAGATATTCGCAAGCAGACTATCTAAAATACATAACAAATGGATCAACTGTATCTAATTGCATATAAGCTATCTTTTCGGCTACATTGGCGATATCATCTTCGTGTAATCACAACTATCATAGTATCAAATTATCTCATTTGTCAAGTAAAAGACGTCACTGCTACGCACGATCGAAGATAATAACACGTGTAATTATGTACAGCGACAGAGCATAGCTGCATCAATGTTTACAGGAATATCATTTACTTCGACAATCAACATATTGTTCAGTTTCGATATTACTTATTATTGATGGCAATCGATCATTTTGCCATTCCACGGCGACGCGCATTATTGTTCAACTGATTCAAGTTCAAAATATCTATTAGAAGAACTTGAGAAAGACGATTTTAAGAGTTTAAAATGAAATCCATTCGTGCCTGTGTGTATAAACAGTCCGTGTACAATTGAAATATTTTCTCATTGTATTTAGTATCAATCTGAAACGTTTACATTTCCATTATAATTTATGATTCATACAGCATATACTCACTGATAACTCCACTATCAACATAAGATTCCTTCCGGTAACTTCGGTCTGTTGTATATACAGGGTGGGCCATTTTAATCTATAGTGGACAATATCTCAGATGCTTGTGCACATACGAAAAAATGTTTCAGACAAAAGTTGGAGGGGATAATGGGGGGCATCTACGGGTACCAATAACTTTGACCTTGAAGTCGGTTTTGAAGGTTATTTCAAGGTCGGAGTCATTTTTTAAAATGGAACCACTTATTTTTGACTCCGGATTTGAAAAGAGCGGGAAATTTTACGTTCAAAATGATATTTTTATCAAGGTCATTGGTAAGGGCAAATAAAGGTCAAATTTGAGGAAAACGTTAAAAAACTGATGTGAGCTTGGAATGCACGTTGACAAGTCCAGGTTTTGAATAATTAAAATTTAAAAATAAGAACTTTGCTTTGCATTTTACAACAATGTATTTCAAGTTACTTCAACATGTTTACTAAAATGTATGCGATCTTACCATAAAAAATTCTCAACAAAAATTGTGTTATTAGGTTATTGGGTTATTGGGTTGTTGAGTTTTTGGCTTATTAATTTTTTCGGATCCAGATTTCAAAACCAGAGGTGCCGTTGTCAACGTGCATTCCAAGCTTACATCAGTTTTTTAACGTTTTTCTCAAATTTGACATTTATTTGCCCTTACCAATGACCTTGATAAAAATATCATTTTGAACGTAAAATTTCCCGCTCTTTTCAAATCCGGAGTCAAAAATAAGTGGTTCCATTTTAAAAAATGACTCTGACCTTGAAATAACCTTCAAAACCGACTTCAAGGTCAAAGTTATTGTTACCCGTAGATGTCCCCCATTATCCCCTCCAACTTTTGTCTGAAACATTTTTTCGTATGTGCACAAGCATCTGAGATATTGTTCACTATAGATTAAAATGGCCCACCCTGTATATGTAATAATACTTTATAACAGTAATGTGACTTTATGCTGTATTAAAAAAATATATATTTCACATAAGAAAATGTTGGTTTAATGCGTTAGTATGGAAAACATATCAGTTCATCTGATCTATCAGTTATGGCATTCTTTTTAATACAGATCATGAATCAACTCTATAAAATCTCATTTATAATTGATCTCTAGTCAATTTGTCATACGCAATAATTTTCAGTTGATTTAGTCTGCAATTTTAATTTGATAATAATAATAATTAGTCATTAAAATCTAAAGAATGAATTATAATTGATCAAGGAAGCATTTTTTTATACGAATATCGGCTACGAAAAAAAGTATAAGATATTTGGACACATATACATATAAACATTCTGGCTAAAGTTGGAAGCTAGAACAAGCTAATTATCCTGTTAATATCATACGTACGTTACATTTCATAAAAAAATATTTAAAATGATAACGATATGAAATATAGTCTCATTCAAAGACCCCTCCAACAAAATACGTTTTATCGTAATTCTATACCCGTTTCACGACATATGCGAAACGAATAAAAAGAGCTCGAAAATTTTTCACGCTATGCAGTCGTGTTCTGGAACGTTTATCCGCGCTTAATTATTGCGAGTTTCAAGATTAAAATATCATTTGCGCGTATTTCATCGTAAAAACGTAAAAAAATATAAAAATGAAAATATCAATTATATTTGTTTTAACTGTAATTTACGTCGCGCATTCATTCTCAGTTTACGATACGATTCTAGAAGAATGGCAGCTATTCAAGGTAACGGAAAATTATCGTTTGCATCTTTAATTATTGATGGCTTTGAATTAAATGCAAACTTTTGTCGACTTATCCAGACAATGTATCGCAAGAACTACGCTAATTTCGAGGAAAAAGTGCGATTTAACATTTACATGGAAAATCGCAAGAAGATCGCTGAACACAACAAAAAGTTTGAAGGTGGTGAAGTGACTTTCTCGATGGCTATCAATCGTTTCGGCGACATGGTAACTGCGTATATACACGTAAAATGATTTAAAATTAGCAAATTGTTTCATATTCCCTGATCTCGTTAAAGACAAGCTACGAGGTCTCGCGTAAAATGAACGGCTTCAACAAAACGGCTCGAACGAAACAAGTCGAGGAATATGTGGAGCCGAGTGAGTTGGCCGAAGGAGCCACGTTTATCGAACCGGCGAACGTCGAGTTGCCGAACCAAATTGATTGGCGAAAGCAGGGTGCTGTGAGTCCGATCAAAGATCAAGGCGAGTGCGGTAGCTGCTGGGCGTTTTCTTCGGTGAGCGATTGCAAAGTATCCGAAGAACGTAAATTACTCGTTCGATCCGTTTTGCGCGCAACCAACAAAGAAATTACAAGTGACGAACGCAATCTTTCGCGGCGATCAACGATGAAAATATCTTCGCTGTAATCCGCCAACATTGATCGACAGACAGGTGCGCTGGAAGGTCAGCACTTCCGTCGCAACGGCACTCTGATCTCGCTGAGCGAGCAGAATCTCGTCGACTGCTCGGGACGATATGGTAACAATGGCTGCGACGGCGGTTTAATGCAATTCGCGTTCGCATACGTCAAGGCCAATCGCGGCATCGACACAGAGAAGAGCTACCCTTACGAAGGTGAGGACGACGCGTGCCGTTACAATCCACGCAATAGGGGCGCCGACGACGTGGGATACGTCAGCATACCCAGGGCGAGAGAAGACAAGTTGCAAGCTGCCGTGGCTACTGTTGGTCCTATCTCCGTCGCCATCGATGCCGACAGCGATGATTTCATATTTTACGAATCAGGTAAAGATTTTACGGTGCTCTTGAACGCGGTGCTTTGAATTTCGCGATGGATTTCCGCGGTTGCATGCTCTAAAAACGATCAACTCCGCGCGCGTATCTTTGAGCTTACCGACTAGTACGCATGCAATAAGTGAAATTTAAAATTTGCGACAAGTGCCAAAATGAATGACTGCTCCTCGGCAGGGATATTCTACAGCAACGAGTGCTCGTCGGTGATGCTCGACCACGCAGTCTTGGCAGTCGGCTACGGCACGGACAATAAGACCGGCAAGGACTATTGGCTGGTCAAGAACAGTTGGGGCGAAGACTGGGGCGAGAAGGGCTACGTGCGTATGTCGCGCAATCGCCATAACAACTGCGGCATCGCCACATCAGCTATTTATCCGCTCGTCAAGTAATAAAGTCGCACCGCAGGATAATTGATCACCGCTCGTACCTCGCTATCTGCATATTCACACTTATCGACTTGTCATTTTCGTATTGTAACATATACGTGCCTTGATCAATAAACTATTCCATTTTTTCTTCAGTTTATGCTGTTATTTCATTCTTCGTGGAAATTCTTCGCGCGATTCAAATACGAAAGATCAATCTTTACTATCTATTCCATAGAATTTTCCTAACGAAGCATCTCATTGACATTTTTGAGTACTGACGAATCGAAATTAACGAAAATAACGAATCCAAATCAAATGGCTTTCATGCTATATCAAATCTTTTATATTCTCAGACTTTTCTCTACATCGTTTCGTTTTAATGGCTGTGGGTACCTGAGGACTCCGATGCGCCACAATTCAATCTCTACATCGTATAAACAACCGCACTGGAACAAGTTCAAAAATACATTCTACAGTTGGATACGTTCAGAAGATTTTCACCGAGTGTTTGACGTTCAAAATCGTAAAAATTCATCATGACAATAGTCAAACGTATGCCAACTCATAAATGCCAGTTTAACAGAAATTTTGTATGCCTTGAAATTACTGACTTTGAAAAATTAAAAAACCAAACCGGTAAATAATTATTTTAATTTATTTTAACAATAGATCATTTTGCTGTTCATATAATTGTTAATTTTATCATTAGATTTGCTCGAAATATTTTGTTTCCAAACATATAATTGAAGTTAATTTTCCTCAAATGATTCCGGAAAACATTATAGTTCATTTAAATCCATGCGAATTTTACACGAGACGCCGTGCGCAAGCGCAGGCGCTTCGAATGAAAACGTAAAAGAAACGCTAATCCAATGGCGACTAGTTGATGATCGTATACGCCATGATGCGGGATCGATTGACGTTTTGTTGCTTTTCCCTCCAAGCCGCCAAAATTTCATGTTTTCATTGAAAGTTCATTCGCATCGAATTCACACCAAGATCATTGAACTTTTTTAATTTGGAGTCGTGAGGTGGAGTAGCGTCAAAATGACGGCTACGTTCTACTTGGAGCATTATCTAGACAGTGAGTGTTATTTTGAAAAAAATACGAACATTTCGCACCTAAACTTAATTTTTATGAATGATAGGTGTCTTGTTTAAATGAATATTATTAATCTAACTTTTAATCGTATACCAATAACGTTTCTGTACAACAAGTGCTGATAGACTCTGTGAATAATTCAGCATATCCCTTGAAGAAAAGTACTAAAATATTATGTATTCTAAATGACAATATACATAACTCCAATATGTTGAAAAAATTTATAATAAGTTTTTTTATCATGTGGCTGAATACAATATTTTACTTATACAAATGACAATCTTATTAATTAAAAAATATTGCCTACCATAAAGTAATAACATAGCATTTCACCTTGTTCAATTTTTATTCATTTGAATACTTAGACATCTCTAATAAATTAATTTTAAAGGTTTAGAGCATCTTCCAACTGAATTGAGGAGAAATTTCAATTTAATGAGAGATTTGGACACAAGAGCACAATCTCTAATGAAAGATATTGACAAATTAGCAGATGATTATCTGAAAACTATGAAAAAAGAGTCCAACGAAAAGAAAAAAGAACAGCTAGACAGAATACAAAATTTATTCAACAAAGCAAGAGAGTATGGCGATGATAAAGTACAATTAGCAATACAAACATATGAATTAGTTGATAAACACATAAGAAGGTTGGATTCTGACTTATCAAGGTTTGAAGCTGAAATTCAAGACAAAGCGATAAATAGTAACAGAGCCAAAGAAGAAAGTGGAGCTAGCAAAAAAGGTAGAAAAAAACTAAAAGAAAAAGAAAAACGAAAGAGAGGTAAGTACTACTTGATGTATATGTTTGTTATTTTTCCAAATATCTCTTACTTCACTCTCACTTTTTTTAGGTACAGCAAGCAGTGAAGATGAAGCAAACAAAGGAGCGAGGAAAAAGCAAAAGAAAGGTGCATCAGTTGTGTCAACAACAGGTGCTACAACTGGAAGTGGATCTCAAGGTGATTCCAGTACACTTAGTCATCCAGCTGATGTATTAGACATGCCTGTTGATCCTAATGAGCCTACGTACTGTGTGTGTAATCAAGTTTCATATGGTGAAATGATAGGTTGTGATAATCCTGATGTAAGTATTATCCTATTCTAAATTCTCTTGTTCTACAACTATTGTTAATTTTTTTGAAAATCATTTTTCAGTGTGGTATTGAGTGGTTCCATTTCGCGTGTGTGGGGTTGATAATCAAGCCTAAAGGAAAGTGGTTCTGTCCAAAGTGTACTCAAGATCGAAAAAAAAAATAGACATAAGGAACTGTCATATCTTGATAACAGAGATTTAAACCGTCCTAAAGAACATTTTTTAGGTGACGTGACTCAGTGATTATAAACATTCTTTGTTCAGAGAACAACAAGAAAGTATTTCTGTAAATGATTAGATGAATTTAGAAAGGAGATGATCAAGCTATGTAATTTTTATCAAGATGAATTATCTTGGAATGGCTATAGATCTCCTTTTTTGCAATGATCTCTATTGAGAAAGTACATTTATCGTTTTCATTTTTATTATTGAAAGACATCTTTTGTTGCCTGTTGCATACATTTTATATGCCAATTTCAAGGTGTCTGTCGACTATTTTCAAACCTAATCATTGAATGAGTTACACATGGTAACTATTGTAAGTTTAAATTTTTAAATGTTTTATATTTTATGGCCTTGTACAGTTAATTTATACTTTTGTACAGTGAAATTGCAATAATGTATTGATACAAGCATATGAATTTTAGTAAATCTTGATTTTTTCGTTATTTTTACAATCAAACATTATTGAGTTCACTTTTGCGAAAAATAAAAAAGTATGCTTGCAAATGGTGAAAAACTCGTATTGTTAAATTAAATAATTGTAAAGCGACATAATGTAGTTATTAATTTATATATTGTAATTAATAAATATTTGATTTTGCAATAAAGCAATTTTTAATACAATTCTATTTTTAAAATGCATAGTTTTGTATATATTTACAAATTTTTTTATTTACAAAATATTTATGGCACACTTAGGCACGCAATCTTGAAAATAAATGCTTATAGTGAGAATGTCATTTTAGTTTATCACTTTAATTTAAATAGTAGAAACTAGCTTGATCTTATGCTAAAAACTGCAAGGAAATATCAGTTACTATTTTAACTGTAATTATTTCCAGAGGTTCTATAAACTTTGCTGTATACTATATAATTTACAGAAAACTAGAAACTTTTAATTATTAATTTTCAAAAGTTTAGAATAATCACAATTTCCTTTAATATTAAAGGTTAAGTGTTGAAGGACTTAAGCTTAGTTAAGATTCAAATGTAGAAATGGTGCAACAATTCGTCTAGACAATGAAAAAGTTTGCAAAACCCTTTAGGGAATTCCTGGACGTCTATCACAACATAGGCTAGGTGGTGCAGTCCAATTATATTGGTAACCTAAATACGTACTAATTTCTTGAGCACATAGATTACCAGTTCTAGAGTAAAATTCATATAATTTTTTCATATCCTGTGTGTTTTGTTTATGAGTGACTAAATACTGATTTGAACAACCACGAGATCTATACTCAGTGTCAAATCTTGTATCATGTTTTCTCTCAATATTAGATAGAGGTGCCACCCATAATCCTACTGAAACATCTTCTGAGTTATACAATCTAAAAATTATGAATAGAAATTAAAATAAAATAAAAACCATATTTCTTGAAAATGAGATTGAGTTGCACTCACTTTAAAAAATCAGCATTTTCAGCAATGAATTTAACTAAATTATACGATAATATATATCCACCTCCAAGAGCATATGGTAAATAATAATCACATAAAAACCATTCGGTTTCTTTCCAAGGTCCACTTCTTTTAACTCGAGCCTTGCCATTGAAATATCCCCAATAAAGTTCTTGTCTTGTACCTTTATTCTGCCACTGAATGAGTTCTTTCAGAATACGGTCAACCAATACAAAACTATCATCATCAACTTTTAATAAAAAGTCAAACTCATAAGTTTCATAAATGTACACTAATGACTGCAGAACTTTTTTCGTGATCGTCATGTAGGCATCATGCAGTTTTGGTAGTAACAACAAATCATTATTTTTTTTATTCTCCAAAGCAAGATCCTGCTTTTGCTCTAAAGTCGCACTCATCAATCCTACCGCGAAAAGATGTTTAACGTCGTTTTGCGTGAGAGTCATCCAAGTTTTGCGTATTGTATCCCTTTGATCAATATTATCCGGTGCACTCAGCACTAATGAGATCAGTTGGTACTTTTGTTTATTTACGAATCCGTTGCTCGAGGGACATTGCATCGCTGTTAAATAATGCACAATGATAATCGTTAGTAGAAATACACCAAGCAGTGAGTATAAATTTAATTTAATTTTAGGCATTGTTTAATAACGACTGTTCACTTTTTTAACACGACGAAACCATCATTTAACCGGCTACTGCGCTCATTCATTTCACTGCGGTTGTTTTTCTACTCAGTGCGCAAAATCAGCTGTTTGGCACGTCATATACGCACACACAGTTACACACCAATAAGCTGTTCTGAAAAAATATATAAATAAACGAAAACAAGCATGACAACACGCACTCGTGATTTTAAATGAATTTAATTTTCACTTTACAGGAATGAAAAAGTATTAAACTAATTTAGGACTAGAATTTTATAGTATATGATAGATTATATATTCTGAAGAATAAGAAAAATTATAAATATTTTTCTTTTTATTATTTTTGATGTAATTTGGAATGATATGGCATACTGTGTGAATAAGTAAGTCAATCTGAATTTGTTAATAAAAATTTTTATATTACATTCATTCTTATATGCTTTATAAAACTTTAAACAAAATCATACGATTGGAGATTGATAAATTCTTTCCATACTTACGCATTAAATAGATCGTTTTAAATATAATTCTTTCATCATTTATCACAAAATTTAAATATGGTCTGGACTGAATGTGCCAGATACTTTTTTTGTGCCCACTGTAGTAACACCGAGGTTCGATTAGCGTAAGCAATGAATAAAGACGTTGATTTAAATAATTAAAACAATTAGCATACATCAAATAACATTCAGATGTATGTACATGATTAATATATGTATATGGCGTTCTTAGAGAATATATTTAAGTACATGTACATTTAATTTAGAAAGGCTTGTTACAGTAAATTAACTTTCACAAGAAGGCACGATAAATAATATGATTGAAAATATGTACAGATGAAACACAATCGTAACAGCAAATCCTCACGCGTAATGTAAACGACGTCGATAATATTTATTGCGAACTCTTTTTCGTCAGCTATTAGAATCTTCTTCTATATTGATCTAGAAAAAATGTTTTTGAAATATGTTAATTATGGATTCTGGTATTATCATTTTATATTACTTACTTCAGATAAAATGGCCCAGTTGTCGCTTTCACTGTGGACTGTCAGGCGAAGCACAGCTATCTTTCCTAATTTTTTATCCACAGTTCCTCGGGCTACTCCAAGAGAATCAAATCTACCAATAATAATGTATCCATCTTCTGTAACATTATTATGATTCCTGTTGATAGAATTAGATGATTGTGGCAAAACTTCAACAGTTGTATTGTAAAATTTATCAGAAGGATGCTCAGCATTTCCACTTCTAAATAAATATCTGTAAAAAAATTAATTGAATTCATTTGGAGAAATTATAATAATTTGATTAATTTAATCTAATTAATTCATACATACTTTTTTATAAAAATAGGATGATTAAATTTGAATCTCAAATGATCACCAGGTTCTGGCAAAAGGCCCCAAAAAAAAGATTCTCCTTTATAAGCTTTATTAAGCGTAAATTGTTTATATGACTTGATCTGAGATTCAACAACCGCATCTGGATTTCTGTGGCCATAGTACAAAGTGATTTTACCAAATTGTTTGTCCTGAAAAATTATCATTTTAGCATAAAAATATATATAGTTATAGTAAAATGTAAATTTTTTTTGTATACTTTTAATTTTTGAACTTTTCCTTTTAACGATGAATGAGTACCAACGTGTTGAAACAATGAGGGTTTATAATGAAGCCACAGTTCACCTTTCGCCACTTTACAACGTTTCTATAAGAAAACAAAAATTATATAAGTTTATTAAATCAAAAATCTTAAATAATGATTTTTATGCCCACATTATCCATATCAAGACTGCAAATCCTTGTTGAGATTAAATTATCTAGAAGCCAATCAACTGGCTTGTCATTGTAAAACATTAGAAAAAATTGCACAATTGAAGGTAGATCGGTGCATTTGAATAATTTACCTGAAATAAAATATATTATAATTTCAAAAACTATACATAAAAAATTTCATTCAAAATTCATGAATCTTTACCAATAAAACCTAGTTGACAAAAATCAAGCACAACCCAACTTTCTTTCATACTGACTTTTTGCAAAGCATATGATTTCATTGTAGTGATAAAATTTTTTTTTGCAAGAATGTCATCTTCCAATTGGACATAAAACATTCCTTTAGTGTGTGCATATGACATAAGAAATGCAAAATCTAAATTTTGTTTTGACCTCCAAATTACTCTCTGATGATTATCTCCCATTGTATCTCGTAATTTAGAAAAATCAGGATAATATGATGGATGAGGAGATATAACATCTATTATTCCCAATTGATATTCACTTGGAAACCTGAAATATAATAATATTTATATAAACTGATATTAACTTCAGAAAATATATATTTTTTATTTTTATGCAATTATTTCAATGATACTTTCAAAATTACAGTAATTTTTCAATAAACATATCTAATTTTGTTTTTTTAAATTGCATTTTACATTATATTACGCAAACTAATTTTAATAGCACAGGACATCATATCAACAAAGATAAAAGTTTATCTTGATTTGTTGCACACAGGTATGACTTATAGCTTTAATTCATATATGTTGCAAATAAAAAGAATCCTTATTACTTCTTTATAAAAGTAATTTAGATATTTTTTTCATATAAATGGAATGATTTTTGTAATTTTTATTTAGAATCACGTACCTTCTGTTATTGCATGATAGAAGTTTGAGAGGAAACAGTGACAAGGAATAAAATAGTGATGATGTAGCAAAACAAAACAGGTGACAAAAATTCTTCATGTTATGTATATAGAGAGAAAAACATAAGATGCACCAGGAAAACATGAACTACCAAGAAAGGTGAGTAAGGTTATCTAGAAAAAAGGAGGGATTAAAAAGCCAAATAAAAAAAAATTGAAGTATGTTGAATAACGATTCAAAAAAATACTGAAAAATAATTAGTCAAATTAGTCAATTAAGCACTAATAAAATTCTTATGATGTAGAAAATCCTTAGGTTGTAGAAATATTCTCCAAATTAAAATGCAATGGTTTAATAAAAACATATAATAGGTACTCACTGTACTTCAATTTGTTTTGCAACATAAGACACATAATCCATATCAGTCTGAAAAAAATAAGAGGATATAAGTACTTAATTTCTTTAAATGCACGAAAAATGCCAGTACAGAAAAAATATTGAAAAAATCTATATACATGTATATTTACCTCAGCAATTAATACTACAATGAGAGTATCAGAAGTTTCGACAGGGCTCATTCGATCCAAGAGATTCTTAAGTGTTGCCATTAAGTAACTTTGCACTTCTCTCTTAACAGTGGGGATACCTAATACCATGCTTACTCCGGTTCTTCCTTTGCTATGTATAAAAGCAGGACGTATACTGTTTGGGTCATTGAGTAGATGAGGAAGAAAATTGTATACTGTTGGCAATTTCAAATTGGTGATATTGGTGTTTGAGTTGTTTATAAATGCTTGAATATCAGGTAGCAAATGTGCTCCCTCTGTCAATTGAATTAACTGATAAGTAAGCATCTGTATCTCCTCTTGACTTGTTAGATACTTGGAGTGCAAATGCTCCAATTTGATCTGCAACTCTGCAATACTGTTCTGAAGTATTGTCTCGTCTTGTATATCTGGGGTGGATACAAAATTCAGTATGATGCATGGCACCAGAATCACCACCAGCACAATCAGCCAGCGTCTTCGAGTAGGAGCAAGACTCATTACGTGGGTCATCATTTTCTCTACAATACTCTACATGATGCTTATTTTCTGCAACGTTTAACGGCATCGTGTGACATTCTCTACTGACAAACTATGGAACACCTGCAATGCACACTAGTTATGAATGGCTTGTTAATTCAATAAGCAGCGTATAGCTACTGCTTATACCGCGACAAGAAAATTGACTTCTCATTTAAAAAAAAATCAACTCATTATATAATTCATCGAGTCAGTTAATAACAGTCTTGAACTTAATGGAAAATAAGTAAGTAAACAAGATATCGTCGTTAACTGAATTATGTACGCACATAATATGATGAAAACTCATTAATAATTTAGAGTTTAATAATTTTCACGTTAATAAAAACTAAAATTAATGTTATACACCATGTTTCATCGACGATGAAGCCACGACTCACAGCCACATAACACTTTTCTCCTTCGACGATCGATGGGTTTTTTATCTCCTTTCTCACAGGCACCGCTAGGTGCGATGACTGCGTGTGCAGAAAAATGATCGTATGTAACTTTGCCCTGCCTTCCCGCTTTATATTACGCGTGCCCAACGTAAATATGTAAGTTAACTGCATGTCAGTGATACAAACATTTACACGTGAGATGACTGATATGTGATAAAACACATGATGAGGTTGGTTGTGGCAAATTAGTAGGTCACCAATCGTTTAGGAAGGTAACTATGCGAGGATCGTTTGTTTTGGTGTTAATTTGATAATTAACTAACGACTTTTTCATTTAAGTTTGGCTTTTATTGCAAAATTTTAATGTCTGTTTTTCAATCGGTTAAATTATGATATCACTTTGTTTTCCCCGTTTTACAACGAATTTAAATGACGAAGAGATTAAAAAAAAACTTGAGAAATTACATCTTTACTGTTCTACTCCAATGTTAGATAGCCAATTAAGCGAACCAAAAAAAGATAAAGAATTGAAATTATTTTCCGAAATTATTCATAAAGCTTCTTGTTCTCAGTTGCTGTCTCAAGATTTTAATGTTTTGGTTAATTGTGCCATAAAAATTCTCTCAAAGTATTCGCGTTATCATATACCAGACATTGAGGTATCTGGGAAGAAACAAAATAGTATCTATCAAGTTGCAAAAGATAATTTTGTCAAGTTACTTAGTATTTATCCAAAAGAAAAACTAGATGATGTTGCTAAAATTGTTCTCACTATCATCGATAATCAAAATTTCTGGCCGACAAGAAAACTGTGCGCTGAGATCATTATATGTTTAATTGATCTTGGAATATCTGGATCATTAGTTTATCATGAATTGTGCGATAAGATTGAATTTCCTAATGTTTCTACTGATGTAGATATTAAGCTTGTTGTTAAAGTATTGTATGAATCACTTGAAAATTACAAATGGCCTGAAGATGAGGAAACTGTTATTTTTCTCAAAAGACTTCTCAATATGTTCAATAAAAGTTTAAAAAGTGCATCTAAAAAAACCAAAGATATGGCTTACACAAACTTGAGAGCTTGTTTAGAACTGTCTGTTCGATACTTGATTCGCAATATAGCTAATAATCATCGTATGGTTGCCATAGAATACATGAGCTCATGGGCAATAAAGAAAGATATGTATGATGATTTCATTTTAAATTATGGAAGTACTCTTGAATATGCTGCATATATGCATCAAGGAACTTCACTGACAGACACTCTCAATGCTGATATTTTATCAATGTTGATGCTGATGATTGGATCCAATATTCGATTTGTATCTTTACTTGGAAATAGAATTTTTCAATATCTCATAGACAGTAATAAGAATCAAATGTTGTTCAATAATCCAAAAATATTTTTTCAAGGTATGCATTTGAGTATGAAACCTTGCAAGTATAATAGAGAAGATAAACAACTTTTAAAGAAACATAGAGAAATCATACATGAAAGTTTAATTAGAAGTTTTGTCAATCACAAATCAACACGTTTGAATGTAGAGACTACTTATTGCACTGTATGTTTGTTGATTGTTGCAATACCCTGTGGTTTTACTGCAGCAGCTATATGTTGTCTTATGATGAATCTGCAAGACATTGTTTTAAATAAATTGGAAAAAACAGGTTTGAAAAAATACTCAAAAAAACAATTATGAATTGACCAATGATTTATATCGTAATTAATATATTAGAAAGGAAAGAATTATACCATCTACACGCGATTATAATCTCAGTGATAACGTTTATATGCTGGATCGAGGAGGCTGAACATTTTCACGAGTACATGAACAAAATAGTAATGGAAAGAGCGCAATGGGCGCCACATTTAAATCCACCGCTTCAGTCGTATTATAATTTCGCGTCACATCATTTGCTATGGGACAAGCCAGAATTATTTCCTATCGACTGGGAAGTACGTTACGGATTGTGGAAACGATTTAGACTCAATATATCTACTAAAACTAAAAAAGTCTTATATGTGGTTGATAAATAATAATGCATAGTTTATATAATTACAACAAATGTCTAAACTCTTCATTTTTAAAATTTTTAAATAATAAATACATAAAATCCTATTTTCTAGTCGTGCAATTATTTGCACAAGTAACGGTCGCAAATAAATCTTTCATCGGTAAAACAATAATTCAAAAATTTACATATGTACATGTATAGGTGATGCTATTTATAAAACTTTTTTTTCAAAAAGCACGATGTACAAAATTGTATTTACAAACAGGATTCAACAACTAAATCTATTTGCAAAATTATCTACTATTCGAATTTATGAAAGTCTATAGTATAAAATATAACATTATTATAACATTGCGCAACCGATTCAACAACATTTTAAAACCACACGTTCCCAAGGTCATCTTCTGATGGTTGTGGAATCGGGTGCTTTTCGATTTTTATATCGGATCGTTGCTCCTCCTCATCACTTTCAGACACAGCCAAATCATCTTGTATTTTGTAATCATCTTTTCTAGCAGGTATTGTAGTGAAAAATGCGTCAGACGGGTCATAATTAGAGTCGACACTCTCCTCTACAAAAACAAATTATTAACATTAACGTAACAAAAAAAATACTACGTAGCGATAAATGGATGTGAGAGCCAACGAATATTGCTTATAGCGCAAAAATAACTTTTGAAGGTTGAAAATGCAGATATTAAATATATATATATACCAGCGTTATTTAAAGGCTGTTCAAGGGAGTACGATCCAGCATTGCCGAGCTGAATCATAGCTTCCGCAACTTGTTGACTATCATCGTCAGCAGGTAACTCATCAGGCGCCACTTCTATAGGCATCAGAGGTTTTAACTCAGTAGCTTCGAATGTATCGTCAACTCCAAACGGTACTTCATCAAATTCATCTTCGCTTGAAAATTGTAAATCTTCCTCTAGCACATCCTTTTTCTGAATAGCTGCAGGTTTGCCAAGTTCAACATCTATGTCGACACCCTCAACGTCAACAATATCACAATCGTCCATATTTGATTTGAAAACGTGCTCTGGAGAATTAATTTGGCTCTGAAGCAAACGTGTTATCTTTAACAACAGTTCTAAAATATTGGAAAAATATGAAGGCAAATACATACTCCTTGAAATTCGGGTTCGGGAATTGTGTAGTTCTCCTCGTCGGGCATCCACGAATCATCTTGTTCCATAGCTTTTTGTTGCGTTTTCATAATACTCTCTTCCAGCTCAGTTGCGCGTTGTGGCAACTAAAATATTTTTCATATATAAAAACAAATTCTTTCAAATATAAAAATAAAATTAAAAATCTTTAAACATACATTAGTCAGATAGTCTTTGACAGCTCTTAACAAAAGGTCAGCTTTGAGAGTTAACGGTGAAAGTTCACCATTGTACACGGTGCTGTTATCGTAGATCTGCTGGAAATCCCTGATGATTTCCCCGCGAGAATGATACTTATGCGCCAAACACTTCTTATGGATGGTTTCAATATCCATAGGATTCCGAATAATATTGTAATAATCCTTGATAACTTTCTTGTTAACGGGCTTGAGAAACTGCGTGGCTTCAGGCATTATTTTTACCATATTCTCAATCATTGACGTGAGAATGTACGTAAACGCGACTTGATCGTTATCATCAAGCAACGGATTGATAGCTTTCTCTAATCTCATTATTTTGTCTTCCTTATCCGCTACCAACTTTACACACATATCAAGCATACGCTGTGCTAAATCTGTTAAAATGTGTTTAGGTCCGTTGTATAAAGAACTGTTTAGCTTGATTTGATTCATGTCAGCCAAGAAATCCTCCCGGCTTTCGTACTTCTTGTCACGAAGTTTGTCTCTGATTGTCTGCAGATCAATCGGTTGCGTTATTATAATATAATAATCTGGAACTGCTTTTGAATTGACAGGAAACCAAAATGGGGCAAAATCTTTGGTAGCGCGTATATTATTAATGATATCTTCGAAAATAGACGAGAGAACGATAACTGGATCCGTTCGTTGACGATTCGCGCCTGCTGGTCTTTGGTAGCGCTTGACGTAATCAAACTGATCATCGTCAAGTTGCCGTTTGCGTTTTCGTGTTGATGATGATACATCTTTAGGTACTTTAAGTAATAACGTTCGGCGTTTCATTTCTTCAGCGTGCTAAAAAATCAAATTTTTTATAAGATTACTATTTTATAGATTCAAACATCCCTAAAGTACAAAAAAAAATTGTACGTTTACCTTGATAAGTTTCGACGACAGCTTGACTTTGGTACCGTCGACGTTAACGAGATCCTGATCGCCTGGATAGAACTGTTTTTCTGTCTCATCCTCTTGATCCTCGCTCGTGACCGTAGCTGTCGGGGTAGATGGACCTCCGCCGAAATTGTTTTGATATAATGGACAAGCTTTATTGGTTCTCATGTGACCGACGTTACCACAAGCGCCGCATTTAAGCTTGAGATCTGGTTTTAATTTGAATTTTTTGCGTTTAGAGGGCGAGGACGAAAATAATTCGGATTTGAAAAGCTTGTAGCTTGGAGTGTGTGATTGGAATGGAGATTGTTTGTTAGATGGAAATAGGAAATTACTTGTGGAAGTGTTGCCATCAAAAGAACCGCTTATCGGCGATGAGGCACCACTGTGATCGATTGGACTTGACGGTAGATTCAAAAGATTAAAGTGGCTGGAACTGTGACCACCGGCAAGCATCTTTTCACGTTCTTGATTACGTCTAATACGACGCAATTGTTCTTGAATACGACGCTTTTCTCGTTTCATCTCTTCCTTTTGTGCTTCGTCTATTGTAGCAAACTGCTTGATAAACGACTCGTCTTTGGAGTTGCGAATTTTAAGGTACGTGTCAATCACAGCGGGTTTACGTACGATTTCTGTACGCGTGAACACTGAACCGTCGGCATTCCGATATGTTCTGTAAATTTTCAACACTCGACCTGATTGAGTGTTGAAATTTGAGCTTGAATTTTCATCCTCGTTGGCATCCTTCTTCTTGTCTTTGAACTTTTTATCATCTTGCGTATCTGTTATTTAAATAAATACATTCTTTTTAACAATTTTTTGTTATATATGAAATGAAAGCTTACAAATAGTTGCTAAACAAACCTGAATTATCGTTGTTCATCATCATTTTCTTCAGCTCCTGTCTCTGCTGTTCCTCTCTCTCGAGAACTAACTGCGTGCTTGTTTTTTTATTACTTAACATGTTCTCGATATTTTTACCCATTTCCTCGATATCCGAGCTGTCCTCGTCGGAACTCTCTCCTTCATCGGTACTGAGGACTTCGTTAGACGACAGAACACGATTTTGCAGATCGAAGATACGTTGACATTCTTCCTTATAACGTTCCTGATGTTCAGCGATAGAGAAGCGATTGCCTCGTGAAAATTTGGTCATGCCCTCCTCGCCAGCTTTTGCTTTCTCAGTTGACAATGTGCGCACAACGTCGATAACTTCCCATCGCGAGAGCTTCTTGATCTCTTCGTCCGGTACACCAAATTTGCGAAGAAGAGCTTTGGCGTTGTTAAGTGATAAACGACGCAAGTCGGCGTCTGTACCTGTGACCGTTCGCTTTGGTTGAGCTTCTTGCTCCTCCTAAAAATATATAATAAATTTGAATATTCTATCAAAAATGAATCGCACGTATATACAAATCAAGTATAATTTTACCTTGCTGACAGTGGGTTTGTTAGGAACTCTAACGTATGAAAATCCTTCTCCCATACCGGTGGGATCAGCCGGACCAGTTAGCTGAAGCAAGCATTTACCCTTCATCGCTTGTATATAGGCACGTGTGGTATTCCAAGGGGCTACTTTGATCTCGTCATCCATTTTCAATTGCATTTCTTCATCATCGTCGTCTTGTGGCGTGAACAGGAACTTCTCACCATAGCCAGCATCTTTTAATCTTTGCTCTGCAGCTATCATACTGAAATATGCGCAGCATTGTTCGGGAGATACCATCGCGCGAATTTCCTCTTCGGTGGGTAAACGAAATTCTGGTTTGATGACCCACCAATTTGAGTCCATTCCTACAAGAAATCAAAATATTAAATATTTTTATAAAAGAGCTTTGTATTATTTATTCACGCAATGATAGTCAAGCATTGAACTATAACCTGTTCTCTTAAAATCAGCACAAAGTTTTAACCTCTTCCTAATACTACTTTCACTGTGCGAAGGAAAAGCTCTCTTGATATCATCCATTTTTATCCTTCTCGGATTATCCTTGGATTTCCAAAACAATCTATATATAAAAACTTGCAGAAAATCTCTTACAAAGTTATTAGCCCTTTTAGAATTGGGTCCAGGCACTTCATACAATGGACACTCCTGTCCTGCTACAAATAAAGCATCAATCTCTCTAATATAATATTGATCTCGCGTTCTAATCACGAGAAAATCCGTCTCATTGACTTTGTGCTCGTAAAGTGGAGCTCTGTACATATTATTCTCCATTGTTTGTATAGTTTGACCTGGTGTGAGTATACCAAGAAAAGGACTGGTGTGCGCGTATGATGTCTCCCCATATTTGTATTCGGGTGGACCGGTATCTTTGCCAGCTTTGCGTTTGTAATAGTTCTTGATTTTTGAGCACATGCCTACTTGATTGACAAGTGGCGGATGCTCCTCCGAGAATTCGATCAAGACTATTTCACCATCACGGCCGGTTAAATCCTTTGGTGTACGCATGAAAAATACATCACCACCACCCGAGGCTATTCGCTCTTGTTCGCGCAACTGCAAATGCAATGTTCAAAGCAATGAGTAAATATTTAATCATTCAATATATCAAAATAATGCATTTTAGTGTAATTATGAACGTTGTTTTACTTTTGCCTGCTTTTTAATGAATTTAATCAGAGGCAATACACCGTGCGGACCTGGATGAGCCAAAATACCGTGACTGAAACGTTTAAGAGGTGGTCGATGAAAGTTCCTGAGACGCATTGGTCCCATGTGAGTTGGTACAAATGGAGTTCGTAGCTCGACTACCGGAGTGCTGTGCTGTATAAGATTGCCACCACCAACTTTCAATCTTATAGTTGTTTCTGACGACTTAGGCATATAATATCTGCAAGACAAAGTAGCAGATGTTTGATTGTGAACATTATTTTATTGTAATGAGATAATATGGAAACTTACGTGTCGTTTGAAATATTAAAAGGATCTTGATTGGTAGGTGACTTTGGTGGTGGTGGTGGTGCATCCTCTTCTAAAACATTGATCACACCAGCTTTGCCAAGCAGCAGCTTACTTTTCTTCACATGAGGGTGAGGAATTTTAACCTTTGGTTGAGGTCCATCATTTTTATGTAATAAAGCCGGGTCAATGTCATCTGGAATGCCGAGGATAATATTTTCGTCATTCGGATCGAGAGTGAGAATTTTCGGTTTAGGTATTTTTTTCATGGACTCGGCATCCCAGATTATTTCTTCTTCCCATAAACCATAGACAAGCTCTTCGTTTTCGACGGGGAAAATCGAATACCACGTGTCATCATGGTACTCATTGGATTGTCCTTTACCAATGGCTCTGTGTGAATAATCATAAGTTTTTATTTGAGCTCATTAAGAATCAACGATTGGTGATAAACTTACGATTTATTTTTTTGAATTTGCATATGAGTAGGTGTAGTAATCTGTGAAGTCGCTAATCTTACATTTGGAGTGACTTGACCAGGTAGCACTTTTCCTGGCTGACTAAATGATTGCGCCGTTCTGTTGTCGCTTGAAGGTATCCAACCAGCGGCTTTATTTCTTGTATTTAACTTGTTTCTCGTCTAAAAAATAAATTTCAATCTTATAATAAATAAAAATTTGTTATTAAAATTTTTTTAAACATACTTTATGTTTGATATCATCACCATTCCAGATTACATCATCTTCCCAATGCAATTGTGAAACCATAAGGAAAGCTTCTTCATCAATATGCTCATCTTTAATAGGCTTATCATTTTCTACTTTCTCGGCTAGCTTGAACCCATAGTTAAAACCTTCTCCAGTATTAGGCACTTCAAGAATGTCATACCAAATTTGTGCTGGCCCAAATCTCCAGTCAGCCACTTTAGGCCCTGTATCATTTTCACCAATATCTCCAGGACTCTTCTCTTGTTCTTTATCCTTTACAGGTAATAATAATCTTTCTTCGTCATCTTCATCCAACTGTTCTGAAGTAGGTTCTGTTCCATAATTCATCACCCATCCCTAAAATTTAATTATTAAAATTTAATCATTAAAATTCAAATAAATCAAAATATATTTATTCAATACGTATGCAAATAGAATGTATAATTACTTTGAATTTAGTTCTTTTGTTTTCTTGATCTGATCCAGAATCTGAATCTTTAGTATCCTGTATTCGTTTCTTCTTGCGTCTCTTTCGTACACCTCTCCAGATTTGTGGTAAACTACTTGGTTTTCCAGGTCCAAACAACTTTGAAAACCTGAGAACCTTCCCTGGACGAAAATCAGGAAAAAGTTCTGTAACATCAACATCAGCATATTTAGATGGTAACATTGATGCAAGAGGAGTTTCAAGTCTTCTTTTTATTGCTGCCTCTTCTTCCTCAGCAGTTAATACTTCTTTTTCCTCGGGTACAGGAGGAGGAGGCATTAAATCTTTGTCTTGTTTATGATCTAAATCTTCATCATCAGCATCATAATCTGTTTCTTTTTCAGATTTTGTTCCATTCAACATTCCTAAAATCATAACATTTGCTTGAGTAAAGGTCTCATTTAGAATTATAATAACAAATATAACACATTGTATATTGATATACCTTGCTGAGGATCTATACAATCTTCAGCTAGTTCATTAATATCTGAAAAATCAAGAGCCTCAGGATCTTTAACGAAATAATCAACATCTTCTGCTTCATCGTGTTTAGGTTTTCCATTCTCCACAGGTTCCTTGTTAGACTCTTCACTGTTGGATTGGTATTGTTCTTTTTTGTCTGCTTTTTCCTCCGACATAATCTCTTGCAGTAAAGAGCCAAGCCCGAAATGACATAGCGATGAAAGATGCCGCTTGGCATTCGGATCAAGAATATCATTCTCCAACTGACCATTCTCGTCGATGTTACCGAACATGAAACCAGTCAAACTCATCTCAGACTCATAATCTCTGTCGTTATCCTCATCTGAGTCGGCCATCCTAGCGACTGTTTTTTAACCAACAACACAAACGCAGAGAACAACGTTGTCTTAATTTTATATATCAAAATACTCTCAATATATAGAATATGTATAAGTTCGAGGTTATATTGATAATCTTGGTATTTGTCATCATATTATACGCTAAAAAATATAAGGTCTTTTAATATTTGTATAGATTGTTGAATCAGAATACATTGTCACGCATAAATAAAAATATGCCAGATTTGTGACTACCAAAAATTAATAAGAAAATAAACAAAACATAACGTGGAGTGAGAGTTCTTAAAACCACGATGTGATCAGCTCTAAATTATATCTTCGACTAATAACCTGATAAATTTCAATTTATTAATATATATATATATTCATATATATATATATATATATATATATATATATATATATATATACACACACACACACACACACACACACACAATACGCGCAACGCACGCACTCGCCACACATGTGTGTTATTAAAAAACCGCATGCGCCACGCATGACAATTACTGTGTATACTTCGTACATGCGCGCACAGTTTAAAAGGAATAATCAATAGTGTGACAAATTCTGTTTGTTTGAAAAAAAATAATATAAAAAAATTCATATTTAAAAATGTATCTATTTTTCATTATTCCTTAATTAATTTGCAGAAAACACTTGTTGCTTTGTTAATTAATTTAAAATTTATACATCTCGCTACGTATTCTACCTATGATCTTTATTCGCCAGTTGTTAGGTTACGATACTCGAAACGAGGTTTCATGATTGGTCGACTGATTGAACAAACGCGCTATGGCCGACTGCAACTCTCGGAGTCTCGTCATATAGGTATAGTTTAATTACGAATCGACCTCAACGGAGCGAAATAAAATTCGCGGGATATTGTGAGTTTGTTTGGTTTTTCTGCTCAGCGTTGATCCTGAGAGTCACTGCTACAATCTACGTCGTCGCTGTCGGCAAACATGTGAAGGTGTATAAGTTATTAAGTGGTGAGCGCAGAGTAAGAATCGGGAAAGAAACAGAAGAAAGCCTAAAGTGTGCGGCGTCAAGCTAACCTCTAAAGTCAGACGACGCAATGGCGGTAGGCTCGACGAAGGTCGTCCAAGTGACCAACATTGCACCTCAGGTCACTAAGGACCAGATGCAAACGCTGTTTGGTTATCTGGGTAAAATTGAGGATATTAGATTGTATCCGACTATCAGGGATGTCGCTGTGCCCGTGCAGTCGAGGATCTGTTACATCAAGTTTCACGACCCCACCAACGTCTCTGTTGCCCAGCATATGACCAATACCGTCTTCATCGACAGAGCACTCATTGTTACACCTTGGCAAAATGGTGATATTCCTGATGAGCAAAGGGCTTTGGAGCTTACGAACAATGGCACTATTGTTCCAGGTATTTTACTGTTTATTACTTTCACTTGTTTTAACAATATTGAGTAACTTTACTTGAAAAAACACGAAAAAATTAAATCTCCAATTCTCATTTTAGGGCTTTACCCTGCTGAACCAAAGCTTCCACCTCATGTAGTCAATTCAATTGAAGGCATCCCACCAAATCATGTAATCTCTACAATGGATCCTAAGCTAGAATCTAATGGTTTGCCTTTGTATCCAAACTTGCCTGGACACTTGGATTCTAGAAAAATTGAAGAAATTCGTAGAACACTAGTAATTGGTAATCTAGATTCTTCAACCACAGAGCAGCAGGTCATAGATTTCTTTAGTAGTAACAATCTTGAGGTGAAATATGTGCGTTTGTGCACCAGGGATTCTGATAATGATCACTATGCTCTAGTTGAATTTTCTGAGCAAGGGTCAATTGTGCCTGCTTTGCAGCTCAATGGTCAAAATCTCAATGATAAACCATTAAAGATGACTCACTCAATACAGGCTATTGCTAAGCCAGAAACTAAAAGTAATGAGGCTGCTCAGAAGGAGATTGAGGAAGCAATGTCAAGAGTAAAGGAGGCACACAACCTTATCTCAGCTACTATTGATCCTATGATAGGCATGTTATCCAAAGATAAGCGTAGCCGCAGTACTTCTCGTGGTAGGAAAACAAGGTAATTTTCATAATGTTGATAATCTAAATACAGATAAAATATATGTGTCAATCTTTTGGCTTATTTTACTCATAAATTATTCAGAATTATAACTCAATAAATTTTTAGTTAATTTTTATTGTTGACTGAAATATATTCCTTACTTAATTACTTTCATTTATATTAAGATAAAATCAGCAAGAAAATCTTTATAATTTTTGTTAAACAATTTACCAAGAATGTATTTAATTTACTAATTTAATTTATTTACAATAATGCAATTTAGTTGATAACACTTCATTAAATTATTATTTTTTTATTTAAATTAAATTATTTACACGTTCAGTCATTTTATAAAATTAACTAAAAAAATTTATAAATCCACAAAATCTTCACTACATTAATAAATAAATTACTATAATTATTATTGATAGAGTTTCAATCGAATCGTAATTTTGCAATTTTTCTAGATCGCGCTCCCGTGGTCGCTCGAGGAGATCTCGCTCTCGCAAGCGTTCGCGGTCCCGTCATCGTCGCTCACGTTCTCGTGGACACCGACGTCGCTCAAGATCACGATCACGCAAACGTTCAAGATCCAGAGACTCAAGACGACGCAAGTCGAGATCGCGTAAACGTAGTAGTTCTAGAACACGCCATCGTTCAAGATCCAGAGATCGCCGATCGAGGTCGAGAAGATCAAGATCCAGGTCCAAGGACAGAAAGAGGGACAGGAAATCACCCGAGAGGAGGTCAGTTTCATTCATGGAATCATCTTCAGTTAGCTAAGTGTATTATATTTTTCTAATACTTAATATATTTGTTATTTTTTCAGAAAACGAAGTCGTTCACGTTCACGCAGTAGGCGTTCAAAATCAAAATCACGCTCTCATCGCTCTCGATCCAAATCAAAATCGAGATCTTCCAAGTCCAAGTACTCAGAGAAATCTCGCGATAAAGATAAGGACAGGGATAAGGATAAAGAACGAAGCAAAGACAAAAGTGAAAGCAATGGGAAAAGTAAGAGCAGTAGCAGCAATAGCAAAGACGATCGGGAGAAGAACGATGACAGCAGTCGTAGTTCTGAAAAGAAATCCAGGGATAAGGAAAAGGAGAGGAAAGCTGAGAAGGAAGAGAAAAAGTCAGAAGACAAAAGTCGCGCTAGTTCTGAATACAGCGACAAACAAGATAAGGATAAACACGACTCTGAGAAAGAGAACGTATAAATTATATTTATTCACGTTAGTGAAAGAAACAACTGCACAACTCGGGTACGCAATTCCTTTTCCCCCCTCCTAATTATCCATCGTGCCCGTTCCTTTGTTTTTATCTTATCTTTTTCGGTTGTTTATTTTTGTAGTCGACAAAAAATTCAGTCTGGCAAACGATTTCAATAACCCTTGTCTGTGTAAAATATGTCATGTATGGCTTTAATTTTATAAGTTTCAACTTTATTTGTATAAAAAGAAAAACATACGAAGAAATGATTATACTTTGAGAAAGGTCAACAATGCATTTTTCTAAGATTTCTATTAACTACCAGTCTCGCTCTGCTTTTCACAACATACACATTATATCTATATATATACACACAGCAGCAATAACAAAGAAACAACAAGACACAACTATTACAATATCTATGTTCGTTTAGTCATGAGCACACGGAAGGGCTTAGGGCTTGCGGTGACACCGTCGACGTACTCGTTGCGCGGCGGATCTTCGCCTGGCACTGGCGCGAACGTGAAGCTTTGAAGTAACGCCGCTGTTATTACGAACACGTTGCTCTTAGCTAGCACTTCTCCTATGCAGCGGTGTTTGCCTAGAACAAAGCGTTATTATTTTCAAGGAGCCGTGGTGATGTTTTAATTAATTAAAATGCGTATTTGTACAAATAAATTGAATGTCTTTTCAATTAAAGAAAAATGAAATTACATTGTTATTTGTTTTCTTTTGTGCATTATACGTACCGAAACTGAATGGGAGAAATTTTTCGGGTAGAAATAATTTTCCAGATTCGTCGATGAAACGCTCGGGACGAAATGCCTCTGGATCGCCCCAAAAGTCACCCATTAGAATTTGATTAAAGTTCACCACTAACATTGTATCCTGTAGTTTAATTGCTCGTTATTTTCGATGAGTAAAAATGTGTTTTTATTTTGTCTGTGAAAAATTTACCTTAGGTATTTTGTATCCCATAATGGTAGTGTCTTTCGTGGCTCGATGAGGTACATTCATCGTTCGACCCATGAACATTCTTATTGATTCCCATACAACCGCATTCATGTAAGGCAATCTGTGAAAACATAGTAAATTATCATAACATTTTACTATATTCGGAAAATATTGTAATTCTACTTGCTATATCAAACGCTATATATACCTTCGCAGATAATTCATAATTCACAAAGGATATCTTAAATATGAGTCGTTTGAAAAGTCCGTGCAAAAATAAAAACTGCTTCGTTCTTTTAATAAAGTAGTAATGTATCCATATTTCAACCACAGTGATGAAACGACGCTTAAAGCCCTGCGGATATCACTGGAATAGCTGCAGATCGTTCTTGCAACACTTCACACCATTTGGTCAATTGTGAGCAATCGCGGCACCCACCTAACGGATAGCTTTTTCACGTCCAAACGTTGATGCAAAATATTATTTTTCGACACTCCGTGCGCAAAGTGCGCCTTTCCCGCACGCTCGGCAGAAAACGTGCGTTGAAAATTCCACACGTCGTATCAAAAAATACGGTACGGCAAATGTTCGGGAAAGAGTTTCTTGCCTCGTGTACCTTTCCACCCTCGCTTCGCTCGGGCTTAAATGCCACACGAGACAAGAATCTACTTTCCTGCACTTGTATCGTAATGTACTATACCCGTTCGCTCAAGATATTTACAGCACTAACAATCTCACGCACCTTCACTCTTCTGTTAGCCATCACCGTATCATGGATTTTATCAATGATTTCTGGAGTGGTGACCTCAACAGGTCGTCCAGAACGTTCAGCGTCTTTAGTGTTCATATGACAACTCCGAAAATTTTAAAACTATTTATAAACCATTCTAATTGAAGGTGCACGATCATCGTAATGTTTATCAAGCTTCTGTTTCATCTTCTGAGGCATTTTGCCTTTAATAAAGTAATGTTTAATCATTACACGAAATTCTTTATCGTTCATTTTTTACAATCACTCGATTTCTTTGATTCAAATAAATGTTATGCACGAAGTAATAGACCCTGGCTGAAATTTGGTGTGTGCTTTTCCAAGAGATGCTACTAAATGAAAATAACCTCGATATACACCAGTAGTGCTATATCTCTGACTTTGCAAGGGTTTTTCAAACGACCCTCGTATATTAATTATTCTCGTCGTCAAGATAGGCGTTAAAATGAGAAAAAGACAATTTCACGATTGACGTGAATCTTCAGAATAAAACAACGAGATGTCTAATTTTAGATATGACCTATAAAAACATGTCCAAATTCGATCGAATAATTTTCCAAATAGACTCACTTAGCCCTGTCGTTCAAGGACGGTAACCTTTCGCGTCCGACGACTAAGTCGAGCTCGTGTTGGGCCTTCTTCTGCACTTTCGGATTGAGCACGAGATAGAGAAAGCCAAAGCTTAGGGCCTTGGATGTTGTTTCCGAACCGGCGATAAACAGGTCTACACATATCGCCAACAGTTGACTTTCTGTAACACGTTTTTTAAGAAAAGATTTTCTTATGCAATGTCAATTTTTCTGAGCTTAGTAAATTATTTCAATATTGAAAAAAATACTCGAGTAGTTGTTTTATAATACTTTTTTAATCTTACTGCTTTATTTATTTTACTTATGAAAAATGAATATGTATGAAATTGCATAACGATAGTGTATAGAATAATTACATATACTCTCTATTATCATATATTTTTTGGCAAAAACTGTCTGTCGAAATACAAGATGCGATTAAGATGAATTTTCGAGGACAATCATGAAAAATATGCTTTCATTCTTTTACCGGTGAAAGTGTGATCATAATCTGGATTGCCAGACTCCAATACGTTCAAGTAAACGTCCATCAAGTCTCTCGGTGCTTCTGGTTTAAAGGTCTTTTTGTGATTGTCCAGCTCATTCTATTTTTAGATTAAATAACCGAGTTAGTATGGAAGAATTATGCAGAAAAAAATATAAAGTATTTATAAACTTACACGTAGGAATTTCCAAACTTGCGCGTGAATCTCGACAAATTTTCTGTAGCCTGACATTTCAGGAGCTATGTATCTGAGAAAAGGAAAATGGCCAAAGAGGCAGCCAAACATGTCAACATCACGAAGGAGCCTGGTAAAAATTCTTTGCAGATAAATTAATTCTTCGTCGTTGAAATTGTACCTGAAATCGTGTTATTTAATTTTCAAAAATCAAAATTGATTAGCTATAAAAAAAATTGTTTGTGTTATTTGGAAAGTATTTTGTTTCATCAAGAATACTTTGTTTTATAAGTTTTATAAGTTCATCGTTTGATTTTAACTTATTCCAGTCACAGTATTCTAATTTAACGCAGTTATAACGTCGGGCTCATTATTTAAAGTGTAATTGGATTCTCGTTAATAAAAATTGGTCAAAACAAAATCTCATCATTGTCAGAATCATGTTACCATCGATATAATTTCATAAAAAATGAAAACATAAATTTATTATCTCAGGTCAATAATTACTTCAATTTCAATAATAAGAAATAAACTAGATAAATCAATTGTGAAAAGCTACACCAAAAATGTTTGACAATAACAATTCAAATGCCATTTCGGAAAAATATTTTATTACACCGATCACAGAGATGAAAATAATGGTCAGATCTTACCTCTTGCCAGCCATCATAGTCCACAACGTATTCAGCACCGGCACTCCAAAAAAGTCTTCCATCTCGACAATGATACCAGGCACCTTGGCAGCTTCCCTAATTTCGGCATCATCATCAATCTTCATGTAAAAATCTTCAGCAGTAATTGACTTCTTCATCGGAACTTCTTCCTCTGTCTTCTCTTCTTTATCTTCTTTCTTTAAATCACCTTCAGCTAAACAATAAATTTTCCCGTTACATTTTGCCTTCTTCTGTGCTAGTTTACCGTCGACGTTGTTGTTGAAGCGATCGTAAAATTCACTAGCGTTATCGCGAATCAAGCCCTCGTAGTACTTGACCAATTGGGCTGCTTCGAACTCAATCTGTAGTGCCATGTCTGTACGACCGAAACCAAAATCACGAAGTTGCCGGAGGATGAAACGACGCTGCTGCGTCCATAGATGGCCGTCTACTACTATTAGCCCTAAAAAATACCATCGACTTAATGTTACTTTCAAAGTGTTATGTTATTGTTAAGCTTTACTATCAAAAGATGTACTTTTCTCTTTGATAAATACAACAATTTTCTTGTCACAATGAAAAGTAATTCTTTTTGCAGTACGTAAGTTATATATATTATTGTTGACGTTTCTTCATATAATACATATTTTATTTTTTAAATCCAATGTCACCTTACATTTACATCAAAAACTTATAATTATTGCTGTAAGTTAACATAAATTGTCGAATTTTTTTTAGTTTACGTATCACAAAATTATACGTCAAGTGATCTTTAGAAAAACAATAAAGAAGGAACGCTTAAGAAAGTACAAGATCTGCATTATCTTACGTAAGCTCACGGCGAATGTTATGGCAGCTATAAAGTCCTACTTTTGCTTCCGCCAAGTAGTAAATTATCTCGCTCGGCGGTTCTTATTATATGCTCATTACGTTTGATCTATTCATATAAAAATCTGTATTTTTCATAAATTTCGTTTATATAAATCGCATTTTTCCATTGCTCATAAATATATATAAATTGCATTTATGCATATAAGTGCATTACGCCTAGAAGAAATTGATTCAAAACGAAATGTAGGAGGAAAATAAAAAAGCGAGTATTTGTAGAGATAGCAATGAAGATATTTAAAATCACGAATAAATGCAATGATGTTCACCTCGACGTTTGCCAAACGTGCGTGATTCGTAGACAGGCCCGACGGGTCTACCGTCGCAATCTTCGTTCGTTATCATTGCCTTCATACTTTCAAAGTCATTCAAAATAACGATCTTATCAAATCCAATCTTCAGTCCAATGATCGATCCATATTTGGCGCTGAGGATGTTGCATGATTCCGAAAAGTAGCCAGTTTCTTTCCGTAGCTTTGAAACTTCGAGTAGAGAGCCTAGCACTGGTAGCCATTTCGGTCCTGCAAGCGTTTTCATCTTTAGATTTGTCTAGTAAGCTCTATTTAACTTACATCGTACAAGTTACCTGGAGGAAAACCTCTCGGTTTTCTCGTGCTCAAATAGTACAGTAAGACGAGGACCGAACACAGTAATGCTACTGTCACTAAGCCACTGAAAAGACAAACGAATAAAAACAATGACCACCGACAATCATGAAACTGCTAAAAACAAAGAAAAGAAAGATCGCAAGTGCTGTCGTGAGAAAAAAAAAACGAATTGCAAAGCAAGTGAAACGGGTATGCTCAAGTGTACGACGGATCTCCATGCCTGGCAAGGAGAAAGTTGCGCATGCATGTCCACGCGGAAGGTGCACTTTTATCCGGAGATAGAGAGGAGCAGTACGTAACCGCATCCGTTGCGCAATGCCAATACAAGCACATCTCGAATTTTTCCCCGCGCCTCCTTCCGAATGAGTAAGTGCTTTTGATTTATCGAAGAAAGCTGATCCAAGAGGTATAAATAATCTGATATTTTATAAAAGTGTTTCAGGAATTACGTAAGAAATGAGAAAAGTGATGTTTTTTCGTTTTGTTTACGACGCATTGTTTAATGAAATTATGTACCCTTTAGGAAAAAAAAGAGGTGAACATTTTGTAATTCATCGTCAATCTCTCGATCTGCGGCAATTCATTCATCTTGTTTATGAAAAAACTCTTACTTTGATTAGGACATGAAAGAAAATATTTAAAGCGAAACAAATATCTTAAAAAGTTATATATAAATTACTCAAGCAATTATAAGCATAAAAATTAAAAAATTATAAACTAAAAAATCTATCGACTTATATTGTTATTATTGTTACTTCAAGAATTCGTTATATGCTTAATATAATTTTTGAAATTTTCATTTATTTATTTTATGCACATCACTAATAAACATTTTTTATCCAATAACGCCTTGGAGCACAACACTTGAAACCATCGAACGATCTTTTATTGTTATTATTTGTTATTCGGTATTTGTTATTGTGACTTCAAGAACAACGTCCATGAGGAACGCTTAGAGAAAGAACTTTTTTATTTTACACATACAAAGCAAAAACGATGATCCGATTTCACTACAACAAGCACTAAACGAAAATATAAAAGACTTAAAAACAAGTTACCCGCTTTCCACCAACATTCTGCCAAAATGTCATGAGCTTGTATGTTTCGCAAGGCTGGCTTCACTTACCTTTTATACGTGCCCCTCTCACTTGCTCAGAAATTCGCTTGCATTTCATGTACAGACGTGCAAGTAAAGCACCTATACGTCCGATGAAAGTTGTAGTCTCGCGGCTTCTGTTACTTTTTTAATAAGGTCAACACCGTGCGAAATTGGGCACTCCTCAGAGAAAGTTCAAAATGAACACGTTTAACGATCATGGGATTTACATCAATTGGAAAAATTATCTATTTTACCTTTTGTTCTTCTTGCGTAGTTGGCTGTCACGAAACGTAGTTTGCAATCTTTGCATGTAATTATGTGAAGAGATGAAACAAACTAATTTTTTTAAATCTACCGAACATCAACACTAATATAAGGAACTTTGCAAATCAATTTTCCATTATTTTAATTAAAAAAAGGGTTTAAATTTTCAAAGAAATCTCTAATAAATCGGCCATCCTGTTTATACATTTTAATATATGAAGATGTTATTCAAGTATTCATTTTCAAAATATATATAAACCATGAAATTGTTCCATTCGACCTATTAATGATGAATCTTTAATTTTTACGCAAAAGCTTCTGGTTGAAAAAGAAGCTCTTCTCCAATCGTAAGTCACATAGAAAAATTTTAATCGTTTCAAAACATTCTTCCAATTACTCATCCTAACTTGAATTTACACATTCAATTTTCGCAGATCAAAGATCTCATATCTAACATATCATGTATATGCATTCTCGTCTCGTTGGCTCTACTCATTAGTTCATATTAAAGGACCATTCCGAAAATTAGAGAAATATTTCATCATGGGGCGGGAAAAAACACTCAACTCAAACACGTATTATAGATACCGGAAAGATAAGAGTGAAGAAATAACGTCTAAGAATACTGACCGAAACCATTCTTTTGACAGCCGTTAATTATAATTATTTTTTATGTATTTTAATCTCTTATGTAGTTTAAATAAGCATGACCACTATAATTTTTGTAAGTATTCAATATTGGGTATGCTTCTGTATGTAAATTATCAATATTTAGAATTATTATAAAAATTAAGCTATTTTAAACATATTAGTTGCAGTGTTTATTTACGTATATATATATATATATATATATATATATACCTCTCTTAATTTCATTTAGAGAATTAATCGATTCAATATAAAAAAAAAAATAATTTAATTTTATATTTAATGTTGTTTTCTTCCAAGAGGCTTACACAATTTAATTTAAAATTTGAGTAAATTTTTTTGGGTAATCAAAATAATATTTCTCCGTAGTATTCTTCGAAAATTCTCCTAATTCTTCTAGTTTTTAGTTTATATATATTGTTTATATATATAATTTACATATATTATTATTTGTTGTCATTTTTTATGTATATGACATCTTACATACAAGTAACAAGTTTACTTCTGCAAGATGATTTATTTTTGATTGATTTGACCTTATTTTTGATAGTACTTTTAGGATAATAAATTATACTACATTAAACGATTCTTCTAAGACGAATTTATTTGAAAAAATATGACGACGTTTCGGTGACGTTTTTATCACCATTCTCATTATTGATTTGAAACATTCCTCTAATTTTATTGTTATATCGTGTATCAAAATTTTTTACAAGAATTATGTAAAATATCCGATTGACGTTTGTAGCTGGAGAATGGTGATAAAAAATGTCACCAAAACATTGATATATTTTTTCGAATCCTCCGTCGATTTATAAGAATCTTCTGGATAATAATTATTTTAATTAACCAAAAAATCTACTCAAGCATAATTCAATTAATTTCAATAATTTCATTTCTAAAAAGTCACATCTTGTTAAAAAACCTTTTCGACTTAACTTTCAAAATATTGAAAACGCGCCAATTTATGAAACATAATCGGATCGCTGTGCACAATCCGTTAGTGTATATATATATATATATATATATATATATATATATATATATATATATATATATATATATATATATATATATATATATATAGAGTGAGAGAGAGAGAGAGAGAGAGAGAGGAGTCGCAAGTGCACGTCTTAACCTTCAAAGCGTTTAAAAGCTTCATATGATATATTTTTGAAGACGATGGTTTTTGTCAGTTAAAATATTTTTCAACAGTCTTATCAGTTTTAATATTGTTATTTCTTGTCGATTATAAATAAAAACTTAGAAAAAATGAAATTTAGTACAGAATGTGTAGCTCGTTGTTCTGCGCGTATTGGTACATTATCAGAGATTGAAAGGCTACCAAATTTGTGTTTTGAGACACCAATGCTTCTTTTGTATACGAAGGTATATTAACAATAATTTATTTGAAAATGATCCGAGCATAACAACTAAATTTCAAAAATCAACTAGAGTTTTTATAATTTTGATTTGAAGCAAGAAAACCCGAATATAATTTTGATTTTTTTCTTGTAGAGAGGTAGTGTTCCACATTTAACAAAGGATGTTTTTAAAATGTTAACTACTGATCAACAATTTTTAATGACATCACTTCCCACCACTGTATCTATGACAGATTTTGTCAAACAGTTTGAGTCCTTCAATGAGTATGTTAGCATGCAGGTAATATTTTGTTAACAGAAAAATGTTTAAATAGTGTAATATTTAAAAATGTTTTCAAATCAATTATAGGAGTATCCATTTTTCTTGACAATTCAAGATCCATCAGAGTACACCAAACCAGGTCATCAAAAGAAATCATTTGTCACTGTTTGGTCAAGAAACGGTAGATTTTCTGTTGGTGTTGACAGGTATATCGAAATAGCAGAAATTTTTAAACCTGACATGTACGTAACTTTGTGTGATGGTGACACAGATAAAAACAGTAGTCAAAAGAGATTATCTAAAGGATTAGAAAGGAGCAAAGATCAATTTGAAAAGTGTCTTAAACGACATCAAGAGTCCAATATTTTGAAAAATAAAGGTTTTTTAGGGGCTATTGAAGGTGGTTACAATTTGCAAGCTAGAGAAAAATCTATTAAATATATGGAAAATGCTCCTGTTCTGGGATATCTGATTGATGGTTTGCATAGAAATGGACCAGACACACAAAACATTAGTATAGATGACATTAGACCTATAATTGAACATTCCCTTGTTAGTGATGAACACATATTATGTTTGATAATTGCAAAACCTAATAGGATTATTTTTTATTTGTATTTTTCTTTCAGAATTTATTACCCGTTGATAAATTGAGAGTAATGATAGGTTGCTGGAGTCCATCTGTAGTTTTAGATTTAATCCACCTAGGTATTGATTTGTTTGATTCATCCTATCCATATGTGATGACAGAAGAAATGAAAGCATTAACTTTTTTATATGACGATTATGAAAATGATTTTATAAGTCTCAGTGACAAGAGGTATTAGTTATTATCAATTTCAATGATTGAATTTTTTAAATTCTTTTTATTAATTTATTTTCAAAACATTAAATTTTACAGGTACGCTGAGGATTTTGAGCCTATTTGTAAAAATTGTACATGTCTGACATGTAAAAATCATCACAAAGCTTACATACACCACCTCATTCAAACCAAAGAGTTACTTTCTCATGTTTTGTTAATGATGTATGTACACAATTTATTAAAAACATAATATAAAGATGTACTAGATCTTATTAAACATTAATTTTTATATTTTTCAGACACAACACTCATCTATACACGAAATTTTTCAAAAATATTCGTGTTCACATAAAAAACGGAACATTCTGTCAGTTTCGAGATAAAATTAAATCTAAATGTTTGTTGAATGTAGAAAATTCTTGATTCATATAAAAATGATTTATAAAAAATATAGTCTATCGTATTTGCTTTTTCCTATTTACATAAATTCTTCTACTCCATTAAATGTAGATAGTCTATTGTATCACAAGCCGCTTCAGTATGGCATACAAAAATATATAAATTTCAGCAATTTAAAATTGTTCTCGCTATGATACGTATTTAAAACACCAATCAACATAATTATTTAGTATAATAATATAAAATTGAAAAATAGTTAAAATTACATTTCGATGTTACTCATATTCTTTTGCAATGTGTTACTGATATTACCAGGACAGAAATTAGGATCCATATAATTAGTTGAAGCAAAATTATTTGGAAGATAGTCGGAATCATAACCGTTTGAACACTGAGTAGGAGGTTCGATGCGTGTCAATTGATGTGTGCAAGGATGTAAGGGTTCCTCTACTTGATGTTGAGCGAGACTACAGTGTGAACATAGATCTACTTCAACACAATCTTCGCAATGAAATCTATGACCTTTTATTGGCTCCTCTCCACAAATATAGCACTAAAAATAATGTTTACTATTTAGAAATAGCATTAAAAATAAAGAAAACATTTCAGTAGCTGTTCAAAGTTAAGGTCAACCTTATATCCATGGTGAGTACCAATAGTATCTGCAGAGTTGATGATTTTGTCCTCTTTGAATTCCTGTAAAGAGCCCACTTGACTCAATTCAGTATCAGTGTCCATATTTGGAATAGAAGATGTAGAATCTTCATCCTACAAATAGAAATGTAATTTACGTAGATTCATAAAGTAAAAACTTTAAAGATGTTGACAAGAAAAATACACAAAACTTACAAATGGTTCTTTAACAGGCTTTTTTGTGATTTCATCAAGTAATTGTTCATAAGGAAAGAAGGTTGATTTACGAAAGCTTGGTTTGTGTCGATGTGCACGGCATCGTCCATCACTTTTCATTCTTGGTTCTCTACCAGGAACAGGTAAACCACGTTTCATGAGCTTAATGAAATACTTTTGAACTCTACTTGATACCTGTTTGGGTGTTCGATTTCCTGTAAGAAGTAAAGTTTATTGAATACAAGAATGCAATCTTCAAGAAATAAAAATATACAAGAAAGTTTATGATCATAAAGTATACCTAAAGCATTAGCAATTTTTGTCCATCTTTTCATTTCTACTTCTTCTGGAGGATATTTATATAATAATTCTTCCAACCGTTGTTGTTCTTCTTCTGTCCAAGGTTTATTGAATGTTTCTGGCTTGCCTTCACTATAAACTCGTCCTCTGACCAAACGTTTTTCTGAATCATCATCTTGCTTAGTATTACTTGTTGAAGGTGCACTCTTGGCATGACGAGTTTGTGGTCTCATATTAGCATCTGGTTGAGCAACATTATACTTAGACCAATCAATTTGTGGAATTTCTGCTATCACTTGTGGTCCAGGGTATTCGGGAAGAGTTCCTGTTTGAATTTTATTCACATATCCTATAGGATCTTTTAAAGCTTCTTTCTTTGCCATCAAAAGTGTATCTACATCTTTAATTGCTTGAGTTCGTTGTGCTTGCAGAATAACTATAGTTTTAAGCATATTTCTGTAATCATCGTTATTCTTTAAGGCTAAGTGATCAGATTCAAAATAAAAGTTATCTTCAGGATCAATAGTTTCCTCTTCATGAAATATTGATGGTGTTCTTTCTACATGGGGTGCATCGGGAGGTCTACTTCTAGGAAATATTGCAGCTTTATAATCAGATCTAAAAGCTTCCTCGGGTCCACAGCCTGTTAGTACTTCAGATGGTATATCCGATAATGCAGATTCTAATAAATGATTTTTTGATGTTGAGGGTTGTGGTTCTTTCGAATTATTAACAAATCCATTCAACGTAGGAACTTGACTTGTAGGTGTAGATGACTCAAGGTAGTTAAAAATTTGTGCTTGACTGATATTATTTTCATCCATTTCATCAACAACAATTTTCTCTGACGATTCCATTTTCTCAAATAACAAACTATATCACTAATTTAAAAACAAAGAGTCCTGGTAGCGACCTGCGGCATGAATGCCGAAGGTGCAGCTTACGCGACATCAAAGGTCGCGACAGCGACCTGCGGCATGAATGCCGAAGGCACGGCTCACGCGACACTGCACATGCTGAAGGCACAGGTTACGCTACACTGTTTACACGCAGCTTCACAACGCCACGAGTGCTGTTACATCGTAACAGCTCTGCGTGCTAGTGTGTGAATAAGTAAATTTTACTTCAACACAGGACTGAGGGAGCGTCCGCATGAGAAGCGAATCATCGATAGTAGTGCTGGGACAAACTAAGGAAAAGTGGTTAGCGGTGCACTTCAGTCTATACATTCGCAGACTCTATGAAGATACTGAACTGGCCACTATTATAGACTGAAGTGCGCCGCCGATCACTTTTTTTTAACTTCGTCTCGGTTCAGTGGTGGCAGCACTTACCAAGTTTTGTACAATAATACATACGCAGTACAATTGTACGCCAATCGTATCTATTACCAAACTAATGCTAATTTAAATAAATTAAATTAACAACAAAAACGTTATTTAGTAAATCACAAAATATAATTGTAAAATATAACCTTAAAATATATAAAAAGAATTTTAAGTTGATGCCTAAAACATTTCATTTTTATAATTTATCCATTCCAATATTTTGCCACTATTTTCATTTTAAAACTAATCTTCTGATATAATAGTGTACAGCATTAAAAGTGGTATTCGCATATAATAATTGCATGGATTTAAAAAAATGTCTTATTAGCTTGAAAGTTTATTTTTCATTGGATAAAGATATAAACATTATATTTGTATAAGCATATAACTTATTGCGATTGGAAAAAAATGAGTAATATCAACATTATCAATTCTAATTTCTAAATTGTACGCTCTGCAAATGACAAAGTATATAGATTCTACTATATTAATATTATTAATACGATAATTGGCTCTTTTTTCACTATAGTAAATGTCAAAAGAAAATCTCTAAGCACTTTGTCATCAGATGTTTACCATGATTAAAGAAGATAATCAAATGATATATTATTGTACTAATAATGTTAAGGTGTGAGATCTATATTTTTTGCGGAGTTCGACGTTTATAACTAAAAACTGTATACAAATTAATTGAACAATGTCTTTTAAAATTATTTTTCCTACGCCACTTTTTTGTAATTGAATACGTAAAAGTATGCAATTGTTAAAAAATAAACATATTGAACTTTTTCATTTTTTCTACGCGGAATATTTTTTATCAATTACGTACACGCCCAGACGTTAATCAAATCATTTGTTTTTAACTTGAAAATCTCGGTACACATACGATGTCTAATATGTCTCCTTAAGTAGCTTCTTACGCCATTACACGTGAGTAGTTTCATTGATTGTCGAAACGAATTTAAATATTGGATTATAGAATTAAAAAAAATTTTTTATAAGCTATAATCAATAAAACATTTTATTTTGTGAAAAATAAGAATGATCAAATATGTATTTTTGATTGCCTTGAATAAATAATAAGCTTCTATGAACTTAAGTAATTTTCACGATCGACATATCGAAACTATATCGTAGATTAATGTGTGATTATATACAGTCATGTACGATCAATCAATGAATATTAACTAAAAATATTTTTTCGAGACACTTAAAATAAACGATCTTTAGCTAATTATGCCAATAAGAAAATAATATAAGGTTAAAAAGAGGGCGACGATGGGTAAAAAATTAGCCTGGCTGAATTGTTGTGCCTTTTCTGCATTCGTTCACACGTCTGTTTGTTGGCAGCCGTTGTTGTTGGCCATTTGGGCGAAGCCCCTGATCGCCATCAGGTCCTATATATATATACCTTGTGCAAACCGCAGCACTCGGCTGCAATGTCAACTGTCTCTTGGCCGCCCTGAGGCAAGGGCTTTACCCGTATCCAAGGTAAGAGAGCTTTCTATATCGAATGCATTCCATGTAGCTTACCAGTACTCTGCGATGTACGCATAATGTTATTTTTAAAGTTAAACTTGTAATCAGTGTGTCCTTAGTAACTTTCCTTGTAAGTTAGCTTTCTTTATGGCTTCTTTCCCACTCGCGTCTGGGCTATTTTGTGCCACTTTTTCCTAATCATTCCAGTCAGTTTACTTATGTAATAGGTCTGTCGAATACTATTATTTTATCTAATTTAACGTATAACCAGCGCATAGTTATTATTTTAAGATCTTATTGCAGCAATGATATGGCATCTAGTCTTTTTTATATTACAGAGCATTAGTCCCTCGATTGATATCTCTTTATTAATGATATCAAAACAAATCACCCGTGGGATATTTATCGCCCGCATTACAATTAACGTTTGCGCAACCACCATCCCGAAATCCAAATTGTCATTGGAACTCGATTGCCGGGTGAAGCTGTCAGGAAGGGAAAAGCTTTGCCGCATGGGAATAGAGGACGAAGGTTCAGTGCGGTCTCACGGCTAAACGAGGGATAACGGGAAAAATCTCTGTCGCCTAAGAAAGAGAAGAGAGCAAATAATTGAATTATTTCGGCGGGCGCGCTGTACTGCGTAATGCGATTTACGCGTCGGCAACACTACAAACGCGCTCGCGGAAAAATCCGACATCGTACGTCTAGCTCCCGCGCGACTTTCGACGTGTAACGACGGGAATGCTAATTGAGAAAAGCCGTCCGCGTCGACGCGCATATTGCTTATCGGCGAGAATCGGTTCGGCACCGAAGGAAAAAGCAGTCGATTTCACAAAGCATTGCCAGGCGTGTAATCTTATCGTCAACTACTGAGTGTCGATGGAAAGCGTCTCTGCTAAGGTTATACATGTAAAATAAAGTCAAACACGTGACGTCAGGATTGTCAAATACGGGCAGTTTCCCGCTGAGCCAACAGAATATTTCGTTAGGCAAAGGTGGCGCTTGCTTATCGCCTCATTAGCGAGTACGAAATCGTTTGAGCGCCGGAGGCCGCGTGCCGCTGTATCGCTGCTACCGAACGCGTATCTTATCGATCGGGGGTATGGTGTAAGAGCCGCGCGTTGGAATGCTTTCGCTCGCGACACTTGCATCTCGCGTGTTTTGAGCCGCAGATCTACGGGATATACGCGCGGCCTCTATTCGAGCGCGGTGTGTTTATACGGTCGATCGAAAAGTCACGCGGGAATCGATTGCGATGGAGCCGCCTTCGGAGACGGTAAACAGAAGCGCGTGTTATTTACCTTGGCCGCGAACCTCGCTGGTAGCAGCGATGAGTCGTCGAATTGTCTCTCTCGGGAAAGGGGACGTCTTTAAATGGCGATGAGCCCGACATCGAGTACGGAGCCGCGCGCACTTGGCACTTCGGCTAGCGCCGAGCCGCGTTGACAAGCGAAATTCTGCCTGGCGGAATCGACGCCGCACCGTTGCGCGACCGGTCGATTGTCATTTTTTTTTCCTGCTGCTATTAACGTGTAGAGGATATTATTATTAATAGTCTGCAGAAGCTTATCAAGCGATATTTCTCTTTGGCCTACTTTTATACGATCCACGTCAATGATATTCGAGAGAGAGACTCGATGTTAATGGATAAGTGAAATGATTAGAATTAATTGCACGGAGTGTCGATGATTCTGTTAATCCCCGAAACGCCTCAGAAAAAGCGTAACGCACAATTCCCGAAGCAGGAAAAACGCGATATTTTTCAGCGGCGTTACGGTCTCAACGACGAGAAGGGCGAAAGAAAAATGCCGCCCCAGGTATGAAAATCGGAGCGCTGCCGTTGCGACGTAAGCAGCGCAGAGTGCAGCGAAGAAAAACCGCTGGCGCAACGAAAATTCGCCTCGCGCGTCGCCCACGTGCGGCGCGTGCGTTATCAAATCGTCTCTCTCTCTCTCTCTCTCTCTCTTGCGCGCGCGCGCTGTCGAGACGCTTTCAGTTTCGTGCCGAGACTCGCTCGCGCCGGTAGCACGCACGCGCGATGCTCCCGTGAACAGCGCTTTTATATATTTTTTTTTTGGAAAAAAAAGACATAAACAAAAAAATGTCGGTGGTTAAGGAGAGGACTGGGGACGAGCAGCAAGTCGGACTGAAGCGAGAGCTCGGATTGTTCAGTGCGATCAGCATGATCGTGGCTGTGATGATCGGTATGATCAACTCTTTTTTTCCATTCCGTTACCAATCGTCGACGTAACTTCCGAACGCTTCCTCTTCCTCGGAAGCATGCGCCTCGTAGTTGCGGATAAGTTTTAACGTTTGTGTCGCATCGGCGATTTTACGCCGCCGTTGTGAATTCCCAAGTGCGCGCGAGACATTCCGTTATGGTCGGCACAGCTGAAGCAGCGGTTTGAACAATTTCGCGAGCTTGGTGCGTTGGTTCGCCACGCGTGACGGGGATGGAGCGTAAACAGTCGACGACGACGGATTCGGGGCGATTGGTGATCCCTGCAAGCGCGCGCGCGCACGCACACACACCCGTACGCGCGAGAGACATTTCCTATACATGCGGCTCGGAATAGAATATCGGCGCGAGCGCGATACACTGCGATGCGTCGAAGCGTAGACACAGCCGACGAAAATCAACAGCGTTCTGGAACGAAAACATTTTTGCTTTTGCTTTGTCAGTTGCGAAAGCGACGCTCGGCGTTGTGTTATTGTTGAATGCATTTTTTTTTCGAATTTGTCCGTTGCTCAACGCGAAGTGTAGGCATTTTTCGACATCGCGAAACCAAATCTACTCTGATAACGTTTGTCCATCCGTCGGAGCACGTAGTTATTCGCATTGCCATACGCTTACGAGTAATAAGAACGCCACGAGCAATTGACATTTGCAAAGTAAACAAAAATGAATCTTGCGTTAAAAGAAAAACATAATTTTCTTATCGCCGTATGTTACGAAAGTTATCCAACTCGGGATTACGTCCGTCGATTGTAAGCGACATTGCCCGTTCGGGATACGAGCGCAACGTGAAAATTCTCTCGCGACCGTTCGAAATCTCATTAATCGCGGCAAATGTGCACCCTCTTCTCACCGCAATAAACCATACTTGCAATATTACACGAACATGTCAGTGAGCGTAATCAACGAACAACTGCTTCGCGCGGTGATATAACGCAATTATCAGTCGTCAGCTCTTGCACGCGATAACCCTCTAGTAACAAATAATTTTTTTTTGTCTCACAGAGATCCATCGATCGGCGAGAGCGCTTTACGTGGAATTTCATGCGTTATTATCATTATCGCGCGCGCGCGCCCGAGTGAAATAATGGCGTAATTGGCTGTGCTTTGAACGAAGATAGGCCAGGTCGTTAAGACGCGAGTCAACGTCTCTAAATGCCTCGAGGCGTGTGTACTCCGTCGTTCCCACGCGCTCTCGTCCGCTTTCGGGCTCGATTGAAGAATCCCGCCGGCAGACCGCGCTTCATTTCGCGTATCACTCGATCCGATCGTCGGAGTTTCGCCGAGTCAATTGCGAAAGACAGCGGATGCCTGGGCGCGCACGAGGGCGACGTCATCGAGGAACGCGCGGGACGAGGCTTGGCGGGCGAGCGCGCGGCATATAGGCGTGTCGATCGCGACCGCCCGGGAAAATAGCGGCTTGCACCGTCGGGCGCGCACGTCCGCTTGGACTGCCAATTGAGCGTGCGATTGCGAGGCGAGCTTTCGCGCTCCGCGGCAGGAGATTCACTCGGCAATTAATTAGCAGTCGTCTTGCTGCGCGGTGGCTCGTCGTTGCGGAACGCGCGCAGTCTTGTCTTTCATTGCTCGTTGCCGAGCTTTCCGCGAAGTAGGCCAACGTTCTCTTCTGCGCGGAACGATCGATTTATCGATGAGTGACGCGCTCCATCGGATCAAAGTGACGCGGCAATTCCATTTGGCGCTGCTCCTGTTCGCGAAACGAGGGCCCGTCGAGCGCGGCACAGCCTCCAGCTGAAATCGAAGGTCTTCGTCTTCGACGAGCTGACGACTGCGTACAGTCTCACCGGCAAAATACCGACGCAGGTTGCAACTCGGGAAACGCACCATTGAGTTGGTCGCGTCGAGAGCTTGCGCGAAGATGCTCAAATTCGCGGATGCGTACTTACTGTCGAGCGCTCAGTGCGCACGTTGTAGTGTCGCACGAAGCGAACGAGCCTTATCGTTATTCACGCGGTTCACTCGTTAACCAGTAAGAACTTTCATCACGGCACTTGGGGAGAAACACCTGATCAAACACATCGCGAAACAAGTCGTTACACCATCATCTCACAGTTCAGCGGTACGACGATCGTCACCGCGCCATCCTCATATTGGCGTTTGATCGAAGCCGACGGCGCATCGTTTAAGCCATTTCATTTCGATTTGATGCAGCGCGATCGTTTCATGCAACGCTGCCTCGAGGTCGAACTTGCAGATCACGGTATTCGCGTGTAATTGAGAGATTGATAGAAAAAAATGTACACTGGTTCGTGACGCTAACGATGCGGCTAAAGCCCAGCTTAGAAATAAAGCACAGAACTGTTTATAAGAATTGAATTTCGAATTGGAAGTTAACGAGATGCTGCGATGAGAGTTCACGTGCACACGCGAGCTATCAAGAGTGGCCTTGAACTACTTGAGCGCAAACGGTTGTCATTAATGTGGTGCCGAGCAAGAAGTGTGACACGCAAAATCAGCATGTCCGGCATTCGTTTCGGAAATAGCCGAGGCAAAGTCGGCCGGCGAAAGGCGCGCGTGGCAACGCAGGCAACACGGCAAGCGAGCTCATTATGCGGACGGCACAACCATGCGCGTGTCGCATATTGCATTTGGCGATCCGTCCGGCGTCCAGTGTAAGCTCGATCGCGGCCACTCCTTCGCTATCGGCCACTCGTCACGCCGCGCAGCTCCTTCGTCAACGCGCCACGCTTCCCCCCGACGCGCGCGCTCGCGATTTCACGCTTATCTGCGGCCTGGCGGCAAATTGATTGCCCGCGAGCGGATTGTTACGCGACATTCGAGCGCGCGACTGTTGGTTATCGACTAATTCGCGATCGTCCGCGCAACGCGCCCGCATAATTTGTATTTGTGCGTTTATAGGAAAAATGTTAAAATGTTGATTACGACATACAATAGTTCGTTATTAGTGTGTGACAACAAGTTGTTAGCGCATAAAATTACTGCGGGTACTTATAGTGGTCAAAGAAAAAACAACTGGTAGCATAGATTTAATTTTTTTTTTTTTTTCATTTAGTTTTTTCTCCTTAAGCAATGTAGGTTTATATATGAATGTTTATAGCAAAATAGGTTAATAATTCATAAAATATTCTATTGCATACTGTATTCTAAATTATTATAGCAGACTAGTCCAAGAACAACTGGTCATTGCTGAATTTATATGTTTATGTTTAGAAGGAAAACAGCCAATAAAGATTATATTTAATGCATCTTCCGTACATGAAATATGACAAAGAAAATCCTGTAGATTATTAAATATATTTTGAGATGTAATCAGTATCTGATTTATTATCTTGAATATCAATATTTTAATTAATAGCGCTTTGTTGGCTGAACTAATGTTAGTAACGAAGCATTTCGCTAAAGTTAATGTAGACATCAAGATGAGAATAAAACATTCTAAATCAAACATACGAATTCAAGCCATTAAATTTTTCTATTTGAATAACTCATGTCGCTAAAAACAGAAGCGTATATGATTAAGAAAAGTTAAATCGAATATCACAAATACTCAAACAATTGCGGGGTGTCGATTACAGTATCCAATGATCAATTCTTAAATTATATAAGCAGATTAAATTTTAAAAATAGGAGAAGCTCATCGACGTCATCGTGCTTTATGTGCGCCTAGCAGCTGTTGAAATACCGCGGTAGTAAACGTAAATTGATGTTTCATTGTTAAAATTAAAAAATTGTAAAATGCTTTCTTAAGTTCGAAACCTCAGACAAATACACAATGACGACGATGATTGTACATGAAACGTACGAAACTCGTGAGTCACAGAATTTGACTAAATAGAGCTTTTCGAATAAAGAGATAATAAAACAAGCATTTAATATCCGAATGCATGCCAACACGTAAACATGCAACACATCAACTGTTTCGAATTGCTCGATTGAACGTTTCACTGAATGTTCAGTAAAACAGACTGACGGAAATACTTCAAGCATCTTGTTAATAATTCGTAAACTATAAAAGACAACACTTTTAAAAATGGTTTAAATAAACAATATTTTTCTAAGAATAAAAAATTGTTTGTCTTAAATAGAAAAAAAAAAACATTTAAATTGGAGAACATTTTTTTTACCTGGAAGTAATTGGTAGAAAGCGAAAGTAATAATGTACTGTTTTTCACAGGCTCTGGGATCTTCGTCTCGCCAACGTCGGCCTTAGAACGATCGGGTTCGATCGGTCTTTGTCTGATCGTGTGGATCGTGTGCGGTGGATTGTCCCTGTTGGGTGCTTTGTGTTTCGCAGAGCTGGCCGCGGTGGTGCCGCGCTCGGGCGCCGAATACGCTTACTTCATCGACGCCTTTTCACCGCTTCATCGATACTTCGGGCAACTGCCCGCCTTTATTTGTGCCTGGGTCTTCGTCTTTGTTCTCAGGCCCGCCGAGGTTGCTGTCATCACACTCACCTTTGCCGAGTACGCGGTACAGCCGTTTGTCGGATTATTTGGTGAATTGTGCCCTGACACTTTGAATCAGGTGAGTTGATCAGCCCACTCATCCAATGTGACTCAAAGCAAGTTCAATTTCCGTAGACGTTTTCTTTTATCGATTAACGCGCTGTTGAGAAGTTGGATGAAGTGGAAAAGCTTTCCTTGGTATATCGCAAGTTGCTTTGTCTTTCATTCACATCTCAAAGTACAAGCAACATTGAAAGAAAAATATTTTTTAAATGAAGATGAAAAACAGTGTAGAACGGCATTAAACTAATTTTTTTTGGAACGTTTATGTTTACAGGTGAAAAAACTGATCGCTATTCTGTCACTTGGTTTGATGGTCTACATAAACATCACCAGCGTCAAACTATACGTGAAGGTGCAAAATATTTTTGGAGTGTGCAAGATAGCTGCCTGTGTACTTGTGGTTATCGGTGGTGTTTACTGGCTCGCAATCGGTCACACGGAACGCCTACAAGATCCGTTTAAAAATTCGGATTGGTCGCCAGGTCGGTGCTTTTTTAACGTTGTTTATTGCCATTAACGTTAACCTGATGCTAATGGAATCGCGTACGATAAAAGAAGAAAGTCGAGGCGTTCGACATTGAAATTTTAATATTTGGTCAAGTTGAATATTGAGTAGTGTTGTTTTTGGATTCAATTTACTTTTTTATGAATATTCAAAATCAATACGCCGCCTCAAGGTAAATTGAAAGCAGAAATACAAATTATTGAAAAAGAAAATATTCAACGATTACTCCGTTTTAACTAGAATAATTTTTTATTAATCCTTACATAAATAATGTTGAAAGTTCTAACGCGTGAGCTAATTGCAAGTTATGAGCCAGACAAGTCACGCAACGATAATAGAAAAAACAAGGAGATTAATTTTTGTTATTGTAGACTTGCGGTGGGAAGGGTCTTGTTCCAATGGGTCGTTTGTCAGCCCCAGGTACTATAATCCCGAATCTCGCAACGCATTTGTGAGCGTAGAAGTGGCAATCCAAGTTGCGACAGCAGTCTTCGTGAACGTTACACTGGAATAAATGAAACGCGTGAAACCACAGAGGGAACCAAAGTGTTCTTCGTTACTTACGGGTTGACCTAATCCGCTGCAGGACCTTTCCAACGCAAACGTGGTCGTAGCAACGATGACAATTGCAAACATCAGATATACGAATTTCGCCATGATTCAATGTCGTGTGCACAAAGACGCGCGAGGCAACGGGAATAACGATTGTGTGTCCGAAGCACGTATGATCCGACTTATTTATACGCTTTCGTCGTTTGCAAAGAGCGGGGGCATTTCGAGATAGTGAAGTGGGGCAGGTTCGATATATATACGCAGTTTACTGTCACTGACATCCTGATGTAATCCACAATTGTATAGCAGTTGAAAACATATCGTAAGGTTCCGAAGCGACAGGTTCTTGAAGATAGATGTCTGACTAATCGTGCTGACTAATGAAGAAGTTTGTTTTTTTGTCTTTCTATACGATTTTATCTACGAAATGCCTATTTATCAGATAAGCGATAGGTTAATTGTAAAACCCTGCTCTTTTATCTATTTTTTAGAAGGCTTTGGGACCTCGATTAATTGTTTCTTTGGAACCAGATTGTGTGTTTGGATGGCAATGATTGTCGTATTTCACTTACTACAGCTGATATCGTCGCAACATTAAATTAATAGTAATCATGTATTTCGGTTTGAATGTAAAAAGTGAATCGAAATGCTTGAATTCGGAACGGAGCATAATGCGCAGATCAGTAGTGGAGTGGCGAATAAAGTCAGACAAACCGATTGCATTCGTTGGCATCTACCGGCAAATCCTTCGATTATCAAACAAAAGCGCTAGCTCAAATAGAAACATAAGATTGCTTTCAAATCACAGGCTCGCTAGCGTTGGCCTTCTACAGCGGCCTATGGGCATACGACGGTTGGACAGCCGCAGCCATAGTGGCCGAGGAAGTTCAACGCCCGGAGGTGAATATTCTGCGAAGTATCCTCATCGCTGTGCCAGTCGTCACTGTCCTTTACGTGTCTATGAATCTCATGTACATGACTGCACTTGGCACTCAAGAGATGATTAAGGCCCCCGCCGTAGCTGTACTTTGGGCCGAGAGAGTGTTGCCCAGTTGGCTGGGCTTCACCATTCCTCTTGGCGTTGCACTCTCCACTTTTGGTTGTGGATTGAGCGTACAGTTTGGGGTTACTAGGTGAGTTTCATATTTTGTTTATATTGTTTCGCAAAAAATCGTTTGATTTATATCAAATCGACGACACGAAAATTAGTAAATTAGAGATCGACAAAGCAATGATTGTAATGTATTGTCATATAGCAATATCATGAAACGTTGTCCCGTATTTTTAAGATAAAAATTAGTCAACCTATGTTTTCCCAGAAGATAACTCGCTAATAAACTGTGACTTAAATTTCCCAACAGATTATGTTACGTAGCCGGTCGTGAGGGCCACGTGCCACGTTTCTTCAGTTGGGTACACTTCGAGAAGATGACGCCGGCAGCGGCGGTCGCCCTGCAAGGTCTCCTCACACTATTATGTATGCTCATGGGCAACATAATCGAGTTAATTGAGTTTGCAAGTTTTCTTATTTGGGCGTTTTACGGACTAGCCGCCGTCGCCTTGGTGATTATGCGCCGAACGAAAGCCGACGTCCACAGGCCTTATCGCGTGCCTATTATTGTGCCGTGGATTGTTATTCTCATCTCTGTCTTCCTGTCTGTCATGCCAATTATCCATGATCCTTCGCTAAAATATCTGTTTATCTTGATGTTCATACTCTTAGGGTATGGCTTTTATCATTTTTACGTGTACAACAAGGTTAAAAGCAAATTTATGAGTGAGTATTCTTCTATTGTTTTATATTTTAAAATGTACGTTAAAGTTCACTCGATGAATAACGGAATGTTTCAAGTTTTTTTTTAAAGTTAATGATGATACGTACATACAAATATTTTCGTATTCACTTTGTTAACGTAGTCCTTGTAACTTGCTAATTTCCTTATGAATAGAACATGATATACTTATTATTTTGAGGTGTACAATAGTAGCGTAGTCTAGAAAAACTAACAGCAAGAGCGGATCGTAGCATGTAGGCCTTTTTCTATTTCAATACATTAATAAGTAATAAAATTCATATTTGTATTGTAGTACATTTGAGTTACAAAGCTTAAATAATTTCAATCTTTTATTTAAATCACGCAATATTAATATGTCATGAAAAAAAATGATGTTTAAGGATTTTTCAATAGAAAGGCATTCGTTATTTCAAGAAGAAATAAATTATTAATTTTTTGGAGAGATAGATACATAATATTATTATTAATTCAACATTTTCAATTCGAAAATCTGTTATTTTTTTCAAAAGCATTGTTTACGAGCTTATATCAAACAGTATAATGTAAAATTTATACCGTTCATTTGTTTTCAGGGAAACTGACATATCTAGTTCAAATGCTGTTTTTGGTCGTTCCACCAGTAGAGTTAGAGAATGGAAGCGAGGAAAAAGCTAACCGATGATGCCTTAATATAGAATTCACTGCAAAAGCCTGCTATTTGCCAGAACAAAAGTGCTTTAACACTTCAAACTCCGAGGCTGTGAGAGATAAAGAACCTACATATCAAAAGATAAAAAGTGTTCCACGAATATATGTTTCAACGCTGGGAATCGAATGAACATTCGTATTTTAAAGCCTCTATTTGTAAAATATATACAAGTCTTTTTAATTTTTATATCGATAAATATTGTACAAACATTTGTATATATACTGCCAAATAACAATTGAATGTATGGTGTCGAGTACCTGATGATGTATGGTACATATATTTATTATGAAATAACATTTCTAGAGAATCAATTATATCAAATGTTTATACAGTTTTCCATGTTTTTAAATAAAATGTTTTATAAGTATGTATTAGCTATAGTAGCTATCAGTTATAGTCATTACAAGTTTGTGGAACGCGCAAATCAATAGCTATTGAAATGAATATGGCATAAGGGGGGGGGGTTACATGATGTATAATCTGTTTGATCATATCATTCGTTAAATGATATTTAGATATTCAATATTTTAGTAAGTTTTAAAGAAATTGATAATGTTTACCGGTATCAAATAATGATAATCAATATTGAGAACGAGTCTTAAAACTCACATTAGTATTCTTAAAATTGAGTTTGCCTAAAAATGACAGTGGTTGATAAAATATACTTCTTAACTACATCTATAAAACTTTCATTCATAGTTGCAAAGTAATGAATAAAAAAATGAAAGGAGTTGCTGCGAAGAAAGAAATTCAAAGTTGATGTGTCTTTATTTATGTCTGTTGACGTAAATAATATAATTCTTCAATCGTATGAAAAAGGCTTTATTTAATTAAGGTTAATCACCCGTTTACGTGATTTAAACGAATATCTAATCCTCTATAATAATGCCATATTACTACATTTGACGTTAACTAGCAGATGTAAGTATAATAGTCAGGATTTCATTTACAAATTGTGGAACAGATGGAAACTGAATGTGGTTGATAGGAAAAATAAAGGCGGCAAGTTTTTCGACTGATATTTGCAACTGGAAATAGGAAGCACCATCATGATGATAGAACAATATATATCTGATGACCACTTGATAGAACCAATAGTCAAAGCGATATTGAAACAACATTATTCCGATATTGTTAATGATTTGAGGTATTAGGTTTCAATGACAGACGACCAACTGAAACTTGTGGGAAGAAAAATTACAAGCATGTCGGCAAGGCTAATCTGCAGGTGAAATATATATGACATGTGACTTTCTTCAGTGAATTGAGGACAAGGTGTAAGGGAAATTTCTTATCAACAAGCTTATAGAGAAAATAGGTTTGATAACCTTCCATAATTTCATTGCCAACGAACGTAGTATAATGTTAACAAAAATATCGAAGTTTCGAGATTTTATCGACACGTGGATTATACCACTGGAAGTAGCTTCATTGAATCTGTTTAAAAAGAGTGTCTGTTTCTAAGCTAAGAGAGCTAAATACAAACAGATAGAAGATAGCGAGAATCATAACGCTTTTCAGACATTGTTGAACTAGATGACATAGTTACATAGTTACTTAGAGACAGTCTAATGAAACTGTGCATGATAAAGAAAACGAACGTAAAGTGTATAAGACAAGATAACGCAAAGAATTATGATTACTATTCTTTGATAATTTTAATATTTACGAATGAATTTATTTCAAGATGAATTGAATATAACTATAAGAATAATCGATTTTTACGAAATAACTTTAATCATTTCCTTTTTCATGTGGAACATTACTTTCATCTTTTTCTAATTTAATTTACATTCCTAGTCATACGAAGTTTACAATATCCTGCATATTTTGAAGTTATCATCGTCATCGTGTCGGACTTAAGTGATTTGGCAATCCGAAACTCATTAAAGCAAATCCTTAAAATTTCAGTCAAAATCTTTTAGCGTTAAATTAATATGAGAGAGACGAGTGGCATGAACTTACGATTTTCTTATATTCAACCCAACCAAACCCAACCATCAGTCTCACTAATCTGTTATCCACATAATTCTAAGCGTATATAGGATCGAACAATCGAAAACATTAGCTCGAGAAGTAGAAGCAGATTAAGAAAATATCAATTGCTACACAAACATTTGTAAATATGCGTTTATTTCAGTGCACTTCGAATATTCGTCCACTTTAAACTCAAGATTATTTTCTTATTTAGTTGACTTGATCTGCTATCATATTGTAGCCTGGCTCAACTCCATAACTTATTAGTCCTTTTTTATTTGCGATATTTTTATGACATAAGCTTTTGTCTGAAAGTCTCATAAATATATAATTATTATTCGTCACTAGCGTTAGTACAACTTTATTCAAGTCAATTATCTTTTTAAAACGAATCGTTGCGATGGACATTTACTTTCATTTTTTAATAAAAGACTCTGGCTTACATCGTAATTAACAATATATATGAACACCGATAGATAGATAGCATCTGTGAAAAATCGCTTAAAAGTTCAGAATCAATAAAAAAATCTTTTAAATTCACAGGCTAGAACTACAGTTCGATTTGCATAAAGAATCGGTGCACTAATCTCAAAAATGGATACTGTCTTAAAGCTCCAACACCTGGCCATGGTGAGCATCGGACAATACGTGTGGCAAACAGCCCCAATTAAGTGTCACATAAAAGAGCTATTTACAACGAAGAATGAAAGAAATTGTGAAACATCAAGATACCTCGACTGGGTCCATATAATGCGTGCGATGTACAACAAACTGCAGCAAAATTATTTGCCAGCGAGACTGACTTGTGAGTTACTTTACGTGGTGAAACAAATGGGCGATCGAATGTACGAATGGTACCATTATGTCGAGCGAACGGACAATTTCCTTCACGATAAGTGCGGCCAAACGCTGGAACATCCGGGCAAACTTTACTGGTTGCCATCTTGCGCGATCGACGTGCAGCGAGTCATTTCCGAAAATTGGATACGAAACGTTCGCCTGGAAAACGCCTGCGCCGCCTACTTCGTGTCGATAATTCACGGACTCGACAACAATCTGACTGATGTTATCTGGAGCTCGATGTCCGATGAACTGAGGAACACGTGTCGCCAAATCCTTTCGAGTAAGGAGTCTTACGCGAGCGCCTTTTTGTACACGTCCATCGGCAGTCCGCAGGAGTCCTTGAAAATCGCTAGAGAACTGGGCTTTTCGACGATCGCGGAAGATCAGCGGTTCTTTTTGTTTGTCCGCAAGGGATACCTCGAGCTGGTAAAAAGCGTGTGGTATGGTTTGAGTCATTCGACGAGGAACAGCATTGTCGACAAAGGTTTCCGACTCGCGTTGCGGCTCTCGAGCTTCATCTTCGATTGTACATTTGAGAAGAGGCGGTTTGAGGAGATCGCTCTGTTTCTTTATTGTCAGATGAGCGATCAGTGCAGGCATAGCATTCTGTGTAATTCATCGTATATTCATTACATAGCGAAAGTATTATACATAATAGCGTCAAAGCCACATCTTGACTTACTGATGCCGACTTTGGAAGTCACTTTGACCTATATTCTCGACGATTTGGAGTACATTTATTCAGATCTCGTCATTTCTTTGACTTACGATATGCTTGAGGACTTCGATTGTACTTACGTCCCTCGGGGTACTTTGGTGAAGGTTTGGCGCCGAATACCTGATAAAATTAAAAGAAAAATCCAGTTTTGTGATGTTATAAGAGGCCTTGTTAACGAATGGGACTTGATAAGTTTGAGAATTCTTTTCAATATTCCTGAGTTTGACGAAGAAAAAAACGAACTAATGATATGTTTAGTAAACAGTTATCTCAAGTTAGAGTGCAGGGAAAGATTTGACAAGTTGAATGAATTGGTAGAAAATGTTTTTATTTCTGATTCCGATATAGATGATTTTAAACGCAGAGTTCAAGACTGCAAAACGATAAATATTTTAGACATTAACCGAGACTATTGAAATTCTTTTATTTGTTAGATATGTATAAATGACGAGTGTGACTTCGTTTAGCCATGTTATACTAGCACATGAGTATTTTTTAAATGTAATTGAATATAATATTTTTAAGTATTTAATAGAATACCGTTAAATTATCATATATTGTTTATTCTCAGTTGAGCAGTGATGTTGATTACAATAGAGTAAAAATTAAAATAAGATCTTATTTGATTGAAAAATAAATAATAATAATAATAATGCTGAACTAGAAGACATTATGCCCGAATATCTCAATCCTCTAAATTCATAGAGATTACTATTTTACCAATTGAATTTAAAAAATAAGTTATATTGTAATGTTAAGAAACAAGAATTAATGAAAAATGTGTAATAAGAAGTGTAATAGCATGAGATTGTAAATCATAGATTTATCACATCAATTATTCAAATACAAAATTTCAGCAAGTGTTAAAGTTGGACAAAATGATTTCATAAATTATATATCTTCTTAACGCGAAAACGAATATCTATTTGTTTTTAAGAGAAGACAGTTTTCAATAAAATTAGCATATGCTATAAATATTTATAAATCTCAAGGTCAAATTTTTTGAAAAGTAGTCATCGACTTATGTAGTCATTTCTTTTAGTTACGAAAATTACATATTTCATTTCTCGAGTTAGATCATGGAATTCCATTAGAATATGTTTTAGAAATCATATGCATCAACGAAAAATAAATATTACGATTACAAAGAACTGCTTCGAGGTAAATTATAACACTTTTGAAATTATTGATTCACTTATAGATGCAAGTTTATAAGAAATATAGCAAATTATATAATAAAGATTTATATCGTGCATATCCCACGTACGTTTACCGTGCACAAAGTACGCATGCAGTTACCAAAGTTACAATTTACCGAAATAATTGATTACCTCAAAAAATCACTCTTATCTATGCAAAACCATAACTCGTTTGTTTCTGTTTTTCGAAAATATTTTTATGTTTTACTGATTATTCAACAATTAAATAGTATATAGTGATTGAAAAAAAAACTTGTATATTAGATGCAAGACAACGCTCAGTTGATCAAGACTTTTTATAAAATAATTGTACAAATGACAGAGAAAAAGCAGTTCAAATAGTTTTCAAAAATTACATTGTACGCTTGGAACTATCAATCAAAAAGTTGGAGATTGATTCTAAATTTTTATAAAAATATCGTTATCAGGTCGACGTAATAGGAATATTCGCGAAAAATTTTTCCTAACTAATAGGTTTCAACATCAGTCGCAAACTTCGGACAATGTCAAGTTTAGACACGATGATACTTCAAAATATTTCTTGTTTGTACATATTACGATTGCAAAGTCAATTAGATCCGGGAGCTTGTTTACATCTATTGACCAGATCAGGATCCAAACAAATCCTCCTGGCTCCAAATCTAGACAACAAAACAATGTACTGTAAGTCTTGAAAATATTTCTCGATTTCTCACAATCCACTTCGAATAAAAATTATAAAACTATAGATTGGAAATCAATCAAAACATCAAAAGATTGCTGTCTATTATCTACGAAACGTTATTGTAACGGTCACGAGCCTACGGCATAATTATAGAAGATACGGCGCATACGTAAATTGTTAATAGTGACGAGAGGATATCTTAATCGTAGTGACGAATGCGTTTTTATGATCACATTGAAAAAATATTTCACATTGTAGAATGCCACATACATATTCGACAGCTCTAGACTGCGAAATTGGCTTTCTCCGAAAAGTTCCTTGATTTCTTTGATGAAAATCATCAGAACTTTCTCTTTCTATAAATTAGATCAGCCCTGATTATTGTCAAGCAGCGTTGAGAAAATAACAATAGTCGTTGAGCGTAAATTCGTTCGAAGTCAGCTGCAAATTCGTCATAGTTCGACGAGATCGTTCGAAGTGAAATCAAAGTGAGTCCACTCAACGGCTCTCGGAAAATCATCGCCTGGGGTGTTGAGAATTCGAATCTCAAAGGTGCCGTTGAATCGACACTTATTACTATCTTTTAATCGTCGATCCCTGAATTGCTATTACGAAGCAACGACACTACCATAAGACAGAGTCCGCTGATTGGCTGTTGTTATTGCTATTACGAGTGGTGGTGGTCTACGAAGCGACTCAAAGCCTCTGTATTTGGAATCAGTCTCGCCAGCGCCGCGCGCCGTGTAGCCTCGGTTCGATTCCGAGGTTAATCAGAATGACTCGTCGACGACTCGGCAGCTCCAAATGCAGACCGGTGTACTCGCCCAAACATTGACAATTATCTGCAGCATGCGTACAATTTCGACAAAGGCGAAGACTCACTCGGACCAGTCGACTATTTTTCCTGCATTGGTCACATTCGTAAGTGTCATTCTGACTGTAAGTGCCAATGTCGATTACAACGTATATTTTTAACAGGGCACCAATGAGAACACGGCAAGCTGCAACATATCGGGCAAAATTCGACAAACAATGACGAGTATTTGAAGAAACAATCGGTGCCGGATATATTTTTGAGTTTACCAGTAAGTAACAATCTCATGACCGTTGTGTTTATCGAAGTGGAAACATTTTCGTCGGGACAATAAGCTTAAATGTCTATGACTTAGGCGGGTTCAAGGTCGTCGATTACGTTGGTCAATATAGTCGAGCCATGCCTTATCAAAAGGTGAATAGCATAAAATTGGGTAGTCTGTATTAAATCAAAGCCATTTAACCATTCGGTATTCATGTGGTGACGCCCAACCATCACACAGTCGGGTTGTTGTCCGTTTCGACTTAAAATATACGAATGTTTACACTTATCGTAGTTGAATTTTCTTATTTGATGGCGTTTGGAAAAATAAAATTGAATTAAAACAGAAGCTGACGTTTGGTTACTTTATTAAAATAAAAATTACAAATTGAATTGAAAATCTGTACGTATCAATGTTACGTACGCGTTACTCGCAAGTATATTGTATGTAATAAGTCTTTTGTCTATAGATTAGTAACAAAGAAAAAGCACACCAAACCGAATAATTACATTTAACAGTTGAACGCAACTAATGGGTTATAAATATCGACGAACATTATATTTATATTGACACTAGTTACAATTACTAACAGTTAGCTATAGATAGGATTACGAAAGGTCGGTCAAAAACATCGATTTACTATGCGATACATTGCATTAAATTTCAGCAGTGGGCCGTTAATTAAGCAAGCTGCCACCCGAATAGAACGTCGAAAGGAAAAGATGGCGCTCTATTCCATTCGTCCCAGATCTCAAACCTCGCTGGTATAAAAATATTGAAATGCTATTTCGCGAGCGATCCACGGCACGAAGCCGTCGAGCGCTTGTGCACTGCTGCTTCCTTCTCCCACATGGAGTCACCGTGGGCTTGTACATCCTGGAGTGTATCCTGCAACTTGCCGCGATAAATCGGGAGATCCGCTTCCGCCAAGGAGTCCGCGAAACTCATTACGAAGTGCTGATTCCTCTCGAGAAAGGACACACGCTTGGATGGCAAGCGACGTTGCAGAAGAAGCTGATGCCCTTGACGAAATTTAAGAGCTTGTTGTCCTCCAGCTCGCACAGACACTACTGGAAGAAAGTGTGCATCGAATCCAGAGGAAAGCTGTTGAGGAACCGGCGATCCACGCCGTTCAGTCCAGCGGCCTTTGGCCACGGAAATCACCAGGTCCTTCACGGCGAACTCGCATTCATCGTCGAGCTCGTCTCTGGACTTGAGCAATATCAGCGGCGAGTCGCCGTCGTCGTCGATGGCATTGAAATCTGCCCCGCGGTGCACCAGCAACTTGATGATCTGGAGACTGGCACCGTTCTCGCGAGCACCGTGCAGCTGGGTGTAGCGGTGCCTGGCGCGCACCGCCTCGTCGAAGCCATGCGACAACAACAATCCGACCATTCTAGGCTTGTCGGCCCGAATGGCTTCGAAGAGCATGAGCGCCCTGCGCTCGCAGGGGCGCGCGTGACGCAGCATACCCAGCAGGCGCTCGGCGGCGGGCAGGATGTCGGGCTCGTAGCCGTAGTTCCAGATGGCGCAGCGGATCGCCGTGAAGATACGGTACTCGCGGATCGACTCGTCGGGCTCACCGGCCTCAACGAACAGCGGTAGCGGTTGATTGGCCAGCGCGTGCGCGGTGGCCGCCGCAAATTGATGGTGGAAGACACAGGCGCCACAACTCATCACCTTCTCCACCAGGCCGAAGTCCGAGTGGCGCGCCTCGAGTACGTGCAGCAGCACGCTATCCGCGTGCTCGGTCAAAGCTTTAACGTCAGCATCGTGGTCGATCATAAGCTCGGCTAGCCTTCGATGCCGCGATTCGCACCTCGAGCCTAGCTCGTGCCAGGAGCTGTGACCCACCGGATCGTTGGCTTTGGGCTCGTGCAGGGCAACGTCGGCGAGGACCAGCGCCCCGACGATCTTTGTCTCGTCGTCCCGTATGGCCTGCCACAGGATCCTGCTTCCCTCCCGTCAGTCCAAGCGAGACGCGTCCTTGACTAGGATGGACAGCACCAGCTGTCCGTCGCCCGACAACACGGCTTTCGTCAAGTTTCCTAGCATCTTGCAGTCCCGCTTCCAGATTCTTCGGTATTCAGCCAAGTCGTCGAAGGATGTTGTCGTTCAAGAGGAAAGGACATTTAGAGGTCAGAGTCCAATGCCACCTGATCCAGGAAAGTCGCGAAGACTGAGACGCTGGTCGTCGAGAAGCGAAACGACAATGGCCACAAGTAAAGATCCGGCCACATGAGCTGCAGTCCTTGCTCCCACTTCGTCCCTCTCGCCCTATCTCGCGGACATTTTCTCCACCCCCTGTTGCTGTGCACTTCTGCCAATATTTCCAAGATTCCGGAGTCCTGTTTATTCTCCCGCGGCGTTCCTACTCTCCGGTTAGTCCTGCCCATCTCCAATAATCTCACTCGGCTTTTTCGGCTCACGAAGTGCAACTACGCCGTAACAGGGTTACAGCCATTAAAGCCGATTAAGTGGCATACTCGATTGATATGTCATGACAATAAACTTTCTTCAATGCTCGCAAATTTTATATTCTTATTTACCCTAGTTCCGTACAATTACAATTTTAGGATTAATACAAAATTACATCTGCAATTAACTTTCGGGCACCACGACTCTCTCAACCATCATTGCGATTTTACAAAGCTGACGACTGTTACGCTGATCATGCTTCATTTTACTTCAACCGTCGCACCCATTTTTCATTAGCTCGTAGCGACCTCGGTGAAATATACACGTCGTTTGTTTGACGCCATTGTAGGAGGACCCACAGGAGAGTCGGTCGCAAAGAGATCCGAAAATTTGTTCAAATTTTTTCCGTCATCGAGGACTGACGTTTCCGCTTCAAGTTTCTCCGAGCTCTCCAAAGTAGGAAGCCTGCCATACGGATAACTTTTCCTTGATTCGCAACTGGATTGCCAAGAAAAATTCATCATTTTCAATGTGACGACGATGCCACAGCCATTGCTTGTGCACTATCCTCTTGCGCGTTAAGTTCCTATCTTTAAAAAATTATGGGTCGCCGACATAGAGCGTTCTATTTGGTTCATTCGAAAAAAATTCCTCGGAATTTTCATTTTTTCTATCCTTCGAAATACCTGTATTATATATTTAAAAGTGATAGATTATTATTTCAGTGACCAATTCAATTGATCGATCATTAATATGGATAATAATCTAGAAAAATTGAAGGACGCCGTTAATAAATCATTTCAGGAAATAATAGGTTACCTTTTTGAGTTATATGGAATAATTAGTATAAATAACATGTGATTTGAGGTGAGAAAAAGAGGATGCAATAAAATAGGGAAAATCGCTTTTTTTTAATATGGTTTGTTCAACGAGGCAACAAAAAACATACGACGTTGAAATGTATTACTAGAACTAATATAATACTAAGGCCGTGAAAATCCACTAGGATAGAATAATGTTATGATTGTATGATAGAAATAAGGTAAAATTGGAATAATTTAGTAAATGTAATAATGTAGAAAATGGAAAAACGTGTACAAAATTCGAACGAATTTTATATCGCATAAGATTTGTAAAAATTTGATGATATCCCTGTGCAATATTTATATACTTAGTTTCGGTAAGGGTGAGAACTAAAGCTAAAGAAGTGTTCAATATTACAAAACAAGACAAACATTCCAATTCTCTAAAGACTTATTAAATTGCTTTGAAGAATTATTAATTACTATTCACTGATGTGAACTAATACATTTGGATAGTAGAATGCGAGAAAGTGATTTAAGCCTCACGTAGAGGTTTGCGACCAAGCTAATTAAGCTAGCTCTATAGGCTGTACCAACAAAAACTTCTTGAACGTCAGCTTAATATATAAGAGCTTACAGTTCTCCGTTGATCTTGTGGTGGCGCATTTATGACTTAGGGAGAAAATTTTATAGCGAGGAAAGCAAAAAGACAAAGGGCTTGGTGTAAACTAAAAGAAAAGAACTAGGGGAGGGAGCGGCTAGCTGTAGCGAGACGACTTTTCTGCTGCATTTGGGATTTTCTTGTGCTGAATGTGTATACTTTTCTCATAAATCTCGATTCGAAAATAGTAATAATATTTCTGCAGAAATAAATAGATAGTTGAATGAATTATATGTTTAATATTTTACGCCAATCGTTTGTCAATTTTTCTGTAGGAAGGTATATTCTGTAGGAATATATGTCACATAATATTTCATTTTTTAGAAAATAGTATTACTTTTTCTTTGTTCGATGGTAAAATATGTTTTCTGTTAAAAAAAATCCGCGTAGAATCAGTATCTGTATATAAAACGGCCTTATTTCCTAGCGTTCCTATTAAGTGCGGACTCAAAACTATGGGATGATAAATTTTAAGCGTGCTCGCTTTCTTGTGTACGCGCAAAGTATAGCAAAGTTAAAATAGTTGAATTACTGTGACTCAAAAACCAAAAGTGACTATTTTTTAACGTAGAAGTGATTGCTCATTGTATCGTTTAAAAAAAATTGTTCGTCCAAACGTTTATTTATTTGCATGTTGATTAAATGATCTCTTGGAGCGTAAATAAACAAGGTTGAGCGAGGGATGAACCTTCACGGTACGTTCTCAGTCGAGTTTATCGATGCAGCAATTCCCGGCGCGTCCAGTCGAGCCTGTGAATACAGAGACCTCCGTATGCTTTCGTCTTTTCCTTCCAAGTTTTCCTATCAGCCCTTCAGAAGATCACGAAATGACTTTAAAGAAACAACTGTTTGAACGAGCAATGCTTGGTGAAAATATCATGAATTAGTCACTTGTACGAAAAGAAAAGAATAACTTTAGTTTTTGAACCATAAAACTTGAACTACTTCAACTAAATTTGATAATAAGAGTATTCAAAAATTATTTACGTTCAATTTGAAAAAAATATATGACGAACAATTTGTTAAAAATTAAAATAAACATCCCTTTATTATCAAGTTAAAGGGGAAAAGTTTCAAATAAAACCAGTTTTTCATGTTTAATTGCTCAGTTGTTAATTGTTTAATTGACAATCCACTAATAGATGCTATCAAAATTTTTAATTTTCATCTTATCAAGATGCGACAGTTTTTTTTAAATTATAAAAATATCTGTTAGAACAATTAACAATTCTCTTAATACGAGCGAAATGAACATTGGATTGGATTTTTTTAACCGCGGAACGATCCGAAGTTGAGCACCAAGCTATAGAGCTACTTTAAGCGACGCTCAAATCACTTGTCAATACTCTGTGTCCGAGGATGGATTGATACAGGCTCGGGAAAGAAAGGATTACTTTGAATTTTCCATCTAACGCATCACATTGAAATAGTATATTACGCATCAAGTGCGGGAAAGTAGATTCTCGCGAAATCCGCTTCGCTCGGGCATAAACGCCACACGAGACGAGAAATTCATTCCTGAACATGTGTCGTATTGTATTTTTTTATACGACATATGGAAAATGCGATTTTCAACGCACGTTTTCCACCGCGTTTGCGGGAAAGAAGCGCTTTGCGCACGAAGTGTCGAAAAATCAAATTAGACACATGCACGAGAAAGTGATTTCAGTCTTGCTTCACCGTCTGCACGAGGTTCAAACAATTTCGTCCCATTAGAATTGAGATGTACTATTCTCGCACTAGCATCCAAATGTATTATCATCATTGCATTTAGGCACGATGCCGTTGTACAGACGTCACAGTGAAGTGAGATGGAAGTGTGGAATTAGATTTTAGCTATATTACAGAATTGGTTGACGAATAACGCTCGGAAGACATTAGACGTAATCCGTTACACAGTGTCGGATTCCGATTCTCTCAGACCCGATTCTGTAGCTCGACTCCCCTCTACTAACTCTACGCAATTGTGTGCAAGACAAGCACAGACTATGTAATTACAACTAGCTAACTCCAATACTGCTGCGTTGCTCTGCAAAACGCAAGAGAATTGAAATCCCTTAAAATCAATTAAAAATCGATGGTCATAAAACTGCAAAATCCTGGCCATCGTCGGGATTTTATTGCGACGCAGACGTGCTGCCGAACGGGCTGTTTGAACGACGTAGCTCTGCGACGAAGGCGAATGGAAGGTGGAAAACTGTGTATACACTCTTGTTTGTGCCGCTAAACTAAGTTTTCCGTCAACTGTCATTCGGAGCATCACTGGATACCTTTGGAATCGTAACATATTTGCTGCGTAGATATTTGTTTCCAGTCAAAATTTGGTGAATATCAGGAATTTTCGCGACGTCATAATGGTAAACCCGGAGGGAAACCAGGCGGTAAGTAATCGTGCTGGATTATTCAAAGAACAGGGACGTTTTCGAAAAGTAATGCATGTATCTGCAATCTACGGTAACGATTGATTTCGCGCCGTTTCAATTGGTGACCGTTGCAATGACGCTTCGTAAATAACAAGCAGCAATGTTCTGACATTTTGATCGTTTTCCAATCTGTAGGTCTATTATTTTCATTCCAAGTGGATTGTAAGAAAACCGACGAGTATTTTTAAGGCTCACGATACATTATTTTGTAGTCTAGGTTTTGGAGCCAGGAGGGTTTGTTTAGGTCCGATTGGTGTCCATTACTTTTTTCACTTTTCCTAAACTATCTCCAAATCATAGGAGAACTCAGCTGAACACTCGATTGTCCACTTGTCATTCACGATTTTTTATTTAAATTACGAAATAATGGGGTTTTGATCAGGCCGAACATTTTTCAGAAAATATGGCCAATTTTAAAGCGAAGATGCTCTTTAATTGCTTCCCATTAAATGCATTTTCCAAGCTCGCAAATACGATGCTTCTTTGCTAAGTTTTTAATAGGTAAACACTTATATTAATATTCAGAGTCAACGAGAAATGCTCGATTTTCGACCTTCGTCAAATTTTTTACTTTTGAAAATACAAGTGAGAAACTAGTTAGCGAGACATGCTCGGCTTAAGATCAGCCAGATTTTCGGAAAAACATTTTGACCAGATCGAAAAATCCATCGTTTCGTGATTGAAATAAGAAAGTAACGAGCGAGTCTTTTTTCCTATTTGGCATCAGGCATCGAAAATTGGCATCCGGAGATGAAAATACACGGAAAAGACTAAAAAAGTCTAATGATAGTCGATGGACCTGAATTCTAGACCATATGAAATGAGACTAACGAAAGGCAAACTGTCCATAAATGCTGATTGGGACGGTGTAAAAGTACAGTTAACGGCGTAATATCACGTAATGGTAGCGATGAAAAAGTGTGATTTGAAAATTGTTTTCAGCTGTACGAAAGCAACGGCCTGATCTTCTTCAACTGCCATCTGATATGTCACATTTCGCGGGGAGAGAACGAGGAGGCGAAACGCATCCTTGAGAGAACGAAAAGAAAGTGCTCTATACGAAACAGCTTGGGGAGATCGCTGCTGCATTTCTCGGCGAGGTACGGAAACGCAGAAATGACCAGGTACTTCGTCGACAAGGGCATCGAGGTGGACGCGCGCGACAGATACGGCGTTACCCCGCTGGCGCTGGCCGTGCAGTACTGCCACGTCGAGACGGTCGAGACACTGCTGAAGGCGAATGCCGACATTTATAAAACGGAGCACGGGCCGTGCATGCTGCAAATTGCCTACAACTATTTCGTGGACAGCGTGGACCCGACGAAATATCTACGCATAGTGAAGCTGTTCGCCGATATCGTTCGCCGGGACTTCGGCAGGATCAAGTTAGGAATGGCCCACAGACTGATGAAGGCCGGCATCTCGCTTTACCTTGCCATCCTGATCTTGAAGAACAAGAAGATCATGGATATATACCTGAGGAATGGCTACCACGCGGACAGCTACGACTCGCACTGCAAGCGTACGGGCATGCACGCGGCCGTCGAGGTGAGGAGCTTAGTGATCGCGCGCCTGTTGCTGGAGGCGGGCGCGGACGTGGACGCCTTGGACTCGACGGGACGATCCCCGCTTTGCTACTACAAGAGGCGCGACCGGGACGACGACAACTACGAGCTGCTGCAGCTCCTGCTTAATTACGGGGCCTCGCTGTCCCTGCAGCCGGTCAACACGGCGTACAGCTCGCCGATGGAATACTTGATGAGCAACGGCAGTACCAGAGGGCTGATCCTGGTGCTACGACTGGACGTCGATTTGTACCACAGGTACAGGCAAGACAGGACGCCCATACACTTCTTGGCCAGGAATGCGTACCCGGGCGTGGTCAATCTGCTCGAGGGTCAGCGATTCGACGTGAACGCGCGCGACCAGGACGGCTACACCCCCCTCATGATCGCCTGTGACAAGAGCGTCAATTTCAATACCGTGGAATTCTTCCTGAACCACGGCGCCGAGGTGAACGCCGAGTCGATCAACGGCGAGACGGCCCTCGTTTGCGCCATCATCCGCGCGATGCGCAAGCGCGACCTGGCCCAGATAAGCATCGACATTTGCCAGTTGCTGCTGGAGCGAGGTGCCAAAATTCAGCAAGTGTTTCGGCAATACGACAAGGAAAGCAAGCAGATGAATTATAGCATGACTGTGTTTGAACTGCTCGTCGATTGCAACCACTTGGTGCCCATTTCGGACATGCTCATTTCTCGGCTGGCGTTGAAAAATGCGATAGGTGAACCTATTGCGCTCCTCGTTCTTTGGAAAATTCAGTCCAAAGAATATATGCGCGAATACCTGAACGCTTGCAACTTTCAGATCGCAAAGATGAAAGACACCTGGATCAATGAATCCTTGTCGTTATTCCAGCTGATATCCGACGATGAGAATCACCTAAGGGTTAACTATACCAATCATCCGCAGTTTATGACTGACGTCGCAACTAATCTGCCACGAAAGATTCTACGCGAATATTCCTATTACGCCGACCTTATAACGACGAAGTTTCGAAAATTTCAAATCGATCTCGGACTATTTGATTGACAGTTTCACGCGTGCGATGTAATTTTTGAAAACTATTTGAACTGCTTTTGCTCTGTCATTTGTACAATTTTTTTATAATAAAACTTGATCAACTGGGCGTTATCGTGCATCTAATACACGTTTCTTTTCAATCACTATACTATTTTTGTTTTAATAATCAGTAAAACATGAAAATAGTTTTGACAAGCAGAAACAAACGAGTTGTGGTTTTGCGTAGCTGATAATAATTTCTTAAAGTAATTAATCGCTTCGATAAATAACAAGTGTCCATATTTGAACCACACCGTACCTTCCAACAAAATAATTTCTTATTAGCTTTTATCAATTTATATTTTAGTCGTGACTCAACACATTCACATATTAACATCAACCGTCAATCGAAATTATATTTCTACCCATCAGCAACAACTCTGTTCTCTCTTTCTTTCTCTTCCATCGTTATATATATTTGCTATGCCTCGGTTGCTCTTTACAAATTATTTTTATTCGCAATATTTTAAAGACCATAATTTCGAAGCTGCAAATCAAGAATTAATTATGTCAAAGAAATTACTTTTGGTAGGTTTTCAAGATATAATATTTGCGATTTTATCAAACGTCATTGGATCTTTACTAAACTAGCGTCATTTCGTTCATTCGTTGTTTTTCTGCTATTTATTACATCATTTGTGTCATACAGTCATAACTTCACCTAATAGTAGTGCATTTCTATGGCCTTAGTAATACATTTCAATGTCGTATGTTCTTTTGTTACCTTGTTGAAAAAAAACCGTGAATATTCTTCAAATTTTATATTCTGACAATTAATTTCGGTTTCCTTCATGCCTATCACTTTACTATGTAAACAGAAATAAACATGACTTCCTCTATTTTATTGCATCCTCTTTTTCTCACCTCCAATCACATGTTCGGATGACACTTTTAATTTCACAGATGATAATCGAACGATCTATTTGTACTAATTATTCCATATAATTCAATCAGCGTAACAGTCGTCAGCTTTGTAAAATTGCTATGATGGTTGAGAGAGTCGTGGTGCCCGAAAGTCAGTTGAAGATATGATTTCGTATTAATCCGAAGATTGTAATTGTATGGAACTAGGATAAATAAGAATATTAAAGTTTATTGTCATGACATATGCCACTTAATCGGCTTTAATGGCTGTAACCCTGTTACGGCGTAGTTGCACTTCGTAAGCCGGAAAAGCCGAGTGAGATTATTGGAGATGAGCAGTATTAATCGGATGGTAGGAACGCCGCGGGAAAATAAACAGGGCTCTCGGAATATTGAAAATATTGGCAGAAGTGCACAACAACAGGGGGTGGAGAAAGTGTGCGAGAGAGAGGGCGAAAGGGACGGAGTGGGGGGAGCAAGGATCCCAGCTCATGCGGCCGGAACTATATTTGGGGCCAGTGTCGTGTCGCTTCTCGACGACCAACGTCTCAGTCTCCGCGACTTCTCTGCATCAGGTGACATTGGGCTCTGACCTCAAGATGTCCTTTCTTCTTGGACGACAGCACCCTTCGACGACTTGACTGAATACAGAAGCATCTGGAAGCGGGACTACAAGATGCTAGCAAACTTGAGGGAAGCCGTGTTGCCGGGCGACGGACAGCTGGTGCTGTTCATTCTAGTCAACGGCGCGCCTCGCTTGGACTGTCCGGAGTGAAGCAGGATCCTATGGCGGGCCATACGGGACGACCAGATCGAGATCGCCGGGACGCTGGACCTCGCCGACGTTGATCTGCACGAGCGCAAAGCTAACTTTCCGGTGGGGCACAGCTCCTTGCACGAGCTGGGCTCAAGGTCCGAACCGCGACATCGAAGGCTGGCCGAGCTTATGATCGACCAGGGTGCTGACGTTAAAGCCATGACCGAGCTCGCGGATAGCGTGCTGCTGCTCGTACTCCGCGCGCGCCACTCGGGCATCAACCTGGTGGAGAAGCTGATGAGTTGTGGCGCCTGTATCTGCCACCAGGAGTTTGCGACGGTTACCAAGCACCCGCTGGCCAATCATCTGCTGCCACTGTGCGTTGAGGCCGGCGAGCCCGACGAGTCGACCCGCGAGGACCGTATCTTCACGGCGATCCGCTTCGCCATCTGGAACTGTGGCTACGAACCCGAAATCCTGCCAGCCGCCGAGTACCTGCTGAGTCTGCTGCGTCACGAGCGTCCCAGCGGGCGCAGAGCGCTTATGCTCTTCGATGCCATTCGCGCCGACAAGCCTAGAATGGTCGGATTGTTGTTGTGGCATGGCTTCGACGAGGCGGTGCGCGCCAGGCGCCGCTGCTATCCCAGCTGCACAACGCCTGCGAGAGCGGCGTCAGTCTCGAGATCATCGATTTGTTGGTGCGCCGAGGCGCTGACTTAAATGCTATCAACGACGACTGCGATTTGCTGCTGACATTGCTCAAGCCCGGGGACGAGCTCGACGACAAATACGAGTTCGCAGTGGGGCGTGCTGGCGATTTCCGTGGCCAAGGGCGCTCGGCTGAAAGGCGTGGATCGCTGACTTTTCAACAGTTTCCCTCTGGATTCGATGCACACTCTCTTCTAGGGTGTCTGTGCGAGCTGGAGGACAGCAAGCTGTTAAATTTCGTCAACGGCATCGGTTTCTTCTCCAACGTCGCTTGCCAGCACAAGCGCCTGTCCTTTCTCGCGAGGAATCAGCACTTCGTGAGGGATTTCAAGGACTCCGTGGTGGAGCCGATTTCACGATTTATCGCGGCGAGTTGCAGGAGGTACTCCAGGCTGCACAAGACCACGGTGACTCCCTATGGGAGAAGGAAACAGCAGTGCACGAAGCGCTCGACGGCTACATGCCGTGCCTTGCTCTCGAAATCATATGTCAACATTTTTATACCAGCGAGGTCTGAGCGCTGGGACGAATGTGGGATGGAGAGCCATCTTTTCCTTCCGACGTTCGGGTGGCAGCTTGATTAATCAACACCTCATTGCTGAAATTTAATGTAATGTATCGCATAGTAAATTGATGTTTTTGACCGACCTTTCGTAATCCTGTCAATAGTTAACTGCTAGTAATTGTAACTAGTGTCAATATAAATAATGTGCGTCGATATTTATAATCCAACAGTTGCGTTCAACTCTTAAATGTAATTATTCGGTTTGATGTGCTTTTTCTTTGTTACTAATCTATGGACAAACGACTTATTACATACAATATACTTGCGAGTGACGCGTACGTAACATTGATACGTACAGATTTTCAATTCAATTTGTAATTTTTATTTTAATAAAGTAACCAAACGTCAGCTTCTGTTTTAATTCAATTTTATTTTTCCAAACGCCATCAAATAAGAAAATTCAACTACGATAAGTGTAAACATTCGTATATTTTAAGTCGAAACGGACAACAACCCGACTGTGTGATGGTTGGGCGTCACCACATGAATACCGAATGGTTAAATGACTTCGATTTAATACAGACTACCCAATCTTATGTCATTCACCTTTTGATAAGGCAAGGCTCGACTATATTGACCAACGTAATCGACGACCTTGAATCCGCCTAAGTCATAGACATTTAAGCTTATTGTCCCGACGAAAATGTTTCCTCTTCGATAAACACAACGATCATGAGATTGTTACCTACTAGTAAACTCAAAAACATGTCCGGCACCGATCGTTTCTTGAAATACACCGGTTTGCATTTGGAGCTGCCGATTTGTCGACGCGTCATTCTGATTAACCTCGGAGTCGAACCGAAGCTACAAGGCGCCCGGCGCTGGCGAGACTAATTCCAAATACAGAGGCTTTGAGTCGCTTCGTAGACCACCACCGCTCGTGATAACAATAACAGCAGCCTAATCAGCAGACTCTCTCTCATGGAAGTGTCGACGCCTCGTAATAACAATTCAAAAACCGTCTATTAAAAGGGTCGATTCGTCGGCGTCTTCGAGATTCGAGCTCTCAACACCCCAGCCGATGATTTTTTGAGAGCCGTTGAGTGGAATTACCTTGATTCCACTCCGAACGATCTCGTCGAACTATGGCGAATTCGCAGCTGACTTCGAACGAATTAACGTTCGTTTTCAAGACGATACACAGCTTGGAACTTATGGCTACCGCAATGGGGTGGGCAAGATGCGTCACGATAGTTTGCACGACACTCGTGGCATCGTGCACTATAGTACCAAATTGCTATTGACCTTGATATTCCAAACCTTGATATTTAAAAACGTTTTGCCTATTTCCTGAAAAACTGTTCGTCAAATTTTTTCATATCAATGTAAATGTAAATCATGGATTTTTCTTGTATCAGCGTCAAGCGAAATTGTTTCTCAGTATGACCATCTAGAAGATCTAGTGCTTACTCAACTCTGCTTGACAATAATCAGTGCCGATCTAATTTATAAAAAGAGAAAGTTCTGATGCTTTTCATTTAAGAAATCAAGGAACTTTCCGGACAAAGCCAATTTCGCAGACTAGAGCTGCCGAATATGTACGTGGCATTCCACAACGTTAAATATTCTTTTGATACTCCGTGCATAAAGTGCGTCTTTTCCAGCAGAAAGCGTGCGATGAAAATCGCACTTTTCACACGTCATATAAAAAAATACGATACGGCAAATGTTCGGGAAAGAGTTTCCGCTTCGCTCGGGCGTAAACGCCGCACGAGACAAGAATCTATTTTCCCGCACTTATATCGTAATGTACTATAGAAAATGGCTCATTGGACGAAAATCCGAGTTGTCAACTGAAAACAAATTACTGCTATACAAAGCTATACTTAAACCAGTTTAGGCTTAGGGCATTTAACGACAGAGTACTACTTCAAACTTGAATATTGAAATCCTGGAAAAATTTCGATCGAATAAGTCCTATTCAATATTGTACAGGCCCCACATGATTCGTCCCAAACGAAATTATCTGAAAAGACCTACAGATTCCATCAGTAAAAGAAGAAATAAAAAATTTGTATGCAAAATATAACACCAGATTTCAAAACCACACGAATAAACTTATCAGCAGTCTCCTTACGACAACCATTACAAATACTAGACTCAAAAAACAAGCTAACGAATAAATAAATAAATCCTAATCTTCTTCTCACACTTTAAAATAAAGATAGAATGCTCCTGAATCTCATGTACATATTTAATATAGCAATAGCATTTACTTATCATAAGATATCATTAGATTGTTTACATTTTTATTCTTGCTGGTAAATCGTACAACTACCTGTTTCATCAAATTTATTGTCACTAATAAATTTGCTAAAAATACCATCAACAAAGCTTGTTTCAGCTGGTAATATACAATGTTGAGGAATTTCGATATAATCATCTTCATCATTTAATGTACCATTTCCGATATTTAACCGAAAATTCAAAAATTAAATTTCATTTGGTAAAACTTTTATATTAGTAGTTAACTTAAGTGTTGTTAAATGCTTCTACAATGGACTAGTATTCTAAAGATGGATTAAAAACTTTATTTCTTGTTCCTCTGACTTAAATAGATAAGCGTTGTTAAAAAATGTCACCTAAAATCGTTATTTTCCCACCAATCGGTAAATCATTTATTAGAATGCATTGCAAGAATTTATTTGTAAAATTTAGAGCGTATCTAGAAGTCATTGGAGCTTTACCTCAGATGAATATTTTTATTTTTTTTTTATCATCCTTAAATTTTTTTTTGATATCAGATAAAAAAATATAATAAAAGAGTCTTCAATGTTTTAAATGTCATAGTAAATAATTTTATCAATATCGATTCATAATTTGGTTAATTATTTATCTATAAAATTACAACTTAAAATTATTTCTATTTGAACATTATTATTTAATAAATAATTATATTTTACAATTTGATTTGAATGAAGGTCAATTACTAATTGAATCAATTAATCAAAATATTTCTATATACAAAAATATATAAAAAATGAAGTGAAAAGAAAATCATGTATTATTAATGTAATTAAATTAGTAAGATCTAATTTTGAATATGAAAATTATACAAAGTATAACGAAAAATACTATGTATGTTATTAATAGTGTTTTACATTTTTTAAATTTAATTACAAAATTATTTGATGACTAAATTTTATTTTGAAAATGATTGGGTCTAGGCATGAATAAAATTATTAAATTTAGAACACATTATTTTTTACACAATACTTTAATCAATGCTTAACAAATGGAATAATACATAATACTTCGCACACTATGTACAATTACTGTGAGTATGCGATAGAAAGGTTTTTCAAATTTTGCAATGTACAGAAGCGCATGTGTTATTTAATCGTTGTGACAGTAATATAATATTACAAACAGTAGTTGATATCAGATCGTTAAAAAAACATGTATGAATCCTTCAAGGTACCTCGAATAAAGTTTGCTTACGTAAGTTAAAAAAAATCTTATATTGAGGAGTACAAAATAAAAGATCTATAGCCATATACATATTTTATCTTATATCGAAAAAAAAAAACAGAGAAAAAAAAACAGATGTATATACAAATATTTCTTGCGTTTACAGGAAAGTAAAATGCACATCTCACGTGTCTCTTCGGCAGATACACGACGAACCCAAAGAGTATGTTACATATCGCTATATTAAAAGCTATCTGGAGAACGACATTCGGTGTCTTTTATGGAGTTTTGTTAATAAGAAAAAGAGGAGGAAAGAAGAAAACACAGTTACAGGCAAAAAATGCGTTGCTTTGGCCATCGTGTACATATATACAGGTAACCAAAACGCAATACGCACATGAGATCAGCCGATTGCCGATTGCCAATGCAATTCACGTTGCATCAACGTACAAAGGGATGCGAAGGTCAATAGTCTATTTATCTTTGTTGTAAAGTTGTTTTTTTTCTTTCTATTTATCAAGTGAAAATGTTTTTATTATAAAATTATTTCCAGCTTAAAGTAGCTGATAACTCTTAATTTTGGATTTTAAAAATATATAATATACAATTTCCACGACTCTTATTAACGATATAATCAATCATTAAAGCTTTTTGAGAATTTGAACGATCGCGTTCAAGTTCTTTTAAAAATAATTAAAAATAACCCCAATCACATTCCATTGGAAATTCTGGAAAACTAGCGATGTTGAAAGCTAATAAGATCAAGACAAAATGATCCATCATCCAACATCAATTTACAATATTTTATCACGCTCAGATAACAACTAAAAGACTCTCGCATACACCTTATTGCCCGTTCTCTCGTATGTATTATTCGTAATATTTTAATGTACGCACACCTCGTCCATTTTTACTTCACTAAAACACACTTGACACTGCGAACGCGCTTTTCGTCCCACGAACGAACAATGTTGACTTTAAAAATTTTTTCTGTTCTCTTCCATCGCATCGACGAAGAAGAAATCACACCTCGCTTTTTGCTTCTTTTTTTATCACTTGTATAAAGTCTTTTGATAATAAGAAAAAAGTCGAGGATACACCATCACAAAGTTCATTTTTATATAAAAAAACGTTACAAATATTGCAAGTTGTCCATCATCACTTTCATAAATATAATTTTCTATCAAATTTTGTATCACTCTATGGATGCAAACTATATTTTTTGCCTAATATATAAGTGTAAAAGCTCTTGTGCGATTTTGGTTTTACTTGATATATCATCTTTTTGTTGCTTGGTTTGGCAATTTGTAAATATTCATTATTTATTTCATCTGTTACTTTTTTACAATATCTTTGTTTGGGTACGAATAGGTGACAGTATTTTTTTTTTAAGTTTTTCAAACTTTTCAATAACAATCTTTTAAAAATCGCAATTTCACATTTTCATAAAGTTTTTGCTCGTATTTATTTTCGCTTCGCAACGACGAAACGCGTTAGTCAAGTACAAAAACACGACATTTTATACATATAAACTTATCAAATGACTATATATCTATTCATATATTTATATGAGACGTAATGTATGCACTAGATTGTGTGTTGTGTGACTGATGGATTTTTCTTGAAAAGTAGCAATGTAAATGCACGCAAAATAATTTTCTAGACTTTAGAATAATATTTATTTCGTACTAGTTTTCATATAATACGGATTATCCCATTCAAACGGATACACAATCATTAAAAGTCGAAATAAATAATTGCTACAAGAATCTAAGCCTAACTTAAAAATTACAAAAAAAAAAAAAATCATTCGTGTTCGTATCGTTTCCCTCGATAACATCGTAATCTGATAAGTCAACACACTAAGTACATTGAAAATCCTTCTTCGCTGAACCGTAAAACTAAAGTGTATTGTGATGTTTAAAATAAAAAAAATACTCTTTCGATAAAAAAAATATAAATAATCTTTACAGTCGTCAGAGATAAGTTTTTCACGATTGACGACAAAACATAGATTAAGAAACGTATAGATATCAAGTCATTGGTCAATAAAAACGTTAATATAACAATGATCTTTGTGCGATGCGAACGTAAAGAGACAATGCGGTTCAGTCGAGTTGAGTAAAAGCAAACACGAATGAATGTTTTCTTCGGCGTGTGCGATTTGCAATGATTCCGATAATAATTTTCAAATGTCTTTGGAGAAGCGAAACTTCTGTCTCTTTCTCTCTCATTGGCGCTTCGCCTAAACAATAATTATGCATTCAGCATCATTTTTCTTTTTCTTTACATTACAACTGCGTGCTTCCCGTTTTGCTATACTTTTTGGTTTGATGCACTCGCTTCGCTTTCATTATTTAGACACTTGCGTGAATTCATGCTATCTATTTATCAATATGTTCAAATGAAAGTTTATTCGTTCAATTCGTTCACTAAGAGCTTGCCCTTTCAAAACAATAACGTTCAAGTAAATATATCAGCTTATTTTTAAAATATCAAGATGTCAATATAAAATTATGAAACTCAGTTTGAACTATACGCTATAATAATTTTTTAGCATTATTTGCCTTTTCATTAAATATAAAACTTCTTTTCTGTAAAAATAAAACTCTGTATAATTAAAATATATGGCTTATATTTTAACAAATAAAAAAAGAGCAAACTGTCTCATACATAATTTCATATGAACAAAAAATCTTATGCATCATCATGCTAAAAGTTGAGTCTTTCAACTGTAAACTCATTGCACTTATAGTTCAAAGTCTTTTTTCAGCTTAAAATAACTACGTTCACATGCGAATTGTATTTATTCGCAAAGGACATAGTATACAGTCACATAAAATTAGATTTGTTCTAAAAAATATCACCACAACAAATTAATAGAAGTGATTGTCTTGAAATTGACAATTAGCAGCAAACTTTCATCGAATTTCAATTTTTATAGCTATGCAATGCGAGCATAATTATAAAGTATTGCAAATCGCGGAAAAAACACGCATCGCAACTATAACTTATGAAAAAAGAAAAAAAAAACAATCTCAATGATTATTATCACCTTATTTGAAAGTCGCATTGCAAAGACGTTATGATATATACAATTACATATGATAAAGATAACCATCATAATAACATTATAATATTTTATGGCAGTCGTCGTATTTTGTTTTGTATTGTTAGAGTCCTCTCTCATATATGTATAAAATATGTATATATGTATCTAACACATTATTTGAATGTTGCAAATCTCGCCTATTTCTTAATAGTTGTATTGTAAAAAAAAGTTTATCTGCTTAATACATCGATCAGTCTCACAATCGTTATTTTTTCCTTTTATATATTCTGAAAAAGAGCGGTGTAAATAATCTATGACATTTTTATGGATTTCAGGTGGAATCAATCGTTGAGCTGCAACTTATTTTATTTTGTACATTGTGGCCACTATAATGCTTCATTATAATCAATTTAAAAATATAATTTTATTTTTAGACAGCGTAAGGTGCCATCGTATTAAATTTAAATTTTGTCTACGGGCCTCAGGGGTATTTATTTTGTGAAGTGCACGTTCGTCTTGGCTTTGTGTATATATTTGCACGTGAACGCGTTTCGCGCGATCAAAGTCGATAAACATTTTTCTGTTCTTTACAAGTTTTATAATCATTTCTCTTTAGATTCATATTTTTCCTCTTAAATACATGGTCATCACAGCGCAATTTGACTTGCTACTTTGATAATTAAATGACTCGTTAAACAATCTTTGTAGCAGCAATTTGTGCGAGCATATTTGTTGAATATACTTAGATAAAAAAATTGGTACTTTGTATAGGAATGTAATGACTGTATACTCATTAGTTATTCACATGTACATATAAACATTCTAATCAGTAATCAACAGTTGCTTAAACTGCATTGTAAAAAGTGCAAGTAAGTGACAATATTTGATTGACTTTGGAAGGTTTTTCCTTAGTTATTAACAAATATTTTGTAAATTCCTTGGTAAGAAACTTACACATGAGGTAACATTTGTAACACTTACATTCGTACACTGTACCATTATCAACAAGTTAACTTAGAAGCTTTTATGTTTTTACTCATAACCATTTAATATTGACGTAAAACTCACTCTCTTCCATTACTCTGGCTTATAAGATTTGGCTTGAGAAAAAGTGTTGCAATTGATTGTCATCATACTCAACAGCTTGGCCATTAATTAAACTTCATTCTAAGTTATATCAAACAAGTCTATCCCTTAAAATGATCAATTTTTATGAAACTTTGCAAATATGTTGTTTACGTAAAACGTTTTCAAAGGAAAAAATCAAAGAATATGTATAAACAAGAATTTTTGAGAATTAAGAAGACGTTTTTGAGTTATTAGCAATTGTTTAAAATAAGGTTGATAAAATTGTTATTAACAAATATTTGGATTCGTACTAATTATATTGTCAAATAAACGTTATTAAGAGTATTTTATGTTTAATAGTTACAGAGATTATAAACATAGAGTAAAGTCAATATTTAAAATTATTAATAATTGTCAAAAGTATTTTCATACTGACTTGAAATTTGATGAAGATATTAAAACCTTTATGCAACGGTACATCAATGCCACTCATTTTAAGGGATCAAATTGATCGACGTACATTAGAATGAACCTTAAGTGCTGTTTTTATTTTTCCGATATGTTATTTAGCCGCGAGATAATAAAAAAGAGAGAGCGAGAATATGAGCTAACTTATCGTTATCACCTTTGATTTTCTCATCAATTACGTATGTACAAGTAGCATCGAAAAGCGTCTAACACGCATTCTCAGTCACACAATAAAGATAGTATTGTGTTTGATAATTTCGTATAAAGTGATTTTGGTCCTTAGAAATGTTACTTGAGTCATGGAAAAATTACAAATAATTTGACCTCCTTCGTACAAACAAAGACATTCGTTTTATCATAATCGTTATATGATTTGTCGCTGGGGCTACAATCAAAGTCATTACAATAAATTTAAAGAAAGAATATAAAAACGTGATAAACATCATAATAAATTATTTTCAGGAGCATAGTCTAACAGCACGAGTGTTTTAAAAATTTTTTTCTTCAGTTAAACTTCACAGCCAACCCCACAAAGTGAGAGAATACTAAAACTAGCGACAAACGATATTTTATTGTGTAGCATCATTTCTCATCGGAAGATCTTTGTCTGCATTGAAAGGAAGACTGCACAACAATAAATGGAGCGACTTTTATCGTCACGAAACACTTTTTTGAAGAAACAAAAGGCGTACGGCACTTCTTAACAAGTTGCAACTCAACCTCGTAAATATATATATACACATATATATGTATATATGTATATATATATTTATGTATGTATGTATATATAATATACGTATGTAATGATGTATGTAAAAGGTCCTATTTACAAGTTATAGAGTTAAGCGAGAAAAGGTAGAAAATAAATAAAGGCTCTTGAACGCTTTTTCATTCGCGCGCGTGTTTGTGTGTGGTCGTACTTCCCCAAAATTGGCGATAAACATAGTGTGGGTAACTCACGACGCAATATCTCATGGGAACACTTATGATGGTGTCTCTTCCACTGCTGGAACTATAGCGTCGTTTTAGTTAGCCATTTGCTGAGTTGGGCTGTGCATAGCAAAGTCAACGGCTGCCGTTGGTGGTATCGCTGTACTGGCATTACTCAAGCTTAGTTTGGCGGAACTAACCAGAGCTACTGGTTTGCACAGTAGTTTGATCGGCACCTTAGATCCTACTGCGTTGGCTTTCAGCCGTAGAGTCGTCGACATTGGTACTATTTTGTCAGTCGATGGTATTTGCACTGTACCCAATGGCTTGTCTGCAAAAGAAATTTTTAACGAATATTTAAATATGCAAATATTGACTTTCGGAATTATCAAAGCTTAAATTCTTGAGATATGTTGTTTTTTTTTATTAATTTCAATAAAGATGAACTGAAAAGAATAGAACTTACCAGACTTAGCGACGAGTGGCATTGCTTGCTCGATTGACGGGGGCTGCTCGACGATCATTTTCTTTCCTTCGGTAATCATTCCCTGACTTGAATCATCATAGCCGGAATCAGATGACGAATCGCAAAAACCTTTGGCTTTGACAGCAGTCTCATTGTTGGATTCGACACTGTATGCTGGACTGGTGGATGCGGAACTATGGCACGGACTAGCCGATGCAGAGGAGTGTGATGGGCTTGAACCCATCATTGTAACAGCAGCAGTAGCCCGCTGACGTTCACGTTCTAAACAACCGTGGCAACGTTTGAAAAGGGACGGCTCGATCAGCAACTCGTTCCTCATACCCACGAATACTACACCACAGCAGACATTTTTTCTGTAAGGGCCATGGAGTAAATCATTAGCCCGATAAAAATTTAGAAAGTGATGAAAGAGGGTGTAATGATTTATACCTTTTAAAGTAGGTCAAGTCAATAAAGCTACTAATTTCCATCTCTCCTTGATCCATATCTTGGCTCTTGTCACCAATTCCATTGTCATCACAGCTGTCTGGAGTATTTGCTCTACTGGACCCTTTATGATAAATAACTTTCATTATTTGATTCTAGCAAATAAAAGTTTATGTCAATATTGAATTTCGCAAAACTTAATTTTAAGTAGTTACCAGTTGACTGTACATTAAAAGAATTTAAAATTATATCACTAAATACTGATTCAAATATTATTCAGCAATAGGAATACTTGAACCATTGTTTTGAATTGATCGATAACTTATCTATTAGTATTATATCTTATATAGTCAAAAGCATCAACTTGCTACTCAACAAATAGTAAAGCAGCCTTTGTCAATAAAAAAGTTAATTTTTTGAATTGTTTAAGAGTCTCAATGCATAGACTGACATGATTTTCTCTTAGCCAATCACTTCACGTAATAATTCAACTGTAATGTGCTTCCTATAAAAAATTCACATGTATATAATAATTGTCTAGAAACAAATGCCAAACCTGTGTCATCGCTTGTCGTTGGGCTATGCTCACGATCTCGGTCACCCTTAACATAGACATGCTTCTTCTTCTGTATTTTGTCAAATTTCTCCACCTTTGCTATTTTAGCCTTCTTATTTTTGGCTTTGAATTTTGTTAAGGATTTGATCCCTGGACCAGCTCTGGCATCTACCACCTGTTATCCAAGAGACATTTATAGTTTAATAATAGAATATTCATTTGATGCTTTGAAATGCTTGTTAATGTTTCTAGATAACTTACATGTCTCCAGTTACGGTCGCTACCAACAGGTAGTTTCTTCCATCTCTTGACCAAAAGAACACAAGCATTGCATATTTCTCCAGTACGACGTTCCTCCAACAGGAAGCATTTGATAAAATCCTCCTCATACTTCTTACTATCCGTAAATCTCGAACTGCTTGATTTGGCTTTGCAAATACAACAGCCTGTACTGGACCGATAAACTTTTGGCTTGTGAAAACTGAACATCTTGGACTTTGCTACTTTTCTACGTTTTCTAAAACATACAAAAAGAACCCTGAATATTGTAAATAAATGATTGTGCAATAAATAAACCGTATGCTTATCAATACGCGTTCCAATGAATGAAGTAGTTTATTCAGAAATCAACTTCATTTTCGCTGAGACTCATTATTGAAAAAAAAAACAAAATAGTTTAACTATCAACAAGTGACATTGACGCGAACTCTGTTTCAAAACAAAATTCCACCGTTCTAGAAATTGAACGGTCAAACCGCGTGCAGATTCAATATCCCTTTCCGAGCATACAAAGTCAACCACTAACACAAAAGACAATTGCAATCATTTGACATTGTTTTTATTCTCACACACATCAAGCGACCTCAATACTATAAGAGCATTAACTCACCTCCCACGTAAAACAAGCGACTCATTGACATTTTCATCACTGACCGAATGCTGCAGAAAAGACCGTTGGAAAATAACGCGGCGCGTCTATGCGCGAAGCTACCCAAAAGCTAGTCGAAACTACCGTCGATGCCTCCCTTCGAGTGGGAAGCGAAAGGTCAAGGGTAGGTAGAGTATTGCAAACAAAAACTACACACACGCCACGTCACGTAAGCTAAAAGAAACAACTGCGTGCTTGTCGCGCAGTCAGGTGGTGCGTAGAACCACAACGCTAGCAAACAGGGAAATTGGGACAGGTCAGTGCAAATTTACGAACGCACAAACGCTATAGACGCGTGCAGCTGCTGTTTTTACGCCAAAGAGTCGTGCTTCCTCGCTCACTGTCATTCAACCGGCGGCAAGGCGCGCAGACGGACAATCGTATTCGGAGTGGGGATGCCACAACTGGGGAGAGAGTCGTTCCCCTCTTTCTGCTGGCTCGTTTTAGTGCAGGCGTACCTAAATCAAGAGGATCGCCGGCTATTTTTAACGCGGATTCTGTCTCCTTTTATTTTGCAGTCGCGCGGCGCGAAATTTGCGGCTTTATTTTCGATCTGGATCGGCTTCTTTTTCGAGTGCACATGGCGCCCCCTTCGTTTTGATAAACGAGGTACGCTGAACGCCCGGAAAAAATAGAACGCAATAGCCACGCAAAATTCGACCAGTTGTTTTGACTGTTATCCATCAAGCGACATGGTGACTGTCAAATGTTGTCACAGAGATCATTGTGGCGATCCTTTGTTCCAGTATTTTATGCTATAGATATATTCGCTCAAAAATACAAACTTTTCTCAACGATCTTTCAAAAAAGTAAAACCGTTTTTTACCCGGCATTGTTGTATCTTCCGAGCAGTCTATAAAAAAAGAGTAACCATCCGAATCAGATCCTCCATCGAACGACGCAGACACATTGGAAGCCAGACAGAGCCATCAAAAATCCATCGCTTACATTTGTATGTCTGTCTCGCATCCCTCTCTCCGTATCCGCAGCCTTTCTCCGCGCGACTGCGTACGAGAGAGAAGCCGGTTTATATTCACGCTCATAACGGGCGTCGCAGGCAAAAATCTCTCCGCGACGACGCGTCGTTGCGGGCGAGCAGGGTGGGAGAACTTGCGCGATTCCCGACCTCACCCGCGAGAGACTTTCAGTTGGCGATTGGTGGGCTCGTCTCTCTCGTTATCCCCTTCTTCGTTTCGCGTCGTACGATACACCGCTTTAAAAACTTCTCCGCGCGCGTGAAATTCTCTGTTCAAGTAGCGAGCGAGAGGAAAAAACAAAGCTATTTAACGTTCAGTGTCGTTACGCAATTGCATCGAACGTAACTGCGCGATGACCAGAGCTTACGATTGCAATTTATTCACACGTTGCTGAGCATCGCCGAAAAAGAGAAAGGGAGGGAGAGGGAGAGGGAGAGGGAGAGGGAGAGAGAGAGAGAGAGGGAGAGGGAGAGGGAGAGAGAGAGAGAGAGAGAGAGAGAGAGAGAGAGAGAGAGAGAGAGAGAGAGAGAGAGAGAGAGAGAGAGAGAGAGAGAGAGAAGGGGAAGGTGTGCAGAGCAGCTGTGTAATAGCGTGCGCGAACGACAATCATCTGACGCGCGAAAACAAGGATACTACGCATGCGTGACCTCGAATCGTCCAAATATTCGCGACAAAGATGCGCCGCAGTCGCATATATGTATAGAGAAAAACCGGTCGAATCGCGGCGACGACCTATTCTACAGTACTGTGTACAAACTTTATCTTCTCCGGAGAGGAAAAAAAATCGTGCGAAACGGTACATATATCCGTTTGAAGGTTAAAATGCGCGTCGTTTTTTATACGTTCAACGACTCGTATATGGCATGGCAAGTCAATTTGATTAATCTATGGATTCATTCGGTATGCCCGATTGGGTCATTTGAATTTCTGAATAGGTCGCGGTCTATTTGACTGCAAAATACTTCTTTTTTTTGTTGTTGCAAAGATTCAACGGTCGCATTTATTTTTGGACTGCGTCCGCGATTGTTTCATAAAGTGTCATTGTTTTATAATGAATGCCATTCCAGGTGGCAAGACATCGAAGAAATAATCGTTACCGAACATACCACTTTTGCGTTAGAAGATAGCAATGACTCCGTAATCAAAACGAATTGAGGGAAGAAAGTTCAACGCACCTATCCATGCTCTCGACCGAGAGCAAGAATTCGCGGACGTGAAGCCCGATCGTTTTTCAAAATACACTCCATCCCATATAACGCGCTACGGCAGAATTCTCTCGTGCGCGGCTCGCTCGAGCCGTGTAGCTTTCGCATGGCGCGCAGAAAAACCGGCCTTCGCCGGCAAAAAGGAGCGGCGCAGCGAGAGAGATCGCGACAAAACAGAGCCGACTGGTTCTATAAATAGAAAACGGCGCGAGCGGCGGTTACGAGCTGAAAAGCACGCAACACGTGCTCAGCGCGCATGCGTCGATTGAGTCGAGCCCTCCTGCCTCCTGCCGATAGTTGTACACGTTACGCGTTAGAAAAACGGCTCTTTTGTTTTGACGAGCGAACGCGTGCCTCTGCACTCTCTCTCTTTCTCTCTCGTGCGCGCGCGTGCGCACACGTTTGTCGTGTTGTTTTTATGACGCGATAATTATTGTTATATAGGCTCTTTTTTCGCGAGTTACGGGTACTCGTAATGGATTACCTTCGATTAGTGACGTGGTTGCGGATAAGGAGCTTTTTTTCTTTAATGAATGAGATTGTCGTTTGTTTTCGGGGTGAAATTTTACAGTGATTATTTTATTGCCGATTGGTTTTTTTCAGAGTTAATACTCCTTATTTTTGCCAAGAAAAGTCTTGAATAATATTTACCTGCTAATCGAACATTGAACCCTATCGATCGAACATTAAATGGCGAGCTCGACGGAGAATAACAAACAAGCAGCAACAAACAATCAAAACCTGTTAGCACACCAAGACGAGTGCACGCGTTAAAGTGAACCGGCACGACCCCGAGAGAACCCTCGTGGCGGCACTTGCTGCTTCTTTCTCGTCGTCCCGCATCGAAATTTTCGCGACGGCCTGTATACCTCGACGGAGCGGCGATGAATTGTGTTGTTCTGCGATGCCCGCGAACGTAGAAATAAGAATCCGACTTGAATGAACAAGGCCGAGCTGCTGCGCCCGTTGACCGCGCGCTTCAAAGTTGCACCTATACCACCTGCTTGAATATTGTCTCGGGAGCGCGTTGACCTTTTCGCCATTGTACTCAAGGTGATGCGATGCACGCGACACGTTATATACGTATACATCAAACAGGATGTTGTGAAAAAGAAGAAGAAAAAAAAGGAGACGAGACGCCAAGTTTTCAATACCGATGAGAGAAAGGAGAGAATCGCCGGTACCAAACAACCACCACCCCCTCCTCGCACGCAATTGGCTGCAACCGGCGAACGCACTGCGCAGTTTAAAATAAACCAGTTTTGCCGGGCCGCCTTTCCCTTCGTCGAAGGCCTCGCGCACACATGCATGCACACGAGGTTAATCCGTTTTCTAACAACTCGCCTGGAATAAGTGAAGGAGGATTGACACTGGTCAGTGCCATTTCGCCGAATCTCGACTCTTTCGGGTGTTTACCTTGGAGTCTGCTGCTGCTCGCTCATGGTTCGAGCGGCCACATCCTGGAGCGACTGATTTTCCGATAGACGCATGCAGTCTGTTTCGATCGAACGATGCGCCGCCGCGCTTCTCCTCATCTATCCCTCTCGCGAGCCCCACGAGTGCGATTGTTTTCTTGACTGTCCCCGGCCTTATCGGTCGGCAAGTTATGCCGAGCGATTACTTCAGCGATTTGTCTTCGAGACCTCGCCCGGTCCGATGTTTCCTCGCTCGTAGCAATTATCTCTGGAAGTGCGGCCGCGTCGACGTTAAGATCTCGGATCACGCACCAAGGAGGAACGCCGCGCGAATCGCACGGCCCTCGATAAGAGCATTGCGGGGGAACGAAAAGAAAGATAGAAAAAGAAAAAACAACAAGCGGACGGCTAATAATGCAATCTCTCGAGTACCGCGAGCGGCGCTGTCAACAAGCGGCAGCACGTCGTTTGCAACTGGCCGCAAGCATATAGGTGCCCGCACTTGCAAAGAGATCGGCAACAAACAACTTTGCACGCACGCAGAAGAAAGTAGAGGGGAGGGGTGGGGGAGGGGAGTGTGTTATGGCGCCGGGTCGCTACGTGCTTCACCGGCGAATCGCAAACTTCGCTTTTTGCAAACTCTCATCTCCGTCGCTCCCTCCTCCTTTATCTGTCGCTTTCTTTCGCTATATTTAGGACGTACGCGTACTCGCCCTCGCCGTTCCAACTGCAACACGCACACGCATCTGCGCGCGCACAATCTACGGGTTTGATGACTCCTGCGCGATTGTCCCTCGCTCTCCTTTTTTTTCCGCGCTGATAATGTGACGATTGATGAGCGCTACTGACTATAGCTCTCTCTCTCTCCCTCTCTCCCTCTCTCCCTCTCTCCCTCTCTTCCTCTCTCTCTCTCTCTCGGTCTTCTTTTGGTGAGACTCGCGTGATGGGAACTGAAGCTTTTTTCTTGCAATTGTTTCGCATGCAGATGAATT